TATTCTCGATAGGGTAAGTACTAATCTATCAGGAAACATTTACAAGTTTGGTTAGAAACAGAATTTTTATAGATGGCGGAGTGATTTTTGAGACTATGTAGAGCAGAATAATTTTCTGAAACAGGTAGCTTTACGGTGGTAGCTCTCTCCAGATTCAGTTATCTCAAAAACGGTGTGGTCACCGTATGCTTATTTTGTAACGGCAAGCTAGACAAGACTCCAATGAACACTGGGCACTGTTTCGCTGAGCAAGATCTGTGCCCATGAATATATTATGAAATGAAACGTTATAATGGTCGTCAATGGGATTTTTTACTGCAATCTTGACCCTAAGGAAAAAAGAAAAATCGTACCTTCGATGTTCCGACATTTTGTTACAAAAACGAACCGTTTCGGTAACCAGCGTAATCGAGTGGATCACCAGTGGCTTAGTCTACTTCTGATACCCGATCAGCTTCAGAGCTGTTTTTAGAACGGGAGATTTGCAGTTTTACGTTGGTGGCAACGGGAATCATTATATTCATGTCTTTTGAATATTATGCTGGCAATTTTGATTTCGATACATAGTATAATGTTTTCTGAAGAAAATGATGTATGTTATACATGTTTAAAATATCATAGAGAACTAGCTGTATACTGTAACTATACACGAGGATGTGTAGTCTAAGTAACACGCCTCACCATCGACAAGGTACAGTGACAAAATATACCGTAGTACACTTTAGCTGTATGATGTCACTATTTAACCGATTTGAAGCAAAGACAATGAGGCAGGTGTGATGTAGGTTTTAAAAAATTAATCTTGGGAATACTTGAACGATTTCATGTTTAATTTCGTGTGTATTCGTTTACCCTACTATCACACCAAACTAGTTCTCACTACTTTCTCGAAAACGGGCTTCAACTGTGTACGAACGGACTGGACGTACTAAGAACCGTTTGGTATCTATTTACAAACTTCATCGAACGTACTCGAACGGGTAGGTCCTCAGAACTTAGACAATGCTCAAAATGTTCTCGTGGTCGTCACGTTCTACAATTAGAACGGGTGACAACGTACTAACGACGAGCGGGACGTACTACGAACGGAACCGTCGTACTTCAATCCTACTAGGGACGTTTTAACAACGAGTCGAACTGTCTGAGGACGTGTTGAGAACGAGGTAGAACCCATTGTAAACGGGTTTAAACTGATTAAGAACGTATTTAACACTGCTTATGAACGAGTTAGCAAAAATATAGCTATCACACCAAACAAGTTGCCACTGCGTTCTTCAAAACTGGTTTTAAACAGTGTGCGAACGGAATGAACGTACCTGCAACTTTCTAAGGTCTATTTACGAACTTCATGAACGTTCTCAGACGGGAATGTGATTTTAGAATTTTGAATCGATTCAAAATTCGATTGCGACCATACCGTTCTGTTATCAGGTCATGATGACCTTCAGACTAAGGGACGCGTTCTACGGCGTTGCACACCGACGTGGTGCGACCTGAACGAACTGCGAACGAGATGGACGTATTGAAGACTGTTTAAGAACGAAGAAGCTAATTATTTCAGACATATTTCCCGACCACAGCCAGATTGAGCCCGTTTTACGACGTTTTCGTAGGATTGGCAAGAACGGGTAAGAACGAGTTTGGTGTGATAGGGGGGTTAGGAAGGCATTTAACTTTCTAATAACGTTAAAATATTTTCGAACAGTGCTCGATTTTTTTCGTAGTCAATCTACCCACAAAATTGATAGGTTGGAAAATGTTTGGTTTTTCACATTTGCATTGATAATTTTTTCCCCTGTTGCCTATGAGTGTCGATTATTTTTATGAGAGAATGTTTCTCTATACTACACAATTTAGGACGGGTGGAGATTAATAAATATTCAAGTATTTATTGTAATTTTAAAAAAATCAGAAATGTGCGTTGCCACAGAATGTACGTTGTCCCTGTAATTGAAATTCATGAGATATACATAATATTAAACAATGTAACAATTTCATTTCAAAATTCATTAAGGTTTTTATGAGTAACAAGTGATCTTTAACGAACATGTTCAAGTATCCCTTTTGCTTTTACGAAGGTATTGTTGTGGCGATGGTTAATTTTATTGTATTTATTCATTTGGTGTGAGCTTCCAGCCCAAACTCCCATCCAGTGTCTCGGAAAAGAATATGTTAAAGATATATCTGGAAAGTTTCAATAGTTCAATCAAATTGAATTAATTCTGTGATTGTTCTGTTTCAATTTTAAATGCATCTTACCCCCCTGTCTGTTAGTGTTATGATAAATACGTTGTCTGCATTAGGGTTAACTGTGAAAAAATCGAGCACTGTTCGAAAATCTTTTAATGTTATTAGAAAGTTAAATGTCTTCCTAGACGAATACACAAAAAATCAAACATGAAATCCTTGATGCATTCCTCAGATTATTTTTTAAAACCTACATCAAAACTACATCATTGTCTTTGCTTCAAATCGGTTAAATAGTGACATCGTACACCTAAAGTGTACTACGGTATATTTTGTCACTGCACCTTGTCGATGGTTAGGCGTGAGTAACGAGCTAAGTAAACACTGTACAGTCAAGCCGAGTAACTAAGTTAACATTCGAAAATAAAAATCTCAAAAATCGTACATCTTTGATTTCAAAAATAATTTGTGAGGTGGTTATTAAGATGATAATACACAATTTTACGTATAAATCTTGAGTACATCTCGAATCCATTCTCAACAAAGCGTTCTCAAAATAAGTATTCCAAAATATTTGAGTTCGGGATGATAAAAGTACGTTAAGATATACCGCTCCTTAACAAACTTCTTTGGGAACAAGATATTAATCAAATGCATATTCTTCTTATTTACTACCTGACACATGCAAACGAATGTAACATAAGTAAATATCTCCGTTTTAAATAATTTTGTAAACGTTGTTCTCTACAAGTGCCATTTTTATAATTAAAAAGCAAAATTGAACATTTTGCATTTCTAAATTGATCTTAACCGTTGACGATTTAAGTTATTAATAATATTTCCCTTAGTAATCCCATGTTAAATAGACAGTAACTGGGTCATTGTTTTGTGCTCAACCTTGTTTTCATGACTTTTAAACATGAGTCGACAATTATGTAGGAAATTTCATTTCCAAATGTAAGCGTGTCAACTCCTGTTTTTGCACAAATGTAGCCTTTTATTATGATAGATCGCCAAAATCTGCATGTACCTCTCAAATAGGCGACATGTTTTTAAATTTATAGATGCTGAGCTATAAACTGGAACAAAAATTCAAACCACCCGCTATTATTTTGATTACACAAGACGAAATTTCCACTCCCGGGGAGCACTTTGGTAACACTTTGAACGAGAATTCTTGAAGAATCGTTCGAATTTTCAAAAAAAGGTTTCACGCAGTTTTATTGCTTTGTTTAAGCCTCGACTAATATCATACTCAAATCCGATACCATAATTATAAATTAAAATGAAACATTAAACTCACCAGGTTATATGATAAACCGTTTTGAGAATTGATGATTTGAGTTAACTGTGGATATGTATATAAAATATAAGTCGGCATGTATTCCAGCGTTTATGTACACACATGATGTATGCATCAACGTGTGACTTAAATATCAATTCGTGACTATCATATTTGGCTTTCAAAAATTAAGTTGGAAGTGACAGTGGTTAGAGATTAACGAAAACGTCAATCACATCCAAATATCCAAACGACGTCAAGTATTAACAATACACTTTTCGTGCATCACGAACAAGGCAAGGTTCTGTGATCTAGCAATGTGCATTCCGAAAGAAAAAATTCACAAATATCAAAAAATTTCATTGAGTTGGATATTACATTCGAAATCACAACTTTCGAAATATTTGTTTCAACCAAGAATTGTAAGAACTTAAAACATGTTGTTAGTTTTTCAAACCGCATATCCTCATTAACGTTCTTTGACAAGGATGAATTCATTTGAAAACTTGGATTTTCTTGATTATTCTTCAAAACTACCCTTGAAATATAAGTATGTGGGATATTACAGTATAAATTGACACGCATTTGTTTGCTCCATATCATGAAAAAATAAATGCAGTACCATCTTTCAATATTTGGAAACAGAAAGTTCATTCTGTATGTAAACAAGATAAAATGCATTTATGGTTGATTCATAATGAAAAGTGACAAATAACATACATCTTTTGAAGTTGGGGTATACAGGGACATAGCGGAAATTCAGAAATTTAGGCCATATCTCCAAGATTGCTTCACCAATATGTAACAAAACATCAAAATAATCATTTACACGTTTGCTTAAAGGTTTATTGAAAATAATTTAACAGAGCTTTACTTCAGTTGTGGCACCATTCTTAGTTAATATTGATGAACATACGAATATCGAATGTTGACTAAGTTATTTGGCTTGACCGTGTAACCGAACGATTGTTTCATGTGAGAAAACTACATGTATTTGTATAGGGCGATTTATACGTACAGGTTTCCCGTTCGATTTCAAGTGCACTGCTTAAAGTCCCGAATGTGTATGTGGACCGACGTGTCTAAGGATCCAGTTCTCACCTTCAAATTATTCAGTCGTCCGATTGAGTATAAAGGTCTGTTCCCTATGGGTTATAATATTACACGTCCACGTAGAAGGTCTATACCAAATATGGCCGTTGCTATGGTTTGGAAAATCCAGTGTTTAAATGATCTTGATTCAAAAAGTTTCAGTTGCTCCACATTGATGGTGATCATGATGATTTTTCTTACCAATTCAATTGAAAGAAATTATAAGCACTATGACCTATTTACATTACCTTCTGACAAAAGTTATGCTAGTATACCAGTTTAGATTTTACAAGCTTCCCAATGTTTTCAATTTGGCCTTGCCCATTCGTGTTAAGAAAAGAGTTGCCTGTATCCTGATGGATAATCTCTATCGTGAGGTCATATATATGCAACTATCCTCGAAAAATTCAGTCAATTCATGTTCAATTTTATTTTACAGCAAAAGTTAGGTGTCCGGAAGAAAAGGGGAATAGGCGTATTGATTGTGTTCATTGCCTGTGTTTCTACAATCATATTGACATCATTAAAAGGACAACAGTCTCAAGGTATATATAATATATTTATATATTATTTTCTTTTGTTAAATAATAGAGATGGAATATGGGATGGAGTACGTAAAGGTACTGATGCAAAGCCATGATGAGACTATTATAAAAAGTTACTTTACGAACGATACAGAGATAGAATGCAATCGGATTTCTCTATAAAATGAATGATCATACATACAGTAAATCGTATAGTTGTTTATAAAACTTTTGGCCTCATATCATTTTTTCCTTTCTTTTTCGAATTTAAATACAGTAGTATGTAGTATATTCTATGTAGTGTGTGAGTGATATGATTTTCATCCACGAATGGATACTGTATGATATCTGCAGCGGAAGTGGCCATGGTCAAATATCCACGCGATGATAACAATTTTGTGTTTTTCGAATTTGAAAACTAAAGTGGAATACTCCTTGAATATTTAACCATGCTATTTCATGTGTGCGCGCATTATGTAAGGTAATTGATTTCAACCATAATTTGACGCCATTCACAATTTCATGATAATAGCCAAAAACAGCATTTCATTTGATTGGTTTATAGACGTAAACGAATAGTTTTGCAAACCCCCATTTTGATTCACATGGTTATAGCGGCATAACTGCTTCATTATTGGTTAGTAATAAGGTCCCGTATACGAGTTTTTAGGTAACATATACAACTGACAATTTATTATTCGCAATTCTACCGCGTATAATTCATAAAGGTCCATGTGCAGTATGGCAAGTGATTTAAGACATATCTTTCACCATGAGTATTTTCTGGGTATTACAGTGGTTTTTATTAAAACTTTATGTTTTCTTTAAAGTGACGTCCCCATGATAGGAAAATATCCCACCCTCTGAAAAACTATGGATTAGGACCCCACCTTGTCACTTTTTAAAAAAATGTAAGGCTTATTTTCTAAAAAACAGGATCTTGTTTTTCTCAATTTAAATGTCTCAAAAGTTTCTTCTACACTATATTAATAACTTCTGAAAAGGGATTGGTATTGAAATGCGATGAAGTTAAAAACCATATTTCCCATATTATTTTCCCATAGGGAAAACTCATGCTATATCCATTGTTTTCAGCATTGTTTTTGTCATTGAAAATTGATATCTTCAAAATTAGACTTTCAATACTATTCTACTTTTGAAGATGTTTTAGACCCCGTGTTGAATTATGTTTTCGTGCAATAAAAATCAGAAAGAGAAGATCCTCTTTTGAGCAAATAAGTTCAACATTTTGAAAAAATTGTTTATACTTTTTATAATCTTTCGAATTGTTTGATTGATATTTTTATCATCATGGGGACTTCTGTTATAGAGAAAGCATGAGTGAGAGTTGATTCTTTGAAAATAACGGTGAGGCGTTAGCCGAACCGTTAATTTCAAAGAATTAACTCTCACGAATGTTTTCTCTGACTTAAAACCCATACACGGTCACCTATGCAAGCTAAACGGTAACCTTAAGTAACCTACACGCTCTAGTAATAGCTAATTTTCAATGAACTACAGTAATCGTAGTGAGTGCACTGACCCGTGATCATTTGAATGGGCAATGGTGATTAGTATTGGATTTGTATGTATTGCATGTATGTACGTGGTGTCAACGCTATGTTCAGTATAGTTAGTTTAACATTCGAGAAGAAGCATGGAATACGAAAGGATGGATAACTTGACTCAGGATACCTTCAAGGAATTACAGATATCGACACGGATGAAGATGTTGAAAACTTTCTTGGGGAACTTATAGGAGGAGTAATAGTATGTATCCAACAGACTGACTAGAAGTCAGTCTGAATATAATTCAGACTAAATAGGATATAGTCTAGGAGGAGTAAATAAATATGAAATAGATAGTAGTGAAATTGGCACATTGGATTTACGGTACAGTGTCGAAACATCCGACATATCAGAGCCTGGATATTCCTCCGATTCTAACACTAGATTTGGAAAACCTGTATCTGATATGGATATCGACAAGAAAGGAAGAAAAAGGTATGAATATAACTGTTTTCTTTGACTGTTGCTCGAAGAATCAAGAGTGCACATTCTGAAAGTAAAATTGCCAGATGGATTTTTTTGCTAAATATGTATTCTTTGTTTTAGCTATGCAAGGTCAACTGAAAATAAAATCAACTGAAAATTGGCTATAACTAAAGCGTGTAGGTTACTAAAGATTACCGTTTAGCTTGTATAGGTGACAATGTATGGGTTTTAAGTTAGAGAAAACATATTTGCCCCTTTCAGCATACAGTTGTTGGCGTAAAGTGTGGATTCTTTTTTTAAGAATCCACAGTTGCAGGGGGTCCACTGTGATTGCACTCACTAAACAAAAGATTTGCTTTTGTTTCCTGATTGCATACCTCGCAGACCCCCTGTAGCTGTAGATTCGTGAAAAATAATCAACTGTTTGGTCTATTGTGTACTACCTTCAGCGGGTTTTAACTTGAAAGAAAACATATTATTACCACCTTGCAGGGCCTGTTCTAGGGGTTTTAGTACTAGTTGAGAAGGCATTTAAATTGCTATATTGACGGGAGGAATATTGTGTCGGGCGTTAATGACTTTAGTCGGGCAATAATGACATTATCCGCCCGGCTATGTTTCCCGGGAAAAGTGATATCGTTCAGTGCGTAAGATTTTCTATTTCAAATTTGCTATTTCAGCCCTGGGCATTAACGGTGGTAAAAATAGTAATATCGTCATTAAAAATAGACTTTGCGGGCAAAATAGTGAAATATTGGACCTTGGGCCCGCGGCCCTTGGTCCAATATTTCACTATATTGCCCTTTGAAATGACGTTATTGTACTATTGTTTTAATGAAAACCACTGTATTTATGCCCAGAAAGTACTCATGGTGAAGATATGACTGTCTAAAATCACTTGCCATACTGCGCACGGACCTTTCGAATAAGCTGTATGTTGTTTTATCGAAGAAATGTTTCTTTTACGAATTTAACCTTGCATATTACACATGAAGTATTGCAGAAAGCAAAGAAATATTTGCACATTAGTGAATTATAAAATTAAACTTCACGAATATAAATATGAGTTTACGAATACAACTGTGAGTTAACGAATATAAACTGCAAGTCTTGAGACATAGGTCATGTGACACGAGACACGTGTTTGTGGGTGGATGGTTATGACTTAGACCGTTCCTCGTTGAGAATGATCACCTGATCTCAATGAACCAATGAACATTCGAATGGCAATATTTACAAACAATAAATCTGCACTTTGACGACAACATATTACTTTGTTACGAAAATAAATTCGACAATTCAAAAATAATATGCCAAGGCTAGTACTTGTACATTGTTAAAGGATCTAGTGCACTCCCCAGTATGCACATTTGCGAACAAATAGTTCAGAAGACAAAAGAATCGTCGATTTAATTCTTCACTTAAGTTACAGAAACGGTATTTCGAATAACAGTTAAGATCTGCACTTTTAACTCCTATCACCCTACTATATTTCATGACGATCAGACTGATAGTCACAATTTGACAGCACTTTGAATAATATGCTTCAGATTTGCCCATTATCGCGCTGTAGGCAAAACAGCACAGTTGTCAATGACCCGAATGCATTCCTCCGCAGGTATGGCCTGAATGACACGAATGATCTCACTTTTGAGGTTTGCAATTGTCCTGAGGACATTCCCATATACTCTATCCCTGCCATATCCCCACAGGTAGGGACATTTTAGACGATGAGTACAGGTTTCCCCACAACGCAACAGTGGCCACTTGGCATGTTGTTTAAAGTACATTGTGACTATCAATCTGATGGTCATGAAATAAAATAGGCTGGTGGCAAATTGAATGATGTACAAAAGTGTAAATATAAGGGAGTTATTTCTTAAAATGACAAAGATATGACAAAAATGGTATTAGGGTTTCCATTTTTTGGACCACCCTTATATAGGGATACTTGACGTGATCAACATTTGAATTTCCATACCAAAACTTTCAAGTAAATACTGAGTTCTTGGTATTAATTCTTACAAATTATAATGAATCGTCACCGTACAGCCAACGCGTCACCGTACAGATTTTATCTTTTTTATTTTTAATATACACAATGAATGATTATTTGTTCTAAAATGTATAGATAACAAATACATATTCTTATAGAAATAATCCATTCTCTCGGACTGCAGGGAAAATAATAACCAAACGAAAAAAGTAAAAACAACATTTTTCACTTGGGTCGATTATGTTGGCCGATTCATTAAGAAAAATCCGAGCAGTGCTCATAAAAAGTTTATCATAATTAGAAATTTAAAACCATTTCTAAAAGAATGCTTTTTTATTTCACATTAAATCGTTTTTGTTTTCATCAAATTTATTTTTTTTAAACCCTCAACATAGATTTTGCTTCAAATCAGTAAAATAATCGTCACCGTACAGAAATTGTACGGTGCTATTTTGACGCTACATACGATGACGATGGTTAGGCTATGGTAATTTCACAGGGATCTACTCCATACTCGGACTCATCTTTATGACTGCAGCCGCGTAGCATTATTGTGTTATTTTGCCAAAATCAACTGACTGTGTCAGGGACCTTCGTTATGTGTCATTTCTTTAACTGCACCGTACATAAATGTCATTTTGAAATTGTAAAATGTGTATACCATACCTATACAATTAAAAATACGTACACTTTACACTTCATACGTATGTTAAACAAATGGTACATTATAAATAGTATATGACATTCAAATTTTTCATCTTGAAATTACAGATACAGAATGGGAGTGGTATATATACAGCAAAGACATGGTATCATCACCAGACATAGAATATGTAGAAATATACCACCCAAATGGTAGGTTTTAACTAAGTGTTTTGTATATAGAAGTATGGAATATTCTATGTTATTCTGATTTTTTTTTCTTTCCTTTGAATATTAAATACAATTAGCCATTATTTATATTCGTTATGAGCACGGTCTATATTAAATACCTCCATTTTACATTTAATTTACATAAGGCGCACCGGAGGATGCTGTGCTGGGACTGTGGAGAAGTGTTTATCAATACTGGGGAACCTACAGACTGCTGTGGATAAAGCCTCTTCAATTAAATAAAACACATATGAAAGTAAGTTCACCAAATTTGTATTTTTGGGAAAAGGGTGGCACTTGTAAAAAGATGACATTGATTGAGTCAATTCTTTCCACAAAATAGCATTAAAAGCAAACACAAAAGAAAGCAGAACACATAAACATAGCGTTCTTGTGTGGACATAAAATAAAAAACGTTTCTACATGATTTAGTGAATCCTTTAGTTTAAAATGCTGATTTAAAATTTTTTCAACACCGCATTGAAATTGAGATGTATACCTTCCAAATTATTCAGAAGCTCACCACATCTTTCAATTTGAATAATATCAGCTCATCTGATGGGCATAATGACCTCTAATTACATCAAATATAAGCTGAGATGAAAGATCTTATCATCATCGTTCACTCGGCTCCCGTCAGTCGGATGAACGCAGTGAAGACCGGAGGGTGCGAAGATGAGATCTTATAATATAACAGTAGTTAGTTTGCTAATTTTACCACCCTTCATAATGGTCAAGATTGCTCAGTCATACATGACAGTTACATATTGATCGTGGTACCATTTGATGGAAAATAAATCCTTAGAAAAAAATGCTTAGGATTCTAGTAATTTGATTTTGAAGTTGGGTATACTTTTTTGTGGACGCCCTGTAATATTCCCAAGGTGGCTTCCATATCAGGATAAACCTCGTGTAATATTTCTAAGATAACTTCTCTAGACAACCCCTATGTTATTCCAAGATAACTTTTAGTCGAGATAAAACTCATATTCCTATTAAGGTAGCTTCTATGTCGAGCTTATATCATATAATTCCTGAGCTAACTTACATGTTGGAATGAAACTCACATAGCCTAATAATTCCAAGATAACATTTTTCTAAAGATAAAACTCAGAAGATAATTCCACGATAAGTTCTATGTTCAGATAAAACTCATAATATGAATCAACATTTTCTAACTACGTTTTGCGCATGACGGAAATCACTCACATGTAGCTTTTTTTTTAAAACATATCAGGTCCGTTCAGATGTATGTACATGTAACTGATATGTTAGATAAGTAAGGTATATGCATCATTCGTAATACAAATAATTTATACAATAAAAATAACAAGATAAAACTCATAAAATATTTCTAAGATAACTTCTATGTCGGTACTAAAACGCCGGTCTTTTACTCTACTTCCAGATAGACCTGAGGAAGTCCAACATCCACGATACACTTAAAGCTGGAGACTATTTTGCAGTAAAATTGCAACGCAAGAACTTGCAACTTATTGTGCCACACAAAGCGAAGCATTCACGACTTCGTATTTTGGTATCAAACGATGATGCCAATATTTCAAATACAGCCTACTTTCGGCATACAGATATGTCGGATATAGGTTTCCATCTAAATACTTTATATACTCACGAAGGTGATCTATTATTCTCGAAACCCTTTTTAGAGAAATAAGACAAAAAACAAGTTGTTTGAGAGTTTTTTGTTTGTTTTAAACCCCTTTTAATATAATACATACATAAGATATACTCTCTGTTCATATATGCATTGTCTAATGGGTGTTTTTATTTTGCATTTACAGGTGGAATTATAATAGGGGAAAAGCCTTCAAAATATAAATCTTTAGAAACGAATAGTTTTACTGACAATGAGCTGCTAACAAATACAATGAACAATTATAACCCAAAGCTTGATCAAAACAAGGACAAATATGATTCAACAAGTTACAGCCATTATGTTAAGAGAGATGCAAACTTACGTATCCCGGATGATCTCACAAATTTGACCAGCAGCTCACAAGATTATAAAAACTCTAGTGGTACTCGTTCTGGTGAGTGATTTGATTATTAGTGCACAGCAGTGAAAACAAATAAGTGTTAAAAATTTCTCATGTAATTGAACATAGCTGAAACTAAACCTATTTTTGCTCATCATATTATGTATTTCAAAATATAATGCCTTCATATGAACTACGTCAGCATACTTTTTTGATCGTTCTGAGTGTAAGTAGCTTTGATATCTGGCTTCAAAATTGTGAATTTCGTGAAATTGTCAATGTAATAGGACAACACAAATAAATGGTCGCATCTTTCAATTTTGGTTATGCTGGCATAGAGAACATTCATTCAGAGTGTGATCTGGTGATGAGAGCACTGTATTTGATCTCAACCTATTACCGATTATATGGACCAAATAAAGTAAATGTAAAGTTTATTCTGTGAAAATCGACATTGTCGTTTACACACACCCACACTGCATTAGGGGAATCCGAGAAAAAAAATTATATGTGGTTAGTCCTTGATTCAGTTTATCAGACCAGCATGTTCCAAATCATTAGCATTATCTGAAAACTGAAAATTCTTCACCATTTTTCTTGTAAAAACGACCAAGATGTAATCCACACATGGGCAGCATTCTAGTGTAAAGACGGACACTATTCAAGAAAACAATATATCCACTCTGTTTAAACGAAAACATTTTACGAAATAACCAGCACGACCCCATCTATGAGCGAATATGGTGTGACTCTGACAATCGACATGCGTGAAAATCGACATGGTTATACCATTGAACTCAAAGCAGCGAATTAGTCATTTCTATAAATCACACATGGATTGATTTGATTTTATATGATTACCAATACACTGATAACACATGCATAACAGTTTTCCGATAATTACGCAAAAAGATCAATTGGTAGACAATGAAAATATAATAGCTAAGGAGTTTTCTCTTTGTTCAGCGTACCCTTTCCATTTTATACGTCTTTACAAAAATACGTTACATGCAAGCAGATGATAAATAAGTTATTTGGAACTTCCATAAGCATAATTTACCGAGAGACTTTCACTACAAAAATCATTATGGAGACCACTATAGTCCAAACGGTGTCAACCTCTGTAAATAGCGTTTCGTTAAGTGCATTCCCGGGGATTGCTGACTTAAAGTCTATTAACGTTTGGGTTCAGTTTCCTTTTTAATGAATGCATCAATCTCAATGGTGAACAGCATAAACAGGCATCTCTTATTTGTAATATGAAAGATTTTATAGCTTTTCAACGATGTTTATTTGCTTATCATTACTTTAAAATTTCATTATTACGATCTGATCTACTAGATACGATCTGATGTACACGATTTGGAATGCCTTCGTCAAACGTAATTCGTTGCAAATCAATGTCCGAGAATAAAATAAATTTAAAAAAATCAAAAGATTAGGTGCATAAAATTACGCTCCTCATTGAAAAATATCGCCAATCGCACTAGCATTATATTTATGTATAGAAACACAAAGCACAAGATGCGCATGCGACGATAGAGGCAACAAGAGCGAGATGATGGTAGACCACTAAAATATATAGAAAAAAGATTTTCCTCAAAAGCGGAAATTATAGCGACTAAAACAAAAATCTCGGAATGAAGCAAAGCATAGTAATAAAAACACTTCCGGTGGAAATTGAAAAAAAGTATTGGGATAGGAACTTGAGAGGGAGGATCGGCGAAGCGCTCCGCAGATAATGGTGTCAAGAGAAACGTCTCTACACCGGTGCAGATGATTTTTATAATTGAACTATACGTATACGTCATCCTTACTGGACTCGACTCGACATCAATATCATTTGTTTCAATTGATAACGTTGACTCGAGTAGAATAAGGATCGGGATCTTGATTTGAAATATGTTAAAGGGACATTTCAGATCTAGATAGATGCTGATTGTGCTCCAATATTACGTAAATGGTTCTCCTGTTGTTGTGATACATGCAGGAAAAACGTCACTACGTCAACCTGCAACTGGTCTAAGCATGCATTAAAAGCTAAACCCAAAGGAAAAATTACTTCAATTGTAAAAACAAGTCAAGGTACCATACCTGGTATATGAGATAAAGGGAAATATATACCAAGGGTTTCAAAAAATTATTTTAACGACATGGCATCTAATCTAAAAATGTAAACACTTGTCTCATGAATCAGTGCAATGTTTTGGTAAAGTTGGTGTGAAAAGGATGTAGAAAAGATGTGTTCAGTGCATATAAACTTTGCGGACGTAATACGTACATGTCCTAAGTTTCTTTTATTTTGACGATATTTTAGAATAAAATGTGAAACACGACAGGATTCTCCAAATCATGTTTTATGTATGTCGGGTTTTGAAGGGAAATTTTTACATAGACGTGGTCATATTTGGATACAAATACAAACTGGATGTTTCTCAATTCAGCTAGTTATATCCTACATATCAAAAATGTCGATTCGTGGAGTAAGCGTTCCCTAAAGTGAACTTTTTAAATCATTGTCATTTGTTTCTTGTTGTCTTGTGAAAATCGACATGCGGTTGAATAGTGAACTAACATAATGATCAATTTTTCCAAAATATAACTGTTATCATTTTTATCGTCTTTAGGATCATTTTTCATGATCGCATCCATTCATGTTTCAATAAAGTCGACCCTTTCAATTTTATTCAAATGAAAAACAAATGGTAAGTAGAAAATCGTGAAAAATGATAGATTTTTTTGGTTCATGTTGACAAGTGATGCACATCAAAAAGGAAAAGCTTGCAGTCCAAATCCATTTGCGATTTTAAAGGGCAGTTGAGTACTACTTGTATAAGGAACGTTCTCGGTTTTTTGAAAATGCTGCATTCTAATTTGAATAGCTTGACATATTAATCAGGGGGTCAAGATCGACATGTTTGAGACGGACCCTAATTTCAAGTTGAAAATTCGCCTATTTTTCCTTGGAGTTTACTTCAATGCCTTGGGTAACGAATGTACAAATGTATACAGATATACGAGACTATATATTTCTATTTGAAACAAACATTTTAGAATTTTTTTCACTTTTTCAACAAAATCAATTTTACACTTAAGTGGTTTTGAGTGACAGGATTCCATGGTACCGCATTGCACAAAATTTATCCAATATTTCACTGCGCATGCGCAGAACCATTACTTCCGGTTTTCCAAAGCCTATGGGATCACGGACTTTAAGGTCCGTGATGGGATTTATAATGGAGACATTTTTCGAACGCTTACTGTGCGAATGATATTGATTTGCCACCTTAGTCATCTCAGGTTTCTATAACTAGACATCAACCTTTACTGATTTAGCATGTTTTAAGCAATGTACACATGCACACTTTTCGGCCAATTTGTTTTGAAAAAATCATGAGGAATTCATGCATGACTCCATTGAAATCCATTAGAAATGGCGTCAAAATGGTGAAATGAGGATATTCAACGGTCTGGTAGAGGTACTTAAAATCATATGGTATCTTAGTCATCTCAGGTTTCTGTAACTTTGAAGGTAGATCTGTTTGATTCCGTTGAAATTAGAATCCTCATACCTTTAACTTTTCGGCCAATTTCAAACAAAATATGATAACTTTTGGTGATATAACTGGTTCATTACATTGGAATGACGTCAAAATAAAATAAGACAATCTCAGTTTCTATGGCACTGACGTCATGACGTCAGATTTATCTTAAGATCTCAAATATGACGTCATGTTTAATCAATGAATGACATCTATCGGCTATTCGACCAATTCTGTGCAATGCGCGTGAGCCCAAAACAAGTGTAATTCAAGGAGGATTGGCTCCCAGAGTGCACCACCGATATTCTGTCCCATATATGGGTATGTCGTAATACAAAATTCGAATTCAAACAGCCGCCATTTTGTTCACTTCAACATTTAAATCGTGAATTTTGGTCTTATTTCCAAACGAAAAATTCCAAAACTCACAAGAAACGATCGAGATATTGGTTCGAATCTTTTGAACTGTTTATTTTGAATTTATAGTCGGTTTTAATTTCAGAAAATAACGACATTTCGACGTTTTCATTGTTGGAAAATATCGAGTTTCGATCCTGGGAGCCAATCCTCCTTGTGTAATTAAACAGCGCAACATGTTCATCCATTTTTATGAATGCTGGGGACGCAGTATTAAAAGGATAGGCTCAAAATATATAGGTCTGGGAAATGTTTAAGGCATACTGCGTCGCTATAAAATGAATTGCACTACTATTTTCACAATTTTATTGATATTTGGTGTCAAATACACATATCTTGGTATATTTGAAGTCCCAAAACGGCTTAGTTTCAGAAATATCCCAATTTTGAATTCAAAAATGACCGTTAGCTCCGCACCCTCCGCTCATTTGCGCCGCACCCAATATTTCCCACAGGCTCTGTCTGCATAGGGTGTTCATGCCATTCATGAAATTTTCAAGTTCCAATAATTACAGAAAAGAAGTCTCGCTACATATCAATTTTTTTTAAATATTTCCGGGTTGTCTAGGATGAGAATTACAGCTATATAACCATTCAACCTGAATTTTGGACGGCCTTAAAATGTTCTTTGATTGATTCCAGAGTTTTGTACATGGAGGGATTCAACTTCTCAGAATGTTTTACTTATTTATGACATGTTCAGACAGATCAGAAACAATCAGATCGCGGCAAATGTCAACATTCTCATCAAATTTTCTATTTGGTTATACCACCCCCAGACTCTCGTTTTTTGAACGGGAAACACCTTTTAAACTAATACGAAATACGCCCTTGCGTATATGCAAAGAGTCTCTCATAGAAATGTTACATCTAATGATTATTATAATTTACCAGGAAAATTAAACATTTAGCATGTTTAGAAAAAGCATTTAAAATCACATTGTGATTAAAGTAATTATTTTAGAGCTTGTATTACATTTTTGCATACATCTGACCAAAAAACAAGTTTTTTATTTATTGTTTGATATATAGTAGGACTTGTTTATTTTCATCAGCACCTCTTGTTTTTTATCAGCATTTTATATTCTCATCAGAGCATCATATTTAATATTATAAGCACGTGTATTCCAGGTACGAGGCGTAGAAGAAGTAGTAGCTCAACGTCAACGAATAACCAACAGTTTGAAAATAGCCCCTCCAATTGTAAGTACAATCTCTCTCTCAAGTCAAACGTTAACTATTGTGTTTGATCACAAAAGTAGACCTGATAGCAAAAATAGTAAATACAATTTATTTTATGGTAGTCTTACCCAATTATATCAAAGTGTGATACGTGAAACTTTTTTTTTCTTAATATCAAAAAGTGGTTTCTGAAGAACCACTCTTAAAAATGAATTACTTGAGTATTTCCCAAGTATTTCCCAAGTATAAAAATTACTTAAAGTTAAATACTTAGTTTTACTTCATTTGACTTAAGTTTAACTTATATTGTCATTTTTTTAATTGCTTAATTATGTAAATGAGTATTACAATTACTACAGTAAGTATTTCAATTTCTCTCCTTGCATTAGTAAATTCACCATAAATGAATTACTTCAAAATTACTTAAAAATTATTCAGTAGTTCAAGATTATTTAAGTAATTTTTGACTTAAAATGAGTAGTACAAATTCTCAATATAAGGAAATCCAAGTAATGATTTTTAAGAGTGACTTTTTGTTCGAAAAATCGTGAATTTATTGAAAACTAAATTTTAGAGGTCAAAAGTATCTTTTAATAAGAGATAATTCATACCAATGCATAGTATTGATCCTCATATGTTTTTGCCGATAAAAATTAAGAAAATCGGAAAAACGAGAAATGAACTCATCATTGCATAAAAATGGTTCAGAAAAAAATCATTTCAAAATTTCAATTGCAAGTAGTTCTCATAGCAACGAATGGTACAATAATATCTAAAACATATTCTTCCTTTTAACCTGGTTGGACAATTAACATTGGTTTATTTTTTAAGTTTAGCATATTTAGAAAAGATTGACACAGAAAAAATTCAAATTTTTTCAAAACGTTTTTGCCACCTGAGTGAGTCATAATGACATCACTTAAGGTGCTATGGAAGTTAACAGGAAATGACAAAACAGGAAGTGACAAAGCCATGCTGGATTTTGAAAATTTTTTGAACCAAGATAACAAGAGTTCTGTTTGGACCTCCAGTCAGTCTAACTAGTTCCACATATCATTTACATGACCGGGAACACAACGGAAATGGTCAGAATGACCATAAACATGATGAAATAACCTTTTCAGCCCTCTGAAAATGTGCCTGAAAAACAGCTAAGAGTAGGTGCTCAGGAAAGGTCACTGAACAGAATCTTTTGAATTTTTCAGAAAATCTGCCCAATATATTGCTTAAAATGATACAATTTAAAAAAATTTGATATCATTCTTAGAAAAAGAAAAAAATGAAAAAAACTGAATTGAAAATCGATCGATTTACCTTTTAACTACAGCCATTATTGTTTCAGACAATTTTTTAAAATTTCAAAGATTGTATCATTTAGAGCAATATATTGGACACGTTTTCTGAAAAAATCGAAAGATTCTGTTCAGTGACCTTTCCTGAGCACCTACTTTTAGCTATTTTTCAGTCACATTTTCAGAGGGCTGAAAAGGTTATTTCATCATTTTTATGGTCATTCTGACCATTTCCATTGTGTTCCCAGTCATGTAAATGATGTGTGGAACTAGTAAAACTGACTAGAGGTCCAAACAGAACTCTGATATCTTGCTTCAAAAAAATTTCAAAATCCAGCATGGCTTTGTCACTTCCTGTTTTGTCATTTCCTGTTAACTTCCATGGCACCTTAAGCTGCAAAATATTTTTTATATGCTGAAACATTGAAGTGACACAGTAAATATAGCAATTTAATATGAAATAGTGTGTCCTTTATTCAATCTTTGCATTACTGTTAAAATGTTAAAAATATCATCTTTTTTGAAATGTATGAAGGAATATTTGATGATTAAATATTTCAACTTTTTTTGAAAAATGGCAGGAAATTTGAATATTTGAGAAATGAAAAGCTGAAAACTTATTTTAATATTTTTCAAAAAAACCTAAAATAACTTTTAAAGTCACGACAAATAGTAAATGAATGATAAAAACATATTTTCAAACTTTACAAGGGGACTTTAACCAAAAATAAGTACCTACTTAAGCTTGTATTCGCGAATGCTCCTCTTGGCTGTCGACTACAGAATTAACATACTGTTTTACCTACTATTTTACGACCAACTCATTTAAATATGAATGGAATAGAGCAGATACACGCCGGGATCATATTAATCCTAGTTGAGAAGATTCCCTGTTATTCTATGAGCTTTATACAGTGACCTTTGAAATGAACACCAATAGACCTTTCTTGCCCTTGTTCACTGCTACCCACCTAATTACACAGACGTATCGTCGGTGTATTATGGCGGAACTTCCTCCGGGACTAGGTTTCGGTAAGATTTTTCATTTCCCGATTTACACCTACTTATAAGTCACGTTGTGGATAATAATTTGGCTCGAAGGTTCTAATTCAGCAAGTTTTTCCCAAAGATAAATATATACGGGCTAGATCAGAGGCCCTGTTATCAGTTGGTCGCAAAAAGTCTGCGTTGAGTCTGCTCTGCAACAGTGGTCGCAAAACGCAACGCTTGAGTTGCGTGATAGAGCAATCGCAGACGCAAAGCAAACACAAAACAATAGAAACACAAAGTAACGAAAGCAAGCTTAAAGTGTAATCTGGTGGGAATTTCAAATGTTCGAATTTTCCATCCTTGTATCGTTGGTTCAACTTAGACGTATTCCAAACGAACGCATTGTTCGTTGATCATGGCAAAATGGTTAATGTGGTTTTAAAATGCTTTTGCTTGTTGCGTTTTTGGGACGCACTGTATGTATGGTGAATCTAAGATATCTATTGTTAACAGTTAATAACTATTGTTAAGCAGTAACAATCATATTGAAATAAAGTTCTTGTCTGTATTCTTTGTTGCATTTGATTCAGGGACAGCAGAGATAGTTGAGAATGATACACCGAGTGAGAGTGCCGGCGAATTAGAGCAGTTTATGCTTAACATAGAAGGAGCTACTGGAATTACGGGAGCTACAGGAATTTTGGGACCGACGGGAGCAACGGGAACTTCAGGAGCTCTAGGACCCACTGGGGCTACGGGGCCCACAGGCATTACAGGAGCTACAGGACCTATAGGAATCATGGGACCAACGGGAGCTACTGGTACGTCAGGAGCTCTAGGACCCACGGGATCTACCGGACCGACAGGAATTTTGGGACCCACGGGAGCTACAGGACCTTCAGGGCTTACGGGAGCTACAGGACCCACGGGAATTACTCCAGGAACCACAGGGGCTACAGGAACCACGGGGGCCACGGGAACCACTGGAGCGACAGGAACCATGGGAGCAACAGGTACCACGGGAATTATAGGAGCTACAGGACAAACAGGTAACATTTCTAGTAATGATTAGGTGATTGAAACATATTTAGTATAGTTCAGGGCAACTCAAAACATATAAATATCTAATTGATATTCTTCAATCAGATAAAAATATTTTGCTAATCAAGAATATTTACAAAATCGGTGAACTATAGTATTCATTAGTGGAGTCAGAATAAGGGTTAAGGCGTGCGTTCAGAGGGATCTTATTGGACATAATTTTTCATGTTGCTAGTATGATTTTATATATTTGTATGGATTATTAGATCTTAGTTTTTCAGCTTTTAGATTTTGTGACCATTTTACCCCCATGGACCATAATTAATTTGGACCCCTGCTATAAAATTGGGCTAGAACTCCAAAAATGCTCAATTGAATATTTCCAAATGACTAAGACAGATTGGTATAGGCTAACTGAATATATTATAAAAATCTCATGTCGCATGGTGAAGTGGGTCACATGGTGAATGGGGTTGCCATGGAAACGGATAAAACATACCCTTCAGTTGTTGATTTTCAGGCCATTTCTCAGGAATGACATAGTCATTTCATGCATATCTTGTCACCATTGTGTTAGGGAGAGTTAAAATGTGAATAGAAAACGTCTACAACTTATTAGCAACAATCTTATCTAAAGATCAGTCCATAGATTCTCAGGCTTTGGCCTTATATAGGTCCATGACTAATACAGGGGTCTATTTCACAGACTCGAATTCCCACATTTGATGGATGCTATAACTTAAATAAGGGAAATAAGGGAGATACAGGTCTCATTTTTTCAGATCTTCGTAAATGGTTGGTTTTCAGCATTGTATTATACTTTGGGAGCTGATATATGATTGGCTGCCATGGTGACCACGGTTTTATGGAAATCCGGAACCCCTCATTTGATGGATGTTATAACTTTTAAAATAATGGAGATATGTGTCTCCTTTGTTCAGATCATAGACAATGATTGATTTTAAATATTGATTCAGGCTTTGGGAGCTGGTATCTGATTGGTTACCATGGTAACAAGGGTTTTGTTGAAATTCAGACCTCCAGAATTGATAAACATTATAACTTGAAAATAGTGGCAGATACAGATATCATCTTTTCAGATTTAAGATAAGAATAAGATGTGTGTATTGTATTAGACTTTGGAAGTTAGGATTTACTTGGTTATCATGGGGACCATGTTTCATTGTAACTGCAGTTTTTTCAGATTCACCTAGGTAGGTCAATACATGACATAAAATACCGAATTGCCCAAAATTATCATTTTATTCTTAATTTTTGATATTTTCTATTTTATATAATTTATTAATAGTCACAGGCAGGTATTGAAAAATTTGTCCGCTGTTACTGAGCATTTATTTTTTAACTCATATGTTTCGTTATATCAATGAAAATTGCTTACTCCATGCAATGGATATATCATTTGTGGGTAACTTAGACTTCTGTTTGAAGTCCAATGACACTAGGAGTAAACGCTATTGAAAACGGCGTCAGAGTATCATACACTAAAATGTACCATTTCTTTCTTAACTTTTTAATGGTACGATAAAGTGACATGTAAATATTTACACATGTTTTCAGCATAACTCTGCCAGTATGAGTGATTTTTATGAAAAAAATAATGTTTAAATTTTTTGTCCGCTGTGACAGAGCACTTTCAAATGTGAGACACATTGATTTGTAAAATAAATTTTACAACAACACTTTGGAGGAATACTTGTCAGAATTGGGAAAGAGGTTTGGCACTTTCTCTCATCTAAAGTGTAGTAAAAAATATAGAATGAATCTCAAATGGTCGCTTTGGGGCCAACTGGTACAACAGGACAAAGTGGTGTCTTGGGGCCAACTGGTGCAACGGGACAAAGTGGTGTCTTGGGGCCAACTGGTGCAAGAGGACAAAGTGGTGTCTTGGGGCCAACTGGTGCAACAGGAGAAAGTGGTGTCTTGGGGCCAACTGGTGCAACAGGACAAAGTGGTGTCTTGGGGCCAAATGGTGCGACAGGACAAAGTAGTGTCTTGGGGCCAACTGGTGCCACGGGTTCTCCAGGTAATATAGGCGCAACGGAGCTAATAAGTTCTACAGGACCAACTGGAGCAACAGGACTAATCGGTACCACAGGCCAAACTGGTGCTACTGGTATATCTGGTACCACTGGACCGATTTCTCAACGTAGTTCACATTTGAAACTGTCTCGTCACAGTGGACAAAAAATTTGAACATTAATTTTTGTGAAAAAATTAAAAAGACCCAGTACATCCAGATCTTATTAATACGTTCAGATTTATACTGGAAACATATGTAAATATCATTTTGTCGTGCCATTAAAAAGTTCAAAAAGAAATGAAACATTTTAGAGTATGGTGCTCTGGCGTTGTTTTCAATGGCTTTAACACCTAGCGTTATTGGACATCAAACAGTGAAGGTTCCCCGCAAATGTTATACCCATTGCATGGATAAGGCAATACTCTTTGGTATTATGAAATACAAGAACTAAAAAATTATGAAGTTTTCGTAGTGTTTTTATGAAAAAATAGCATGCTCTATCACAGCGGACAAATCTTTCGACACCTGCCTGTGATACTAGAGATACAAAAATTGTTTGGCTCATAAAATATCAAATACTAGATATGGTAAACAATACATGTATGTCTGACAATATTGCCTCATTCCATTCAACTAGTTCTCAAAAATATTCTGACTCCTTACTTGTACCTTTGTACTCATCATTATTGTTTTCATTTTGCACAATTGCCTCTTAAAATATTGACAATTTCTGTTTGAATGGAGGATTGTTTTGACCATTCAGGATCCTCAGGGGATTTAGTTCATTCATGCAGTATTGGGCTTGGCAGAATGGCTTAAGACTAGTCATGGGGGTTCCCAGTATATGAAATTTGGCTGGGGTCCTAGTCTGAACCCTCAGATATCAATATGTTCCCATACCAATCTGTCATACCTGTCATACCAACCAAAATAATGACCAAAAGCAATACCAAAATATAAGGGCCAATGCAATACCAAATATAAAACATAGCCATTCCAAATGTCTGATGCCCCAAGAAGTAGGCAGATCTTTGAGGAAACGACCAACACAACCTCACATTAAGGGCTTTGTATAAAAAAAACTCCTACCTCATACCCACCTACGGATAAAGATAAAGAAATTGAAAGAAAGTGTACTAAATTCGATGCCCCGAGTGGGAATCGAACCCAGCTGGGATGTAGTAGCAACTTGCTATCAAGGGTCGTTACAAATGCATCTATAATTCATAAAAAACTAAGATTTGATAAACTAATATCTTTAAAATTGAACCCTTCAAAGACTGTATCATGTCCCACGTATGTGGGTAGGTGGGTATGGGGTAGGAGGTTTTTTATACAAAGCCATTTAGAAATTCCTGATAAAATAAAAAGTTGAATTGTTCACCTGCAAAAGTGCTGCAGAATTACAAAAATAACTGCCACCAATAGATTACGAGATGAGATGTTTCACTTGTGATACTATATTCTAGTATTCTCCAAACCAAAACAATCCTGCCCTCACTTATGAAGGTGTTGACATTTCAACTCTCACATTTGAAGAGGGTAAATTATCAAACCTATGTATGCAGCCTAAACCAAGCTCTACCAAGCCAAACACTGCATGAACTTTGAATTCCCTGAGGAATCCTTACCACCAAAATGGTCAAAAAATCCTTCCTTCCAACATGTCCAATGAAAATTGTTGATATATATAAAGAGGCAATTTTGGAAGATGAAAACAATAAATATGGTGAGTAAAAAGAAATTATGAATCAGAATATGTGTAAGAACTAGAGGAATGGAATGAAATTAAGAGCAAAGTGATAATTTTGAGAAATTTGGTATTCTATGTTGTGTATTGGCCATTCTCAAATGAAGGTAAATCTGAAATCAAAAATGAAGTTACCATGAGAATGAAACATGGTTACCAAAGTAACCAAGTAAATTCTTACCTCCAAAGTCTATAACAATACAAAGATTTAATTTTTTTAATATCTGAAAAGTTGATAACAGAATCTGATTAAATTGAAAAGTTATAGCATTTATCAATTGTGGAGGTCAAATTTCAATAAAACCCTAGTTACCATGGTAACCAATCAAATTTTAGCTCCAAAAGCCAGATCTAATATTTTAAATCAATCATTGTCTAAGATCTGAAAAAATTAGACATGTATCTCCTTATTTCAAAAGTTATAGCATCCATCCAATGTGGGGGTCAGACTTTCCCTAAAACCCTGGTTACCATGGCAACCAATCATGTACCAGCTCCCAAAGTACAGGGCTGTCAACTTGGGACCACCTAATATGAGTGACTTCAAAATGTTGGACACCTAAGTCCAAATCTGAACACTTTTGTCCAAATTTTGAACACCTTTGGCCAACTTTTAAACACCTTTGGCCAAAGTTTGAGCACCTTTGCCAAACTTTGAACACCTCAAATTTTTCGGGCTCACTACGCTCGCGATGTCGTCAACGGGGGGGGGGGGGGTAGGTATGAAAAATGTCCAATGAACATGCGTGACACATACGGGATTCGCGTGACAAATCCGAACAAATTGCGTTCGGTTTTTTCCGACGTTCGTATTTTTACCGTATCGTAAACATATTTCGAAAAAATTTCTACAGAAATATTTTTGCTTGACAATTGCCAGGTAAAATGCGTATTTTGCGTGACATTTTCTGTCACGCAAAAAAAACTGGCGTGACTTCAAATTCTTCAGCAAATGCGTGACAAATACGCGAATTGCGGGACAGTTGACAGGCCTGAAAGTATAATCTGAAATCTGATAGTCTGAAATCTCCATTATCTCAAATGTGGGATACTGTTGTGCAGTACAACCTCATAGACTATGTTAAGAACATGATTTTTAATGCAGAAATCCCTTCAAAACAAGAATTTAGAACTGTAGTCTACGGACGTGTCAAGAGTTTTCACAATTATAGTACTGTTTTATCATCATTAATGTATAAAAATCTCAACGTGGTGACAGGATCGTTGTCTATCCTAAAACCGAATGTATGGTGGGTGATCGCAAAAGAAAACCCCAATGTATTATACCTCTGTAAAATGATGGTCAAATTATTAACCTCGACATATTTTAACAGTAGACGCCGTGAGGGTGACACTACTTTATCAGAAATCTGTATATTTTGTGATCTTAACGAAAGAGAAAGTGTTAAGCATTTCTTGATTACTTGTCCAGCTTTTACTGATGTTAGAAAACCCTTACTCAATTTAGCGAGAGGTAATCTGAATGTAATGAACGACGATTATATTCTTAAAGTGATTCTAGGAACTGTATACAATGATGATAAGGAGACTCTGTTACTCATAGCTATGCATGTGTACGAGTTACACAGGCATAGGCAATTTCTTGTGGATAAAAGTTAGTTATCCTCTTTACCTTTAACATCAAGTAACACAAATATGTTTTATAATTTTATTTAATTTTCTCTACATGTTAATATGAATGTAACTCTCTTTTATTTAAGAGGTAAATAAATTATACATACATACAATACAATACTTTAAATAAATCAACCATTTACAAAAGTCTGAAAAAATGAGACCTGTACATTGTATCTCCCTTATTTCAAAAGTTATAGCATCCATCCAATATGGGGGTTCGAGTCTGTGAAATAGACCCCTGTATAAGTCATGGACCCATATGAGGCCATAACCTGAGATTCTATGGACTGATCTTTAAATAAGATTGGTGCTAATATGTTATAGAAGTTTTCTATTCACATTTTAACCCTTCCTAACACATTGGTGACAAAATATGCATGAAATGACTCTGTCATTCCTGAAAATTGACACCCGAAGGATATGTTTTATCCATTTCCATAGCAACAACGTCACCATGTGAAATTAAATTTTTATAATATATTCAGTTAGCCTATACCAATATACCTCAGTAATTGAGTACCTGAGCCTATGGGATCGACCAGGTATCCGCCCGTTGGTCCGTCCGTCGGTCCGTCTGTCTGTCATCATTGGCCACACAAATTAAAACTGCTATTCGGATTGAGTCATATCCACATTCATTTTATGCATATCCATAATGCCTATTTGACCTATCATGGCCATTTCCCAAGTTCACCCAGTTTCCGAGAAATTGCTGATTTTAACGTAGAAAAGTCAAATTTTCTATCAATACTTGGCACTTTGTTGAAGTAGAACTTTCAAATAACTTCTAGTAGTTGCTGTATATGCAGTTTATTACAGTTTTTGGTGTTTACTCTATAAAATTTGACAAAAAGTAGGGAACTTTCAGGGAACTTTCTCATGTATAAAGTCAATCATCATTGGCTGCACAAATTAAAACTGCTATTCGCATTGAGTCATATTCACATTCATTTTATGCATATCCATAATGCCTGTTTGACCTATCATCGCCATTTCTCAAGTTCGCCCAGTTTCCGAGAAATCGCCGACTTTGAGGTCAAAAAGTCAAATTAATTGACTAACTGAAAAATTGACTAACTGAACAATTGACTAACTGAAACTGATAGGCAAATCTGACTTGAGAAACTGAGTACTGAGTAACTAAATAATCAATTTGAAAAATCAACTTTTTTTGGATGTAAATTTTGGTCACCTTAATCACAAAAGACCTATTAAACTCTGAATAAGTAAAATGTTCAAGGTCAAAGGTCCTTGAACTAGGTCACAAACTGTGCTATCTAAGTTTCTCAAAGTTCGAGACTACAAATCAAAATCAATAATTTTGTTTGAAAATCAGGATATACATTCCTCTGAAGGTTCTACACTGTGTGAGCACAGGACCGTGGGTCCTTTATTTGGAAACATTCCGATGAGAATTTTTGGAGTTCTTGCCTAATTTCGTAGTAGGGGTCCAAATTATAGCCCTTGGGGGTCAAATGGCCGCAAAATCTGAAAGCTGAAAAACTAAGATCTAATAATTCATTCAAATATGTAAAATCATATTAGCAACATAAAAAATGATGTCCCATAATATCCCTCTGAACACACACCTAAACCCTCATTCTGACTCCACTATTATTATTTTGACTACTAAATAGTTTTACAACCTTTAAATCTAGTGTTTCAACTTCAGGTGCCACCGGACTAACTGGATTTCAAGGAAATAATGGACCAACAGGATCAACTGGACTTCTAGGAAGCACAGGGCCAACAGGAGCAACTGGACTTATAGGAAGCACAGGGCCAACAGGAGCAACTGGATTTCTAGGGAGCACAGGGCCAACAGGAGCAACTGGATTTCTAGGGAGCACAGGGCCAACAGGAGCAACTGGACTAACTGGAGCGACAGGGTCACAAGGGGCAACAGGACCAAAAGGGGCTCAAGGACAAGTGGGTGCAACTGGACCATCTGGGATAAGTGGTGCAACAGGAACAAGTGGTGCAACTGGACAAACTGGTGCTTTGGGGCCAACTGGTGCCACGGGTTCTCCAGGTGATATAGGCGCAACGGGGCTTATAGGTTCTACAGGACCAACTGGAGCAACAGGACTAATCGGTACCACAGGCCCAACAGGTGCTACTGGTATATCTGGTGCCACTGGACCAAGTGGTGCTACAGGACAAACTGGTGCGACAGGATCTACTGGAGCAACAGGCTCTACAGGATCCACAGGTGCAACTGGTGCCACAGGATCTACTGGAGCAACGGGATCAACAGGCGCAACTGGTGCAACAGGCCCTACAGGAGCGACTGGTGCAACAGGGTCTACAGGAGCAACAGGTGCCACAGGATCTACAGGGGCAACTGGTTCAACAGGATCTACAGGAGCGACTGGTGCAACAGGCTCCACGGGAGCAACTGGTGCAACAGGATCAACGGGTGCAACTGGAGCAACAGGATCTACAGGGGCAACTGGTTCAACAGGACCTACAGGAGCGACTGGTGCAACAGGCTCCACGGGAGCAACTGGTGCAACAGGATCAACGGGTGCAACTGGAGCAACAGGATCTACAGGTGCAACTGGTGCCACAGGATCTACAGGGGCAACTGGTGCAACAGGGTCTACAGGAGCCACTGGTGCAACAGGCTCTACTGGTGCCACAGGATCTACAGGGGCAACAGGGTCTACAGGAGCAACTGGTGCAACGGGCTCGACGGGCGCGATAGGTGCCACGGGATCAACTGGTGCAACGGGATCCACAGGTGCAACTGGAGCCACAGGATCTACTGGAGCTACTGGGGCGACAGGCTCTACAGGGGCAACTGGTGCAACAGGCTCCACGGGAGCAACTGGTGCCACAGGATCTACTGGGGCGACAGGCTATACTGGTGCAACTGGTGCAACAGGCTCCACGGGAGCAACTGGTGCAACAGGATCAACTGGCGCAAAAGGATCTACAGGTGCAACTGGTGCCACAGGATCCTCAGGGGCAACTGGAGCAACAGGGTCCACAGGAGCGACTGGTGCCACAGGCTCTACAGGAGCGACTGGTGCAACAGGTTCTACTGGTGCCACAGGATCGACAGGGGCAACTGGTGCAACAGGGTCTACGGGTGCAACTGGAGCAACAGGATCTATAGGTGCAACTGGTGCCACAGGATCTACAGGGGCAACTGGTGCAACAGGGTCCACAGGAGCGACTGGTGCAACAGGCTCTACTGGTGCCACAGGAGCAACTGGTTCAACAGGATCTACAGGAGCGACTGGTGCAACGGGCTCGACGGGCGCGTCAGGTGCCACGGGATCTTCTGGTGCAACAGGCTCTACTGGTGCCACAGGATCTACAGGGGCAACAGGAGCGACTGGTGCAACGGGCTCGACGGGCGCAACAGGTGCCACAGGATCTACTGGTGCAACAGGATCCACAGGTGCAACTGGTGCCACAGGATCTACTGGAGCTACTGGGGCGACGGGCTCTACAGGGGCAACTGGTGCAACAGGATCCACGGGAGCAACTGGTGCCACAGGATCAACGGGCGCAACTGGAGCAACAGGATCTACAGGTGCAACTGGTGCCACAGGATCTACTGGGGCGACAGGCTCTACTGGTGCAACTGGTACCACAGGATCTACAGGGGCAACTGGTTCCACAGGATCTACAGGAGCGACTGGTGCAACAGGCTCTACTGGTGCCATAGGATCTACAGGGGCAACTGGTGCCACAGGAGCTACTGGGGCGACAGGTTCTACAGGGGCAACAGGTGCAACAGGCTCCACGGGAGCAACTGGTGCCACCGGATCAACAGGCGCAACTGGATCGACAGGATCTATAGGTGCAACAGGCTCCACGGGGGCAACTGGTGCAACAGGATCAACGGGTGCAACTGGTGCCACCGGATCTACTGGAGCTACTGGGGCGACAGGCTCTACAGGGGCAACAGGTGCAACAGGCTCCACGGGAGCAACTGGTGCCACAGGGGCAACAGGCGCCACTGGATCGACAGGTGCAACTGGTGCAACAGGCTCCACGGGAGCAACTGGTGCCACAGGATCTACAGGGGCAACTGGTGCCACCGGATCTACTGGAGCTACTGGGACGACAGGCTCTACAGGTGCAACAGGCTCCACGGGAGCAACTGGTGCCACAGGATCAACAGGCGCAACTGGATCGACAGGCTCAACAGGTGCAACTGGTGCAACAGGCTCAACGGGAGCAACTGGTGCAACAGGATCAACGGGTGCTACTGGAGCAACAGGATCTACAGGTGCAACTGGTGCCACGGGATCTACAGGGGCAACTGGTGCAACAGGGTCTACAGGAGCGACTGGTGCCCCAGGATCAACGGGCGCAACAGGATCTACAGGTGCAACTGGTGCCACAGGATCTACTGGGGCGACGGGCTCTACTGGTGCAACTGGTGCCACAGGATCTACAGGGGCAACTGGTTCAACAGGATCTACAGGAGCGACTGGTGCAACAGGCTCTACTGGTGCCACAGGATCTACAGGGGCAACTGGTGCCACGGGATCTACTGGAGCTATTGGGGCGACAGGCTCTACAGGGGCAACAGGTGCAACAGGCTCCACGGGAGCAACTGGTGCCACAGGATCAACAGGCGCAACTGGATCGACAGGATCTACAGGTGCAACAGGCTCCACGGGAGCAACTGGTGCAACAGGATCAACGGGTGCAACTGGAGCAACAGGATCTACAGGGGCAACTGGTGCGACAGGGTCAACAGGGGCGACTGGTGCAACAGGCTCTACTGGTGCCACAGGATCTACAGGGGCAACAGGATCTACAGGAGCGACTGGTGCAACGGGCTCGACGGGCGCGACAGGTGCCACGGGATCTACTGGTGCAACAGGCTCTACTGGTGCCACAGGATCTACAGGGGCAACAGGAGCGACTGGTGCAACGGGCTCGACGGGCGCTACAGGTGCCACAGGATCTACTGGTGCAACAGGATCTACAGGTGCAACTGGTGCCACAGGATCTACTGGAGCTACTGGGGCGACAGGCTCTACAGGGGAAAATGGTGCAACAGGATCCACGGGAGCAACTGGTGCAACAGGATCTACGGGCGCAACTGGAGCAACAGGATCTACAGGTGCAACTGGTGCCACAGGATCTACTGGGGCGACAGGCTCTACTGGTGCAACTGGTGCCACAGGATCTACAGGGTCAACTGGTTCAACAGGATTTACAGGAGCGACTGGTGCAACAGGCTCTACTGGTGCCACAGGATCTACAGGGGCAACTGGTGCAACAGGATCTCCTGGAGCTACTGGGGCGACAGGATCTACAGGGGCAACTGGTGCAACGGGATCCATGGGAGCAACTGGTGCCACAGGATCAACGGGCGCAACTGGAGCAACAGGATCTACAGGTGCAACTGGTGCCACAGGATCTACTGGGGCGACAGGCTCTACTGGGGCAACTGGTGCCACGGGATCTACAGGGGCAATTGGTTCAACAGGATCTACAGGAGCGACTGGTGCAACAGGCTCTACTGGTGCCACAGGATCCACAGGGGCAACTGGTGCCACAGGATCTACTGGAGCTAATGGGGCGACAGGCTCTACAGGGGCAACAGGTGCAACAGGCTCCACGGGAGCAACTGGTGCCACAGGATCAACAGGCGCAACTGGATCGACAGGATCTACAGGTGCAACTGGAGCAACAGGCTCCACGGGAGCAACTGGTGCCACAGGATCAACGGGCGCAACTGGAGCAACAGGATCTACAGGTGCAACTGGTGCCACAGGATCTACTGGGGCGACGGGCTCTACTGGTGCAACTGGTGCCACAGGATCAACAGGCGCAACTGGATCGACAGGATCTACAGGTGCAACTGGTGCAACAGGCTCCACGGGAGCAACTGGTGCAACAGGATCAACGGGTGCAACTGGAGCAACAGGATCTACAGGTGCAACTGGTGCCACAGGATCTACAGGGGCAACTGGTGCAACAGGGTCCACAGGAGCGACTGGTGCAACAGGCTCTACTGGTTCCACAGGATCTACAGGGGCAACAGGATCCACAGGAGCGACTGGTGCAACGGGCTCGATGGGCGCGACGGGTGCCACGGGATCTACTGGTGCAACAGGCTCTACTGGTGCCACAGGATCTACAGGGGCAACAGGAGCGACTGGTGCAACGGGCTCGACGGGCGCAACAGGTGCCACAGGTTCTACTGGTGCAACAGGATCCACAGGTGCAACTGGTGCCACAGGATCTACTGGAGCTACTGGGGCGACAGGCTCTACAGGAGCGACTGGTGCAACGGGATCCACGGGAGCAACTGGTGCAACAGGATCAACGGGCGCAACAGGATCTACTGGTGCAACTGGTGCCACAGGATCTACTGGGGCGACAGGCTCTACTGGTGCAACAGGATCAACTGGTGCAACTGGTGCAACAGGATCAACGGGCGCAACTGGAGCAACAGGATCTACAGGTGCAACTGGTGCCACAGGATCTACTGGGGCGACAGGCTCTACTGGTTCAACTGGTGCCACAGGATCTACAGGGGCAACTGGTTCAACAGGATCTACAGGAGCGACTGGTGCAACAGGCTCTACTGGTGCCACAGGATCTACAGGGGCAACAGGAGCGACTGGTGCAACAGGATCCACGGGAGCAACTGGTGCACCAGGATCAACGGGCGCAACTGGAGCAACAGGATCTACTGGTGCAACTGGTGCCACAGGATCTACAGGAGCAACAGGTGCCACGGGATCTACTGGTGCAACAGGATCTACAGGATCCACAGGTGCAACAGGATCTACAGGAGCGACTGGTGCAACAGGCTCTACTGGTGCCACAGGATCTACAGGGGCAACTGGTGCAACAGGATCTACTGGAGCTACTGGGGCGACAGGATCTACAGGGGCAACTGGTGCAACAGGATCCATGGGAGCAACTGGTGCCACCGGATCAACGGGCGCAACTGGAGCAACAGGATCTACAGGTGCAACTGGTGCCACAGGATCTACTGGGGTGATAGGCTCTACTGGGGCAACTGGTGCCACGGGATCTACAGGGGCAATTGGTTCAACAGGATCTACAGGAGCGACTGGTGCAACAGGCTCTACTGGTTCCACAGGATCCACAGGGGCAACTGGTGCCACAGGATCTACTGGAGCTACTGGGGCGACAGGCTCTACAGGGGCAACAGGTGCAACAGGCTCCACGGGAGCAACTGGTGCCACAGGATCAACGGGCGCAACTGGAGCAACAGGATCTACAGGTTCAACTGGTGCCACAGGATCTACTGGGGCGACGGGCTCTACTGGTGCAACTGGTGCCACAGGATCAACAGGCGCAACTGGATCGACAGGCTCCACGGGAGCAACTGGTGCAACAGGATCAACGGGCGCAACTGGAGCAACAGGATCTACTGGTGCAACTGGTGCCACAGGATCTACAGGGGCAACTGGTTCAACAGGATCTACAGGAGCAACTGGTGCCACAGGATCAACGGGCGCAACTGGAGCAACAGGATCTACAGGTGCAACTGGTGCCACAGGATCTACTGGGGCGACGGGCTCTACTGGTGCAACTGGTGCCACAGGATCTACAGGGGCAACTGGTTCAACAGGATCTACAGGAGCGACTGGTGCAACAGGCTCTACTGGTGCCACAGGATCTACAGGGGCAACAGGAGCGACTGGTGCAACGGGCTCGACGGGCGCAACAGGTGCCACAGGATCTACTGGTGCAACAGGATCTACAGGATCCACAGGTGCAACAGGATCTACTGGAGCTACTGGGGCGTCAGGCTCTACAGGGGCAACTGGTGCAACAGGATCCACGGGAGCAACTGGTGCAACAGGATCAACGGGCGCAACTGGAGCAACAGGATCTACTGGTGCAACTGGTGCCACAGGATCTACTGGGGCGACAGGCTCTACTGGTGCAACTGGTGCCACAGGATCTACAGGGGCAACTGGTTCAACAGGATCTACAGGAGCAACGGGTGCAACGGGATCAACGGGCGCAACTGGAGCAACAGGATCTACTGGTGCAACTGGTGCCACAGGATCTACAGGGGCAACTGGTTCTACAGGAGCGACTGGTGCCACAGGATCAACGGGCGCAACTGGAGCAACAGGATCTACAGGTGCAACTGGTGCCACAGGATCTACTGGGGCGACGGGCTCTACTGGTGCAACTGGTTCAACAGGATCTACAGGAGCGACTGGTGCAACAGGCTCTACTGGTGCCACAGGATCTACAGGGGCAACTGGAGCAACAGGATCTACTGGAGCTACTGGGGCGACAGGCTCTACAGGGGCAACAGGTGCAACAGGCTCCATGGGAGCAACTGGTGCCACAGGATCAACAGGCGCAACTGGATCGACAGGCTCTACTGGTGCCACAGGATCTACAGGGGCAACAGGAGCGACTGGGGCAACGGGCTCGACGGGCGCAACAGGTGCCACGGGATCTAATGGTGCAACAGGCTCTACTGGTGCCACAGGATCTACAGGGGCAACAGGAGCGACTGGTGCAACGGGCTCGACGGGCGCAACAGGTGCCACAGGATCTACTGGTGCAACAGGATCCACAGGCGCAACTGGTGCCACAGGATCTACTGGGACGACAGGCTCTACAGGGGCAACTGGTGCAACAGGATCCACGGGAGCAACTGGTGCAACAGGATCAACGGGCGCAACTGGAGCAACAGGATCTACAGGTGCAACTGGTGCCACAGGATCTACTGGGGCGACAGGCTCTACTGGTGCAACTGGTGCCACAGGATCTACAGGGGCAACTGGTTCAACAGGATCTACAGGAGCGACTGGTGCAACAGGCTCTACTGGTGCCACAGGATCTACAGGGGCAACAGGAACGACTGGTTCGACGGGCGCAACAGGTGCCACAGGATCTACTGGTGCAACAGGATCCACAGGTGCAACAGGATCTACTGGAGCTACTGGGGCGACAGGCTCTACAGGGGCAACTGGTGCAACAGGATCCACGGGAGCAACTGGTACAACAGGATCAACGGGCGCAACTGGAGAAACAGGATCTACTGGTGCAACTGGTGCCACAGGATCTACTGGGGCGACAGGCTTTACTGGTGCAACTGGTGCCACAGGATCTACAGGGGCAACTGGTTCAACAGGATCTACAGGAGCAACGGGTGCAACAGGATCAACGGGCGCAACTGGAGCAACAGGATCTACTGGTGCAACTGGTGCCACAGGATCTACTGGGGCGACAGGCTCTACTGGTGCAACTGGTGCCACAGGATCTACTGGGGCAACTGGTTCAACAGGAGCTACAGGAGCGACTGGTGCAACAGGCTCTACTGGTGCCACAGGATCTACAGGGGCAACTGGTGCCACCGGATCTACTGGGGCGACAGGCTCTACAGGGGCAACAGGTGCAACAGGGTCCACAGGAGCGACTGGTGCAACAGGCTCTACTGGTGCCACAGGATCTACAGGGGCAACAGGATCTACAGGAGCGACTGGTGCAACGGGCTCGACGGGCGCGACAGGTGCCACGGGATCCACTGGTGCAACAGGCTCTACTGGTGCAACAGGATCTACAGGGGCAACAGGAGCGACTGGTGCAACGGGTTCGACGGGCGCAACAGGTGCCACAGGATCTACTGGTGCAACAGGATCCACAGGTGCAACAGGATCTACTGGAGCTACTGGGGCGACAGGCTCTACAGGGGCAACTGGTGCAACAGGATCAACGGGTGCAACTGGAGCAACAGGATCTACAGGGGCAACTGGTGCAACAGGATCCACGGGGGCAACTGGTGCAACAGGATCAACGGGCGAAACTGGAGCAACAGGATCTACTGGTGCAACTGGTGCCACAGGATCTACTGGGGCGACAGGCTCTACTGGTGCAACTGGTGCCACAGGATCTACAGGGGCAACTGGTTCAACAGGATCTACAGGAGCAACGGGTGCAACAGGATCAACGGGCGATACTGGAGCAACAGGATCTACTGGTGCAACTGGTGCCACAGGATCTACTGGGGCGACAGGCTCTACTGGTGCAACTGGTGCCACAGGATCTACAGGGGCAACTGGTTCAACAGGATCTACAGGAGCGACTGGTGCAACAGGCTCTACTGGTGCCACAGGATCTACAGGGGCAACTGGTGCCACCGGATCTACTGGGGCGACAGGCTCTACAGGGGCAACAGGTGCAACAGGCTCCACGGGAGCAACTGGTGCCACAGGATCTACTGGGGCAACTGGTTCAACAGGAGCTACAGGAGCGACTGGTGCAACAGGCTCTACTGGTGCCACAGGATCTACAGGGGCAACTGGTGCAACAGGGTCTACAGGAGCAACTGGTGCCACAGGATCAACGGGCGCAACTGGAGCAACAGGATCTACAGGTGCAACTGGTGCCACAGGATCTACAGGGGCAACAGGGTCTACAGGAGCGACTGGTGCCACAGGATCAACGGGCGCAACTGGAGCAACAGGATCTACTGGTGCAACTGGTGCCACAGGATCTACTGGGGCGACGGGCTCTACTGGTGCAACTGGTGCCACAGGATCTACAGGGGCAACTGGTTCAACAGGATCTACAGGAGCGACTGGTGCAACAGGCTCTACTGGTGCCACAGGATCTACAGGTGCAACAGGATCAATAGGCGCAACTGGATCGACAGGATCTACAGGTGCAACTGGTGCAACAGGCTCCACGGGAGCAACTGGTGCAACAGGATCAACGGGTGCAACTGGAGCAACAGGATCTACAGGTGCAACTGGTGCCACAGGATCTACAGGGGCAACTGGTGCAACAGGGTCCACAGGAGCGACTGGTGCAACAGGCTCTACTGGTTCAACAGGATCTACAGGGGCAACAGGATCCACAGGAGCGACTGGTGCAACGGGCTCGATGGGCGCGACAGGTGCCACGGGATCTACTGGTGCAACAGGCTCTACTGGTGCCACAGGATCTACAGGGGCAACAGGAGCGACTGGTGCAACGGGCTCGACGGGCGCAACAGGTGCCACGGGATCTACTGGTGCAACAGGCTCTACTGGTGCCACAGGATCTATAGGGGCAACAGGAGCGACTGGTGCAACGGGCTCGACGGGCGCAACAGGTGCCACAGGATCTACTGGTGCAACAGGATCCACAGGTGCAACTGGTGCCACAGGATCTACTGGAGCTACTGGGACGACAGGCTCTACAGGGGCAACTGGTGCAACAGGATCCACGGGAGCAACTGGTGCAACAGGATCAACGGGCGCAACTGGAGCAACAGGATCTACAGGTGCAACTGGTGCCACAGGATCTACTGGGGCGACTGGTGCCACAGGATCTACAGGGGCAACTGGTTCAACAGGATCTACAGGAGCAACGGGTGCAACAGGATCAACGGGCGATACTGGAGCAACAGGATCTACTGGTGCAACTGGTGCCACAGGATCTACTGGGGCGACAGGCTCTACTGGTGCAACTGGTGCCACAGGATCTACAGGGGCAACTGGTTCAACAGGATCTACAGGAGCGACTGGTGCAACAGGCTCTACTGGTGCCACAGGATCTACAGGGGCAACTGGTGCCACCGGATCTACTGGGGCGACAGGCTCTACAGGGGCAACAGGTGCAACAGGCTCCACGGGAGCAACTGGTGCCACAGGATCTACTGGGGCAACTGGTTCAACAGGAGCTACAGGAGCGACTGGTGCAACAGGCTCTACTGGTGCCACAGGATCTACAGGGGCAACTGGTGCAACAGGGTCTACAGGAGCAACTGGTGCCACAGGATCAACGGGCGCAACTGGAGCAACAGGATCTACAGGTGCAACTGGTGCCACAGGATCTACAGGGGCAACAGGGTCTACAGGAGCGACTGGTGCCACAGGATCAACGGGCGCAACTGGAGCAACAGGATCTACTGGTGCAACTGGTGCCACAGGATCTACTGGGGCGACGGGCTCTACTGGTGCAACTGGTGCCACAGGATCTACAGGGGCAACTGGTTCAACAGGATCTACAGGAGCGACTGGTGCAACAGGCTCTACTGGTGCCACAGGATCTATAGGGGCAACAGGAGCGACTGGTGCAACGGGCTCGACGGGCGCAACAGGTGCCACAGGATCTACTGGTGCAACAGGATCCACAGGTGCAACTGGTGCCACAGGATCTACTGGAGCTACTGGGACGATAGGCTCTACAGGGGCAACTGGTGCAACAGGATCCACGGGAGCAACTGGTGCAACAGGATCAACGGGCGCAACTGGAGCAACAGGATCTACAGGTGCAACTGGTGCCACAGGATCTACTGGGGCGACTGGTGCAACAGGGTCCACAGGAGCGACTGGTGCAACAGGCTCTACTGGTTCAACAGGATCTACTGGGGCGACGGGCTCTACTGGTGCAACTGGTGCCACAGGATCTACAGGGGCAACTGGTTCAACAGGATCTACAGGAGCGACTGGTGCAACAGGCTCTACTGGTGCCACAGGATCTACAGGTGCAACAGGATCAACAGGCGCAACTGGATCGACAGGATCTACAGGTGCAACTGGTGCAACAGGCTCCACGGGAGCAACTGGTGCAACAGGATCAACGGGTGCAACTGGAGCAACAGGATCTACAGGTGCAACTGGTGCCACAGGATCTACAGGGGCAACTGGTGCAACAGGGTCCACAGGAGCGACTGGTGCAACGGGCTCGATGGGCGCGACGGGTGCCACGGGATCTACTGGTGCAACAGGCTCTACTGGTGCCACAGGATCTACAGGGGCAACAGGAGCGACTGGTGCAACGGGCTCGACGGGCGCAACAGGTGCCACGGGATCTACTGGTGCAACAGGATCTACTGGAGCTACTGGGGCGACAGGCTCTACAGGGGCAACTGGTGCAACAGGATCCACGGGAGCAACTGGTGCAACAGGAACAACGGGCGCAACTGGAGCAACAGGATCTACTGGTGCAACTGGTGCCACAGGATCTACTGGGGCGACAGGCTCTACTGGTGCAACTGGTGCCACAGGATCTACAGGGGCAACTGGTTCAACAGGATCTACAGGAGCAACGGGTGCAACAGGATCAACGGGCGCAACTGGAGCAACAGGATCTACTGGTGCAACTGGTGCCACAGGATCTACTGGGGAGACAGGCTCTACTGGTGCCACAGGATCTACAGGGTCAATTGGTTCAACAGGATCTACAGGAGCGACTGGTGCAACAGGCTCTACTGGTGCCACAGGATCTACAGGGGCAAGTGGTGCCACCGGATCTACTGGGGCGACAGGCTCTACAGGCACAACAGGTGCAACAGGGCCCACAGGAGCGACTGGTGCAACAGGCTCTACTGGTGCAACAGGATCTACAGGAGCGACTGGTGCAACGGGCGCGACAGGTGCCACGGGATCCCCTGGTGCAACAGGCTCTACTGGTGCCACAGGATCTACAGGGGCAACAGGAGCGACTGGTGCAACGGGCTCGACGGGCGCAACAGGTGCCACAGGATCTACTGGTGCAACAGGATCCACAGGTGCAACTGGTGCTACAGGATCTACTGGAGCTACTGGGGCGACAGGCTCTACAGGGGCAACTGGTGCAACAGGATCAACGGGTGCAACTGGAGCAACAGGATCTACAGGTGCAACTGGTGCCACAGGATCTACAGGGGCAACTGGTTCAACAGGATCTACAGGAGCGACTGGTGCAACAGGCTCTACTGGTGCCACAGGATCTACAGGGGCAACTGGTGCCACAGGATCTACTGGAGCTACTGGGGCGACAGGATCTACAGGGGCAACTGGTGCAACAGGATCTACAGGAGCGACTGGTGCAACAGGCTCTACTGGTGCAACAGGATCTACAGGGGCAACTGGTGCCACAGGATCTACTGGAGCTACTGGGGCGACAGGATCTACAGGGGCAACTGGTGCAACAGGATCCACGGGAGCAACTGGTGCCACAGGATCTACTGGAGCTACTGGGTCGACAGGCTCTACAGGTGCAACAGGCTCTACGGGAGCAACTGGTGCCACAGGATCAACAGGCGCAACTGGATCGACAGGATCTACAGGTGCAACTGGTGCAACAGGCTCCACGGGAGCAACTGGTGCCACAGGATCAACGGGCGCAACTGGAGCTACAGGTGCAACTGGTGCCACAGGATCTACTGGGGTGACGGGCTCTACTGGTGCAACTGGTGCCACAGGATCAACAGGCGCAACTGGATCGACAGGATCTACAGGTGCAACTGGTGCAACAGGCTCCAAGGGAGCAACCGGCGCAACAGGATCAACGGGTGCAACTGGAGCAACAGGATCCACAGGTGCAACTGGTGCCACAGGATCTACAGGGGCAACTGGTGCAACAGGGTCCACAGGAGCGACTGGTGCAACAGGCTCTACTGGTGCCACAGGATCTACAGGGGCAATAGGATCTACAGGAGCGACTGGTGCAACGGGCTCGACGGGTGCGACAGGTGCCACGGGATCCACTGGTGCAACAGGCTCTACTGGTGCCACAGGATCTACAGGTGCCACAGGATCTACTGGGGCAACAGGATCCACAGGTGCAACAGGATCTACTGGAGCTACTGGGTCGACAGGCTCTACAGGAGCGACTGGTTCAACAGGATCTACAGGAGCGACTGGTGCAACAGGGTCTACTGGTGCGACAGGATCTACAGGGGCAACTGGTGCCACAGGATCTACTGGAGCTACTGGGGCGACAGGATCTACAGGGGCAACAGGTGCAACAGGCTCCACGGGAGCAACTGGTGCAACAGGATCAACAGGCGCAACTGGATCGACAGGATCTACAGGTGCAACTGGTGCCACAGGATCTACTGGGGCGACAGGCTCTACTGGTGCAACTGGTGCCACAGGATCTACAGGGGCAACTGGTTCAACAGGATCTACAGGAGCGACTGGTGCAACAGGCTCTACTGGTGCCACAGGATCTACAGGGGCAACAGGAGCGACTGGTGCAACGGGCTCGACGGGCGCAACAGGTGCCACAGGATCTACTGGTGCAACAGGATCCACAGGTGCAACTGGTGCCACAGGATCTACTGGAGCTACTGGGGCGATAGGCTCTACAGGGGCAACTGGTGCAACAGGATCCACGGGAGTAACTGGTGCAACAGGATCAACGGGCGCAACTGGAGCAACAGGATCTACAGGTGCAACTGGTGCCACAGGATCTACTGGGGCGACAGGCTCTACTGGTGCCACAGGATCTACAGGGACAACAGGAGCGACTGGTGCAACGGGCTCAACGGGCGCAACAGGTGCCACAGGATCTACTGGTGCAACAGGATCCACAGGTGCAACTGGTGCCACAGGATCTACTGGAGCTACTGGGGCGACAGGGGCAACTGGTGCAACAGGATCAACGGGTGCAACTGGAGCAACAGGATCTACAGGTGCAACTGGTGCCAAAGGATCTACAGGGGCAACTGGTTCAACAGGATCTACAGGAGCGACTGGTGCAACAGGCTCTACTGGTGCCACAGGATCTACAGGGGCAACTGGTGCCACAGGATCTACTGGAGCTACTGGGGCGACAGGATCTACAGGGGCAACTGGTGCAAAAGGATCCACGGGAGCAACTGGTGCCACAGGATCAACGGGCGCAACTGGAGCAACAGGATCTACAGGTGCAACTGGTGCCACAGGATCTACTGGAGCGACAGGCTCTACTGGTGCAACTGGTGCCACAGGATCTACAGGGGCAACTGGTTCAACAGGATCTACAGGAGGGACTGGTGCAACAGGCTCTACTGGTGCCACAGGATCTACAGGGGCAACTGGTGCCACAGGATCTACTGGAGCTACTGGGGCGACAGGCTCTACAGGGGCAACAGGTGCAACAGGCTCCACGGGAGCAACTGGTGCCACAGGATCAACAGGCGTAACTGGATCGACAGGATCTACAGGTGCAACTGGTGCAACAGGCTCCACGGGAGCAACTGGTACCACAGGATCAACGGGCGCAACTGGAGCAACAGGATCTACAGGTGCAACTGGTGCCACAGGATCAACTGGGGCGACGGGCTCTACTGGTGCAACTGGTGCCACAGGATCAACAGGCGCAACTGGATCAACAGGATCTACAGGTGCAACAGGCTCCAAGGGAGCAACTGGTGCAACAGGATCAACGGGTGCAACTGGAGCAACAGGATCTACAGGTGCAACTGGTGCCACAGGATCTACAGGGGCAACTGGTGCAACAGGGTCCACAGGAGCGACTGGTGCAACAGGCTCTACTGGTGCCACAGGATCTACAGGGGCAACAGGATCTACAGGAGCGACTGGTGCAACGGGATCGACGGGTGCGACAGGTGCCACGGGATCTACTGGTGCAACAGGCTCTACTGGTGCCACAGGATCTACAGGGGCAACAGGAGCGACTGGTGCAACGGGCTCGACGGGCGCAACAGGTGCCACAGGATCTACTGGTGCAACAGGATCCACAGGTGCAACTGGTGCCACAGGATCTACTGGAGCTACTGGGGCGACAGGCTCTACAGGGGCAACTGGTGCCACAGGATCCACGGGAGCAACTGGTGCAACAGGATCAACGGGCGCAACTGGAGCAACAGGCGCAAATGGATCGACAGGATCTACAGGTGCAACTGGTGCCACAGGATCTACTGGGGCGACAGGCTCTACTGGTGCAACTGGTGCCACAGGATCTACAGGGGCAACTGGTGCCACAGGATCTACTGGAGCTACTGGGGCGACAGGATCTACAGGGGCAACAGGTGCAACAGGCTCCACGGGAGCAACTGGTGCCACAGGATCAACAGGCGCAACTGGATCGACAGGATCTACAGGTGCAACTGGTGCCACGGGATCTACTGGGGCGACAGGCTTTACTGGTGCAACTGGTGCAACAGGATCTACAGGGGCAACTGGTTCAACAGGATCTACAGGAGCGACTGGTGCAACAGGCTCTACTGGTGCCACAGGATCTACAGGGGCAACAGGAGCAACTGGTGCAACGGGCTCGACGGGCGCAACAGGTGCCACAGGATCTACTGGTGCAACAGGATCCACAGGTGCAACTGGTGCCACAGGATCTACTGGAGCTACTGGGGCGACAGGTTCTACAGGGGCAACTGGTGCAACAGGATCCACGGGAGCAACTGGTGCAACAGGATCAACGGGCGCAACTGGAGCAACAGGATCAACGGGCGCAACTGGAGCAACAGGATCTACAGGTGCAACTGGTGCAACAGGCTCCACGGGAGCAACTGGTGCCACAGGATCAACAGGCGCAACTGGATCGACAGGATCTACAGGTGCAACTGGTGCCACAGGATCTACTGGGGCGACAGGCTCTACTGGAGCAACTGGTGCCACAGGATCTACAGGGGCAGCTGGTTCAACAGGATCTACAGGAGCGACTGGTGCAACAGGCTCTACTGGTGCCACAGGATCTACAGGGGCAACAGGAGCGACTGGTGCAACGGGCTCAACGGGCGCAACAGGTGCCACAGGATCTACTGGTGCAACAGGATCCACAGGTGCAACTGGTGCCACAGGATCTACTGGAGCTACTGGGGCAACAGGCTCTACAGGGGCAACTGGTGCAACAGGATCCACGGGTGCAACTGGTGCAACAGGATCAACGGGCGCAACAGGATCTACAGGTGCAACTGGTGCCACAGGATCTACTGGGGCGACAGGCTCTACTGGTGCAACTGGTGTCACAGGATCTACAGGGGCAACTGGTTCAACAGGATCTACAGGAGCGACTGGTGCAACAGGCTCTACTGGTGCCACAGGATCTACAGGGGCAACAGGAGCGACTGGTGCAACGGGCTCGACGGGCGCAACAGGTGCCACAGGATCTACTGGGGCAACAGGATCCACAGGTGCAACAGGATCTACTGGAGCTACTGGGGAGACAGGCTCTACAGGGGCAACTGGTGCAACAGGATCCACGGGAGCAACTGGTGCAACAGGATCAACGGGCGCAACTGGAGCAACGGGATCTACTGGTGCAACTGGTGCCACAGGATCTACTGGAGCTACTGGGGCGACAGGCTCTACAGGGGCAACTGGTGCAACAGGATCCATGGGAGCAACTGGTGCAACAGGATCAACGGGCGCAACTGGAGCAACAGGATCAACGGGCGCAACTGGAGCAACAGGATCTACAGGTGCAACTGGTGCAACAGGCTCCATGGGAGCAACTGGTGCCACAGGATCTACAGGGGCAACTGGTTCAACAGGATCTACAGGAGCAACGGGTGCAACAGGATCAACGGGCGCAACTGGAGCAACAGGATCTACTGGTGCAACTGGTGCCACAGGATCTACTGGAGCTACTGGGGCGACAGGCTCTACAGGGGCAACTGGTGCAACAGGATCCATGGGAGCAACTGGTGCAACAGGATCAACGGGCGCAACTGGAGCAACAGGATCAACGGGCGCAACTGGAGCAACAGGATCTACAGGTGCAACTGGTGCAACAGGCTCCATGGGAGCAACTGGTGCCACAGGATCAACAGGCGCAACTGGATCGACAGGATCTACAGGTGCAACTGGTGCCACAGGATCTACTGGGGCGACAGGCTCTACTGGTGCAACTGGTGCAACAGGATCCACGGGAGCAACTGGTGCAACAGGATCAACGGGCGCAACAGGATCTACAGGTGCAACTGGTGCCACAGGATCTACTGGGGCGACAGGCTCTACTGGTGCAACTGGTGTCACAGGATCTACAGGGGCAACTGGTTCAACAGGATCTACAGGAGCGACTGGTGCAACAGGTTCTACTGGTGCCACAGGATCTACAGGGGCAACAGGAGCGACTGGTGCAACGGGCTCGATGGGTGCAACAGGTGCCACAGGATCTACTGGGGCAACAGGATCCACAGGTGCAACAGGATCTACTGGAGCTACTGGGGAGACAGGCTCTACAGGGGCAACTGGTGCAACAGGATCCACGGGAGCAACTGGTGCAACAGGATCAACGGGCGCAACTGGAGCAACAGGATCTACTGGTGCAACTGGTGCCACAGGATCTACTGGGGCGACAGGCTCTACTGGTGCAACTGGTGCCACAGGATCTACAGGGGCAACTGGTTCAACAGGATCTACAGGAGCAACGGGTGCAACAGGATCAACGGGCGCAACTGGAGCAACAGGATCTACTGGTGCAACTGGTGCCACAGGATCTACTGGAGCTACTGGGGCGACAGGCTCTACAGGGGCAACTGGTGCAACAGGATCCATGGGAGCAACTGGTGCAACAGGATCAACGGGCGCAACTGGAGCAACAGGATCAACGGGCGCAACTGGAGCAACAGGATCTACAGGTGCAACTGGTGCAACAGGCTCCATGGGAGCAACTGGTGCCACAGGATCAACAGGCGCAACTGGATCGACAGGATCTACAGGTGCAACTGGTGCCACAGGATCTACTGGGGCGACAGGCTCTACTGGTGCAACTGGTGCCACAGGATCTACAGGGGCAACTGGTTCAACAGGATCTACAGGAGCGACTGGTGCAACAGGCTCTACTGGTGCCACAGGATCTACAGGGGCAACAGGAGCGACTGGTGCAACGGGCTCAACGGGCGCAACAGGTGCCACAGGATCTACTGGTGCAACAGGATCCACAGGTGCAACTGGTGCCACAGGATCTACTGGAGCTACTGGGGCGACAGGCTCTACAGGGGCAACTGGTGCAACAGGATCCACGGGAGCAACTGGTGCAACAGGATCAACGGGCGCAACTGGAGCAACAGGATCTACAGGTGCAACTGGTGCCACAGGATCTACTGGGGCGACAGGCTCTACTGGTGCAACTGGTGTCACAGGATCTACAGGGGCAACTGGTTCAACAGGATCTACAGGAGCGACTGGTGCGACAGGATCTACTGGTGCCACAGGATCTACAGGGGCAAATGGTGCCACAGGATCTACTGGAGCTACTGGGGCGACAGGATCTACAGGGGCAACAGGTGCAACAGGCTCCACGGGAGCAACTGGTGCCACAGGATCAACAGGCGCAACTGGATCGACAGGATCTACAGGTGCAACTGGTGCCACAGGATCTACTGGGGCGACAGGCTCTACTGGTGCAACTGGTGCCACGGGATCTACAGGGGCAACTGGTTCAACAGGATCTACAGGAGCGACTGGTGCAACAGGCTCTACTGGTGCCACAGGATCTACAGGGGCAACAGGAGCGACTGGTGCAACGGGTTCGACGGGCGCAACAGGTGCCACAGGATCTACTGGTGCAACAGGATCCACAGGTGCAACTGGTGCCACAGGATCTACTGGAGCTACTGGGGCGACAGGCTCTACAGGGGCAACTGGTGCAACAGGATCCACGGGAGCAACTGGTGCAACAGGATCAACGGGCGCAACTGGAGCAACAGGATCTACAGGTGCAACTGGTGCCACAGGATCTACTGGGGCGACAGGCTCTACTGGTGCAACTGGTGCCACAGGATCTACAGGGGCAACTGGTTCAACAGGATCTACAGGAGCGACTGGTGCAACAGGCTCTACTGGTGCCACAGGATCTACAGGAGCGACTGGTGCAACGGGCTCGACGGGCGCAACAGGTGCCACAGGATCTACTGGGGCAACAGGATCCACAGGTGCAACAGGATCTACTGGAGCTACTGGGGCGACAGGCTCTACAGGGGCAACTGGCGCAACAGGATCCACGGGAGCAACTGGTGCAACAGGATCAACGGGCGCAACTGGAGCAACAGGATCTACTGGTGCAACTGGTGCCACAGGATCTACTGGGGCGACAGGCTCTACTGGTGCAACTGGTGCCACAGGATCTACAGGGTCAACTGGTTCAACAGGATCTACAGGAGCAACGGGTGCAACAGGATCAACGGGCGCAACTGGAGCAACAGGATATACTGGTGCAACTGGTGCCACGGGATCTACTGGAGCGACAGGCTCTACTGGTGCAACTGGTGCCACAGGATCTACAGGGGCAACTGGTTCAACAGGATCTACAGGAGCGACTGGTGCAACAGGCTCTACTGGTGCCACAGGATCTACAGGGGCAACTGGTGCCACCGGATCTACTGGGGCGACAGGCTCTACAGGGGCAACAGGTGCAACAGGCTCCACGGGAGCAACTGGTGCCATAGGATCAACGGGCGCAACTGGATCGACAGGATCTACAGGTGAAACTGGTGCAACAGGCTCTACGGGAGCAACTGGTGCAACAGGATCAACGGGTGCTACTGGTGCAACAGGATCTACAGGTGGAACTGGTGCCACAGGATCTACAGGGGCAACTGGTGCAACAGGGTCTACAGGAGCGACTGGTGCCACAGGATCAACGGGCGCAACTGGAGCAACAGGATCTACAGGTGCAACTGGTGCCACAGGATCTACTGGGGCAACGGGCTCTACTGGTGCAACTGGTGCCACAGGATCTACAGGGGCAACTGGTTCAACAGGAGCGACTGGTGCAACAGGCTCTACTGGTGCCACAGGATCTACAGGGGCAACTGGTGCCACAGGATCTACTGGAGCTACTGGGGCGACAGGCTCTACAGGAGCAACAGGTGCAACAGGCTCCACGGGAGCAACTGGTGCCACAGGATCAACAGGCGCAACTGGATCGACAGGATCTACAGGTGCAACAGGCTCCACGGGAGCAACTGGTGCAACAGGATCAACGGGTGCAACTGGAGCAACAGGATCTACAGGTGCAACTGGTGCCACAGGATCTACAGGGGCAACTGGTGCAACAGGGTCCACAGGAGCGACTGGTGCAACAGGCTCTACTGGTGCCACAGGATCTACAGGGGCAACAGGATCTACAGGAGCGACTGGTGCAACGGGCTCGACGGGCGCAACAGGTGCCACGGGATCTACTGGTGCAACAGGCTCTACTGGTGCCACAGGATCTACAGGGGCAACAGGAGCGACTGGTTCAAAGGGCTCGACGGGCGCAACAGGTGCCACAGGATCTACTGGTGCAACAGGATCCACAGGTGCAACTGGTGCCACAGGATCTACTGGAGCTACTGGGGCGACAGGCTCTACAGGGGCAACAGGTGCAACAGGCTCCACGGGAGCAACTGGTGCCACAGGATCAACAGGCGCAACTGGATCGACAGGATCTACAGGTGCAACTGGTGCAACAGGCTCCACGGGAGCAACTGGTGCAACAGGATCAATGGGTGCTACTGGTGCAACAGGATCTACAGGTGGAACTGGTGCCACAGGATCTACAGGGGCAACTGGTGCAACAGGGTCTTCAGGAGCGACTGGTGCCACAGGATCAACGGGCGCAACTGGAGCAACAGGATCTACAGGTGCAACTGGTGCCACAGGATCTAAAGGGGCAACTGGTGCAACAGGGTCTACAGGAGCGACTGGTGCCACAGGATCAACGGGCGCAACTGGAGCAACAGGATCTACAGGTGCAACTGGTGCCACAGGATCTACAGGGGCAACTGGTGCAACAGGGTCTACAGGAGCGACTGGTGCCACAGGATCAACGGGCGCAACTGGAGCAACAGGATCTACAGGTGCAACTGGAGCCACAGGATCTACTGGGACAACGGGCTCTACTGGTGCAACTGGTGCCACAGGATCTACAGGGGCAACTGGTTCAACAGGATCTACAGGAGCGACTGGTGCAACAGGCTCTACTGGTGCCACAGGATCTACAGGGGCAACTGGTGCCACAGGATCTACTGGAGCTACTGGGGCGACAGGCTCTACAGGAGCAACAGGCTCCACGGGAGCAACTGGTGCCACAGGATCAACAGGCGCAACTGGATCGACAGGATCTACAGGTGCAACTGGTGCAACAGGATCAACGGGAGCAACTGGTGCAACAGGATCAACGGGTGCAACTGGAGCAACAGGATCTACAGGTGCAACTGGTGCCACAGGATCTACAGGGGCAACTGGTGCAACAGGGTCCACAGGAGCGACTGGTGCAACAGGCTCTACTGGAGCCACAGGATCTACAGGGGCAACAGGATCTACAGGAGCGACTGGTGCAACGGGCTCGACGGGCGCAACAGGTGCCACGGGATCTACTGGTGCAACAGGCTCTACTGGTGCCACAGGATCTACAGGGGCAACAGGAGCGACTGGTGCAACGGGCTCGACGGGCGCAACAGGTGCCACAGGATCTACTGGTGCAACAGGATCCACGGGTGCAACTGGTGCCACAGGATCTACTGGAGCTACTGGGGCGACAGGCTCTACAGGGGCAACTGGTGCAACAGGATCGACGGGAGCAACTGGTGCAACAGGATCAACGGGCGCAACTGGAGCAACAGGATCTACAGGTGCAACTGGTGCCACAGGATCTACTGGGGCGACAGGCTCTACTGGTGCAACTGGTGCCACAGGATCTACAGGGGCAACTGGTTCAACAGGATCTACAGGAGCGACTGGTGCAACAGGCTCTACTGGTGCCACAGGATCTACAGGGGCAACTGGTGCCACAGGTTCTACTGGAGCTACTGGGAACACAGGATCTACAGGGGCAACTGGTGCAACAGGATCCACGGGAGCAACTGGTGCCACAGGATCAACGGGTGCAACTGGAGCAACAGGATCTACAGGTGCAACTGGTGCCACAGGATCTACTGGGGCGACGGGCTCTACTGGTGCAACTGGCTCCACGGGAGCAACTGGTGCAACAGGATCAACGGGTGCAACTGGAGCAACAGGATCTACAGGTGCAACTGGTGCCACAGGATCTACAGGGGCAACTGGTGCAACAGGGTCCACAGGAGCGACTGGTGCAACAGGCTCTACTGGTGCCACAGGATCTACAGGGGCAACAGGATCTACAGGACCGACTGGTGCAACTGGAGCAACAGGATCTACAGGTGCAACTGGTGCCACAGGATCTACAGGGGCAACTGGTGCAACAGGGTCCACAGGAGCGACAGGTGCAACAGGCTCCACGGGAGCAACTGGTGCCACAGGATCAACAGGCGCAACTGGATCGACAGGATCTACAGGTGCAACTGGTGCAACAGGCTCCACGGGAGCAACTGGTGCAACAGGATCAACGGGTGCAACTGGAGCAACAGGATCTACAGGTGCAACTGGTGCCACAGGATCTACAGGGGCAACTGGTGCCACAGGATCTACAGGGGCAACAGGAACTACAGGAGCGACTGGTGCAGCGGGCTCGACGGGCGCGACAGGTGCCACGGGATCTACTGGTGCAACAGGCTCTACTGGTGCCACAGGATCTACAGGGGCAACAGGAGCGACTGGTGCAACGGGCTCGACGGGCGCAACAGGTGCCACAGGATCTACTGGTGCAACAGGATCCACAGGTGCAACTGGTGCCACAGGATCTACTGGAGCTACTGGGGCGACAGGCTCTACAGGTGCAACTGGTGCAACAGGATCGACGGGAGCAACAGGATCAACGGGCGCAACTGGAGCAACAGGATCTACAGGTGCAACTGGTGCCACAGGATCTACGGGGGCGACAGGCTCTACTGGTGCAACTGGTGCCACAGGATCTACTGGGGCAACTGGTGCAACAGGATCCACGGGAGCAACTGGTGCCACAGGATCAACGGGCGCAACTGGAGCAACAGGATCTACAGGTGCAACTGGTGCCACAGGATCTACTGGGGTGACGGGCTCTACTGGTGCAACTGGTGCCACAGGATCAACAGGCACAACTGGATCGACAGGATCAACAGGTGCAACTGGTGCAACAGGCTCCACGGGAGCAACTGGTGCAACAGGATCAACGGGTGCAACTGGAGCAGTAGGATCTACAGGTGCAACTGGTGCCACAGGATCTACAGGGGCAACTGGTGCAACAGGGTCCACAGGAGCGACTGGTGCAACAGGCTCTACTGGTGCCACAGGATCTACAGGGGCAACAGGATCTACAGGAACGACTGGTGCAACGGGCTCGACGGGTGCGACAGGTGCCACGGGATATACTGGTGCAACAGGCTCTACTGGTGCCACAGGATCTACAGGGGCAACAGGAGCGACTGGTGCAACGGGCTCGACGGGCGCAACAGGTGCCACAGGATCTACTGGTGCAACAGGATCCACAGGTGCAACTGGTGCCACAGGATCTACTGGAGCTACTGGGGCGACAGGCTCTACAGGGGCAACTGGTGCAACAGGATCCACGGGAGCAACTGGTGCAACAGGATCAACGGGCGCAACTGGAGCAACAGGATCTACAGGTGCAACTGGTGCCACAGGATCTACTGGGGCGACAGGCTTTACTGGTGCAACTGGTGCCACAGGATCTACAGGGGCAACTGGTTCAACAGGCTCTACTGGTGCCACAGGATCTACAGGGGCAACTGGTGCCACCGGATCTACTGGGGCGACAGGCTCTACAGGTGCCACAGGATCTACTGGTGCAACAGGATCCACAGGTGCAACAGGATCTACTGGAGCTACTGGGGCGACAGGCTCTACAGGGGCAACTGGTGCAACAGGATCCACGGGAGCAACTGGTGCAACGGGCTCGACGGGCGCAACAGGTGCCACAGGATCTACTGGTGCAACAGGATCCACAGGTGCAACTGGTGCCACAGGATCTACTGGAGCTACTGGGGCGACAGGCTCTACAGGGGCAACTGGTGCAACAGGATCCACGGGAGCAACTGGTGCAACAGGATCAACGGGCGCAACTGGAGCAACAGGATCTACAGGTGTAACTGGTGCCACAGGATCCACTGGGGCGACAGGCTCTACTGGTGCAACTGGTGCCACAGGATCTACAGGGGCAACTGGTTCAACAGGATCTACAGGAGCGACTGGTGCAACAGGCTCTACTGGTGCCACGGGATCTACAGGGGCAACAGGAGCGACTGGTGCAACGGGCTCGACGGGCGCAACAGGATCTACTGGTGCAACAGGATCCACAGGAGCAACTGGTGCCACAGGATCTACTGGAGCTACTGGGGGGACAGGCTCTACAGGGGCAACTGGTGCAACAGGATCCACGGGAGCAACTGGTGCAACAGGATCTACAGGTGCAACTGGTGCCACAGGATCTACTGGGGCGACAGGCTCTACTGGTGCAACTGGTGCCACAGGATCTACTGGGGCAACTGGTGCAACAGGATCCACGGGAGCAACTGGTGCCACAGGATCAACGGGCGCAACTGGAGCAACAGGATCTACAGGTGCAACTGGTGCCACAGGATCTACTGGGGCGACGGGCTCTACAGGAGCGACTGGTGCAACGGGCTCGACGGGTGCGACAGGTGCCACGGGATATACTGGTGCAACAGGCTCTACTGGTGCCACAGGATCTACAGGGGCAACAGGAGCGACTGGTGCAACGGGCTCGACGGGCGCAACAGGTGCCACAGGATCTACTGGTGCAACAGGATCCACAGGTGCAACTGGTGCCACAGGATCTACTGGAGCTACTGGGGCGACAGGCTCTACAGGGGCAACTGGTGCAACAGGATCCACGGGAGCAACTGGTGCAACAGGATCAACGGGCGCAACTGGAGCAACAGGATCTACTGGTGCAACTGGTGCCACAGGATCAACAGGCACAACTGGATCGACAGGATCAACAGGTGCAACTGGTGCAACAGGCTCCACGGGAGCAACTGGTGCAACAGGATCAACGGGTGCAACTGGAGCAGTAGGATCTACAGGTGCAACTGGTGCCACAGGATCTACAGGGGCAACTGGTGCAACAGGGTCCACAGGAGCGACTGGTGCAACAGGCTCTACTGGTGCCACAGGATCTACAGGGGCAACAGGATCTACAGGAACGACTGGTGCAACGGGCTCGACGGGTGCGACAGGTGCCACGGGATATACTGGTGCAACAGGCTCTACTGGTGCCACAGGATCTACAGGGGCAACAGGAGCGACTGGTGCAACGGGCTCGACGGGCGCAACAGGTGCCACAGGATCTACTGGTGCAACAGGATCCACAGGTGCAACTGGTGCCACAGGATCTACTGGAGCTACTGGGGCGACAGGCTCTACAGGGGCAACTGGTGCAACAGGATCCACGGGAGCAACTGGTGCAACAGGATCAACGGGCGCAACTGGAGCAACAGGATCTACAGGTGCAACTGGTGCCACAGGATCTACTGGGGCGACAGGCTTTACTGGTGCAACTGGTGCCACAGGATCTACAGGGGCAACTGGTTCAACAGGATCTACAGGTGCCACAGGATCTACAGGGGCAACTGGTGCCACAGGATCTACTGGAGCTACTGGGGCGACAGGATCTACAGGGGCAACAGGTGCAACAGGCTCCACGGGAGCAACTGGTGCCACAGGATCAACAGGCGCAACTGGATCGACAGGATCTACAGGTGCAACTGGTGCCACAGGATCTACTGGGGCGACAGGCTCTACTGGTGCAACTGGTGCCACAGGATCTACAGGGGCAACTGGTTCAACAGGATCTACAGGAGCAACTGGTGCAACAGGCTCTACTGGTGCCACAGGATCTACAGGGGCAACAGGAGCGACAGGTGCACCGGGCTCGACGGGCGCAACAGGTGCCACAGGATCTACTGGTGCAACAGGATCCACAGGTGCAACTGGTGCCACAGGATCTACTGGAGCTACTGGGGCGACAGGCTCTACAGGGGCAACTGGTGCAACAGGATCCACGGGAGCAACTGGTGCAACAGGATCTACAGGTGCAACTGGTGCCACAGGATCTACTGGGGCGACAGGCTCTACTGGTGCAACTGGTGCCACAGGATCTACTGGGGCAACTGGTGCAACAGGATCCACGGGAGCAACTGGTGCCACAGGATCAACGGGCGCAACTGGAGCAACAGGATCTACAGGTGCAACTGGTGCCACAGGATCTACTGGGGCGACGGGCTCTACAGGAGCGACTGGTGCAACGGGCTCGACGGGTGCGACAGGTGCCACGGGATATACTGGTGCAACAGGCTCTACTGGTGCCACAGGATCTACAGGGGCAACAGGAGCGACTGGTGCAACGGGCTCGACGGGCGCAACAGGTGCCACAGGATCTACTGGTGCAACAGGATCCACAGGTGCAACTGGTGCCACAGGATCTACTGGAGCTACTGGGGCGACAGGCTCTACAGGGGCAACTGGTGCAACAGGATCCACGGGAGCAACTGGTGCAACAGGATCAACGGGCGCAACTGGAGCAACAGGATCTACTGGTGCAACTGGTGCCACAGGATCTACTGGGGCGACAGGCTCTACTGGTGCAACTGGTGCCACAGGATCTACAGGGGCAACTGGTTCAACAGGATCTACAGGAGCAACGGGTGCAACAGGATCAACGGGCGCAACTGGAGCAACAGGATCTACTGGTGCAACTGGTGCCACAGGATCTACTGGGGCGACAGGCTCTACTGGTGCAACTGGTGCCACAGGATCTACAGGGGCAACTGGTTCAACAGGATCTACAGGAGCGACTGGTGCAACAGGCTCTACTGGTGCCACAGGATCTACAGGGGCAACTGGTGCCACCGGATCTACTGGGGCGACAGGCTCTACAGGTGCCACAGGATCTACTGGTGCAACAGGATCCACAGGTGCAACAGGATCTACTGGAGCTACTGGGGCGACAGGCTCTACAGGGGCAACTGGTGCAACAGGATCCACGGGAGCAACTGGTGCAACGGGCTCGACGGGCGCAACAGGTGCCACAGGATCTACTGGTGCAACAGGATCCACAGGTGCAACTGGTGCCACAGGATCTACTGGAGCTACTGGGGCGACAGGCTCTACAGGGGCAACTGGTGCAACAGGATCCACGGGAGCAACTGGTGCAACAGGATCAACGGGCGCAACTGGAGCAACAGGATCTACAGGTGTAACTGGTGCCACAGGATCCACTGGGGCGACAGGCTCTACTGGTGCAACTGGTGCCACAGGATCTACAGGGGCAACTGGTTCAACAGGATCTACAGGAGCGACTGGTGCAACAGGCTCTACTGGTGCCACAGGATCTACAGGGGCAACAGGAGCGACTGGTGCAACGGGCTCGACGGGCGCAACAGGTGCCACAGGATCTACTGGTGCAACAGGATCCACAGGTGCAACAGGATCTACTGGAGCTACTGGGGCGACAGGCTCTACAGGGGCAACTGGTGTAACAGGATCCACGGGATCTACTGGTGCAACAGGATCAACGGGCGCAACTGGAGCAACAGGATCTACTGGTGCAACTGGTGCCACAGGATCTACTGGGGCGACAGGCTCTACTGGTGCAACTGGTGCCACAGGATCTACAGGGGCAACTGGTTCAACAGGATCTACAGGAGCAACGGGTGCAACAGGATCAACGGGCGCAACTGGAGCAACAGGATCTACTGGTGCAACTGGTGCCACAGGATCTACTGGGGCGACAGGCTCTACTGGTGCAACTGGTGCCACAGGATCTACAGGGGCAACTGGTTCAACAGGATCTACAGGAGCGACTGGTGCAACAGGCTCTACTGGTGCCACGGGATCTACAGGGGCAACAGGAGCGACTGGTGCAACGGGCTCGACGGGCGCAACAGGATCTACTGGTGCAACAGGATCCACAGGAGCAACTGGTGCCACAGGATCTACTGGAGCTACTGGGGGGACAGGCTCTACAGGGGCAACTGGTGCAACAGGATCCACGGGAGCAACTGGTGCAACAGGATCTACAGGTGCAACTGGTGCCACAGGATCTACTGGGGCGACAGGCTCTACTGGTGCAACTGGTGCCACAGGATCTACTGGGGCAACTGGTGCAACAGGATCCACGGGAGCAACTGGTGCCACAGGATCAACGGGCGCAACTGGAGCAACAGGATCTACAGGTGCAACTGGTGCCACAGGATCTACTGGGGCGACGGGCTCTACAGGAGCGACTGGTGCAACGGGCTCGACGGGTGCGACAGGTGCCACGGGATATACTGGTGCAACAGGCTCTACTGGTGCCACAGGATCTACAGGGGCAACAGGAGCGACTGGTGCAACGGGCTCGACGGGCGCAACAGGTGCCACAGGATCTACTGGTGCAACAGGATCCACAGGTGCAACTGGTGCCACAGGATCTACTGGAGCTACTGGGGCGACAGGCTCTACAGGGGCAACTGGTGCAACAGGATCCACGGGAGCAACTGGTGCAACAGGATCAACGGGCGCAACTGGAGCAACAGGATCTACTGGTGCAACTGGTGCCACAGGATCTACTGGGGCGACAGGCTCTACTGGTGCAACTGGTGCCACAGGATCTACAGGGGCAACTGGTTCAACAGGATCTACAGGAGCAACGGGTGCAACAGGATCAACGGGCGCAACTGGAGCAACAGGATCTACTGGTGCAACTGGTGCCACAGGATCTACTGGGGCGACAGGCTCTACTGGTGCAACTGGTGCCACAGGATCTACAGGGGCAACTGGTTCAACAGGATCTACAGGAGCGACTGGTGCAACAGGCTCTACTGGTGCCACAGGATCTACAGGGGCAACTGGTGCCACCGGATCTACTGGGGCGACAGGCTCTACAGGTGCCACAGGATCTACTGGTGCAACAGGATCCACAGGTGCAACAGGATCTACTGGAGCTACTGGGGCGACAGGCTCTACAGGGGCAACTGGTGCAACAGGATCCACGGGAGCAACTGGTGCAACGGGCTCGACGGGCGCAACAGGTGCCACAGGATCTACTGGTGCAACAGGATCCACAGGTGCAACTGGTGCCACAGGATCTACTGGAGCTACTGGGGCGACAGGCTCTACAGGGGCAACTGGTGCAACAGGATCCACGGGAGCAACTGGTGCAACAGGATCAACGGGCGCAACTGGAGCAACAGGATCTACAGGTGTAACTGGTGCCACAGGATCCACTGGGGCGACAGGCTCTACTGGTGCAACTGGTGCCACAGGATCTACAGGGGCAACTGGTTCAACAGGATCTACAGGAGCGACTGGTGCAACAGGCTCTACTGGTGCCACAGGATCTACAGGGGCAACAGGAGCGACTGGTGCAACGGGCTCGACGGGCGCAACAGGTGCCACAGGATCTACTGGTGCAACAGGATCCACAGGTGCAACAGGATCTACTGGAGCTACTGGGGCGACAGGCTCTACAGGGGCAACTGGTGTAACAGGATCCACGGGATCTACTGGTGCAACAGGATCAACGGGCGCAACTGGAGCAACAGGATCTACTGGTGCAACTGGTGCCACAGGATCTACTGGGGCGACAGGCTCTACTGGTGCAACAGGTGCCACAGGATCTACAGGGGCAACTGGTTCAACAGGATCTACAGGAGCAACGGGTGCAACAGGATCAACGGGCGCAACTGGAGCAACAGGATCTACTGGTGCAACTGGTGCCACAGGATCTACTGGGGCGACAGGCTCTACTGGTGCAACTGGTGCCACAGGATCTACAGGGGCAACTGGTTCAACAGGATCTACAGGAGCGACTGGTGCAACAGGCTCTACTGGTGCCACGGGATCTACAGGGGCAACAGGAGCGACTGGTGCAACGGGCTCGACGGGCGCAACAGGATCTACTGGTGCAACAGGATCCACAGGAGCAACTGGTGCCACAGGATCTACTGGAGCTACTGGGGGGACAGGCTCTACAGGGGCAACTGGTGCAACAGGATCCACGGGAGCAACTGGTGCAACAGGATCAACGGGCGCAACTGGAGCAACAGGATCTACAGGTGCAACTGGTGCCACAGGATCTACTGGGGCGACAGGCTCTACTGGTGCAACTGGTGCCACAGGAACTACAGGGGCAACTGGTTCAACAGGATCTACAGGAGCGACTGGTGCAACAGGCTCGACTGGTGCCACAGGATCTACAGGGGCAACAGGTGCAAGAGGGTCTACAGGAGCAACTGGTGCCACAGGATCAACAGGCGCAACTGGATCGACAGGATCTACAGGTGCAACTGGTGCAACAGGCTCCACGGGAGCTACTGGTGCAATAGGATCAACGGGTGCAACTGGAGCAACAGGATCTACAGGTGCAACTGGTGCCACAGGATCAACAGGCTCTACTGGTGCAACTGGTGCCACAGGATCTACAGGGGCAACTGGTTCAACAGGATCTACAGGAGCGACTGGAGCAACAGGCTCTACTGGTGCCACAGGATCTACAGGGGCAACTGGTGCCACCGGATCTACTGGGGCGACAGGCTCTACAGGGGCAACAGGTGCAACAGGCTCAACGGGAGCAACTGGTGCCACAGGATCAACAGGCGCAACTGGATCGACAGGATCTACAGGTGCAACTGGTGCAACAGGCTCCACGGGAGCAACTGGTGCAACAGGATCAACGGGTGCTACTGGTGCAACAGGATCTACAGGAGCAACTGGAGCAACAGGATCTACAGGTGCAACTGGTGCCACAGGATCTACTGGGGCGACAGGCTCTACTGGTGCAACTGGTGCCACAGGATCTACAGGGGCAACTGGTTCAACAGGATCTACAGGAGCGACTGGTGCAACAGGCTCTACTGGTGCCACAGGATCTACAGGGGCAACTGGTGCCACCGGATCTACTGGAGCGACAGGCTCTACAGGGGCAACAGGTGCAACAGGCTCCACGGGAGCAACTGGTGCCACAGGATCAACAGGCGCAACTGGATCGACAGGATCTACAGGTGCAACTGGTGCAACAGGCTCCACGGGAGCAACTGGTGCAACAGGATCAACGGGTGCTACTGGTGCAACAGGATCTACAGGTGCAACTGGTGCCACAGGCTCTACTGGTGCAACTGGTGCCACAGGATCTACAGGGGCAACTGGTTCAACAGGATCTACAGGAGCGACTGGTGCAACAGGCTCTACTGGTGCCACAGGATCTACAGGGGCAACTGGTGCCACAGGATCTACTGGAGCTACTGGGGCGACAGGATCTACAGGGGCAACAGGTGCAACAGGCTCCACGGGAGCAACTGGTGCCACAGGATCAACAGGCGCAACTGGATCGACAGGATCTACAGGTGCAACTGGTGCCACAGGATCTACTGGGGCGACAGGCTCTACTGGTGCAACTGGTGCCACAGGATCTACAGGGGCAACTGGTTCAACAGGATCTACAGGAGCGACTGGTGCAACAGGCTCTACTGGTGCCACGGGATCTACAGGGGCAACAGGAGCGACTGGTGCAACGGGCTCGACGGGCGCAACAGGATCTACTGGTGCAACAGGATCCACAGGTGCAACTGGTGCCACAGGATCTACTGGAGCTACTGGGGCGACAGGCTCTACAGGGGCAACTGGTACAACAGGATCCACGGGAGCAACTGGTGCAACAGGATCAACGGGCGCAACTGGAGCAACAGGATCTACAGGTGCAACTGGTGCCACAGGATCTACTGGGGCGACAGGCTCTACTGGTGCAACTGGTGCCACAGGATCTACTGGAGCTACTGGGGCGACAGGCTCTACAGGGGCAACTGGTGCAACAGGATCCACGGGGGCAACTGGTGCAACAGGATCAACGGGCGCAACTGGAGCAACAGGATCTACAGGTGCAACTGGTGCCACAGGATCTACTGGGGCGACGGGCTCTACTGGTGCAACTGGTTCAACAGGATCTACAGGAGCGACTGGTGCAACAGGCTCTACTGGTGCCACTGGGTCTACAGGTGCAACTGGTGCCACAGGATCTACTGGAGCTACTGGGGCGACAGGCTCTACAGGGGCAACAGGATCTACAGGGGCAACTGGTGCAACAGGGTCAACAGGAGCGACTGGTGCAACAGGCTCTATTGGTGCCACAGGATCTACAGGGGCAACAGGATCTACAGGAGCGACTGGTGCAACGGGCTCGACGGGCGCGACAGGTGCCACGGGATCTACTGGTGCAACAGGCTCTACCGGTGCCACAGGATCTACAGGGGCAATAGGAGCGACTGGTGCAACGGGCTCGACGGGCGCAACAGGTGCCACAGGATCTACTGGTGCAACAGGATCTACAGGAGCAACTGGCGCAACAGGGTCTACAGGAGCGACAGGCTCTACAGGGGCCACTGGTGCAACAGGGCTAAGAGGTGCTACAGGACCAAGTGGTGCTACAGGACCAAGTGGTGCTACAGGACCAAGTGGGGCAACAGGTCCTAACGGGACAATAGGACCAAGTGGTGCTACAGGACCAAGTGGTGCACAAGGCCCGACTGGAAATATTGGAGAAACTGGTTCCACAGGACCATCTGGAGCAGTAGGTCCAACTGGAGCAACGGGACTAACAGGTTCAGATGGCTCAACAGGGCAAACTGGTGCTACTGGTCCAACAGGAGCAACAGGAGTTACAGGGGCCACAGGAGCATTTGGGGCAACTGGAATAACTGGGTTGACAGGACCAACTGGTGCAACAGGACCAACAGGTGAAACTGGACCGACAGGTGCAACTGGTCAGATTGGATCAACAGGTCCTACAGGTGCAAGTGGTGCCACGGGTTCTACAGGGTCCACTGGCGCCACGGGTTCAACAGGGGCCACAGGATCTACTGGTGCGACGGGTTCTACTGGAGCCACTGGTGCAACTGGCTCCACGGGCGCAACTGGTGCCACGGGATCCACAGGAGCAACTGGTGCTACAGGATCTACAGGGGCAACTGGTGAAACTGGTTCTACAGGAGCGACAGGTGCAACAGGATCAACTGGTGCAACTGGCTCTACAGGAGCGACAGGTGCCACAGGATCTACTGGAGCTACTGGTGCAACAGGCTCTACGGGTGCAACTGGTGCCACGGGATCTACAGGGGCAACTGGCTCTACAGGAGCGACAGGTGCCACTGGATCAACTGGAGCTACTGGTGCAACAGGCTCTACAGGAGCGACAGGTGCAACAGGATCTACTGGTGCAACAGGCTCTACGGGTGCAACTGGTGCCACAGGATCTACAGGGGCAACTGGTGCAACTGGCTCTACAGGAGCGACAGGTGCCACAGGATCTACTGGAGCTACCGGTGCAACAGGCTCTACGGGTGCAACTGGAGCCACAGGATCAACGGGGGCAACTGGCTCTACAGGAGCGACAGGTGCCACAGGAGCAACTGGTGCAACAGGCTCTACGGGTGCAACTGGTGCCACAGGATCTACAGGGGCAACTGGTGCAAATGGCTCTACAGGAGCGACAGGTGCCACAGGATCTACTGGAGCTACCGGTGCAACAGGCTCCACGGGCGCAACTGGTGCTACCGGATCTACTGGAGCCACTGGTGCAACTGGCTCTACGGGAGCAACTGGTGACACAGGATCTACTGGAGCGACAGGGGCCACGGGCTCTACGGGTGCAACTGGTGCCCCAGGATCTACAGGGGCAACTGGTGCAACTGGCTCTACAGGAGCGACAGGTGCAACTGGATCTACTGGAGCTACTGGTGCAACAGGCTCTACGGGCGCAACTGGTGCTACCGGATCTACTGGAGCCACTGGTGCAACTGGCTCTACGGGAGCAACTGGTGACACAGGATCTACTGGAGCGACAGGGGCCACGGGCTCTACGGGTGCAACTGGTGCCACAGGATCTACAGGGGCAACTGGCTCTACAGGAGCGACAGGTGCAACTGGATCTACTGGAGCTACTGGTGCAACAGGCTATACGGGTGCAACTGGAGCCACAGGATCTACGGGGGCAACTGGTGCTACTGGGTCTACAGGAGCGACAGGTGCCACAGGATCTACTGGTGCAACAGGCTCTACGGGTGCAACTGGTGCCACAGGATCTACAGGGGCAACTGGTGCAACTGGCTCTACAGGAGCGACAGGTGCCACAGGATCTACTGGAGCTACTGGTGCAACAGGCTCTACGGGTGCAACTGGTGCCACAGGATCTACAGGGGCAACTGGTGCAACTGGCTCTACAGGAGCGACAGGTGCCACAGGATCTACTGGAGCAACTGGTGCTACCGGATCTACTGGAGCCACTGGTGCAACTGGCTCTACGGGAGCAACTGGTGACACAGGGTCTACTGGAGCGACAGGGGCCACTGGTGCAACTGGCTCTACAGGAGCGACAGGTGCCACAGGATCTACTGGAGCTACTGGTGCAACAGGCTCTACGGGTGCAACTGGTGCCACAGGATCTACAGGGGCAACTGGTGCAACTGGCTCTACAGGAGCGACAGGTGCCACAGGATCTACTGGAGCAACTGGTGCTACCGGATCTACTGGAGCCACTGGTGCAACTGGCTCTACGGGAGCAACTGGTGACACAGGATCTACTGGAGCGACAGGGGCCACGGGCTCTACGGGTGCAACTGGTGCCACAGGATCTACAGGGGCAACTGGTGCAACTGGCTCTACAGGAGCGACAGGTGCAACTGGATCTACTGGCGCTACTGGTGCAACAGGCTATACGGGTGCAACTGGAGCCACAGGATCTACGGGGGCAACTGGTGCTACTGGGTCTACAGGAGCGACAGGTGCCACAGGATCTACTGGTGCAACAGGCTCTACGGGCGCAACTGGTTCTACAGGATCTACTGGGGCCACTGGCTCTACAGGAGCGACAGGTGCAACTGGATCTACTGGAGCAACAGGGGCCACGGGATCTACGGGTGCAACTGGTGCCACAGGATCTACAGGGGCAACTGGTGCAACTGGGTCTACGGGCGCAACTGGTGCTACAGGATCTACTGGAGCCACTGGTGCAACTGGCTCTACAGGAGCGACAGGTGCCACAGGATCTACTGGAGCTACCGGTGCAACAGGCTCCACGGGCGCAACTGGTGCTACCGGATCTACTGGAGCTACTGGTGCAACTGGCTCTACGGGAGCAACCGGTGATACAGGATCTACTGGAGCGACAGGGGCCACGGGCTCTACGGGTGCAACTGGTGCCACAGGATCTACAGGAGCAACTGGTTCTACAGGAGCGACAGGTCCAACTGGATCTACTGGAGCTACTGGTGCAACAGGCTCTACGGGTGCAACTGGTGCCACAGGATCTACAGGGGCAACTGGTGCAACTGGCTCTACAGGAGCGACAGGTGCCACAGGATCTACTGGAGCTACCGGTGCAACAGGCTCTACGGGCGCAACTGGTGCTACCGGATCTACTGGAGCCACTGGTGCAACTGGCTCTACTGGAGCAACTGGTGACACAGGATCTACTGGAGCGACAGGGGCCACGGGCTCTACGGGTGCAACTGGTGCCACAGGATCTACAGGGGCAACTGGTGCAACTGGCTCTACAGGAGCGACAGGTGCCACAGGATCTACTGGAGCTACCGGTGCAACAGGCTCTACGGGCGCAACTGGTGCTACCGGATCTACTGGAGCCACTGGTGCAACTGGCTCTACGGGAGCAACTGGTGACACAGGATCTACTGGAGCGACAGGGGCCACGGGCTCTACGGGTGCAACTGGTGCCACAGGATCTACAGGGGCAACTGGTGCAACTGGCTCTACAGGAGCGACAGGTGCAACTGGATCTACTGGAGCTACTGGTGCAACAGGCTCTACGGGTGCAACTGGAGCCACAGGATCTACGGGGGCAACTGGTGCTACTGGGTCTACAGGAGCCACAGGATCTACTGGTGCAACAGGCTCTACGGGCGCAACTGGTTCTACAGGATCTACTGGAGCCACTGGCTCTACAGGAGCGACAGGTGCCACTGGATCTACTGGAGCAACTGGCTCTACAGGAGCGACAGGTGCAACTGGATCTACTGGAGCTATTGGTGCAACAGGCTCTACGGGTGCAACTGGAGCCACAGGATCTACGGGGGCAACTGGTGCTACTGGGTCTACAGGAGCGACAGGTGCCACAGGATCTACTGGTGCAACAGGCCCTACGGGCGCAACTGGTTCTACAGGATCTACTGGAGCCACTGGCTCTACAGGAGCGACAGGTGCCACTGGATCTACTGGAGCAACAGGGGCCATGGGATCTACGGGTGCAACTGGTGCCACAGGATCTACAGGGGCAACTGGTGCAACTGGGTCTACGGGCGCAACTGGTGCTACAGGATCTACTGGAGCCACTGGTGCAACTGGCTCTACGGGAGCAACTGGTGATACAGGATCTACTGGAGCGACAGGGGCCACGGGCTCTACGGGTGCAACTGGTGCCACAGGATCTACAGGAGCAACTGGTGCAACTGGTTCTACAGGAGCGACAGGTGCAACTGGATCTACTGGAGCTACTGGTGCAACAGGCTCTACGGGTGCAACTGGTGCCACAGGATCTACAGGGGCAACTGGTGCAACTGGCTCTACAGGAGCGACAGGTGCAACTGGATCTACTGGAGCTACTGGTGCAACAGGCTCTACGGGTGCAACTGGTGCCACAGGATCTACAGGGGCAACTGGTGCAACTGGCTCTACAGGAGCGACAGGTGCCACAGGATCTACTGGAGCTACCGGTGCAACAGGCTCTACGGGCGCAACTGGTGCTACCGGATCTACTGGAGCCACTGGTGCAACTGGCTCTACGGGAGCAACTGGTGACACAGGATCTACTGGAGCGACAGGGGCCACGGGCTCTACGGGTGCAACTGGTGCCACAGGATCTACAGGGGCAACTGGTGCAACTGGCTCTACAGGAGCGACAGGTGCAACTGGATCTACTGGTGCAACAGGCTCTACGGGTGCAACTGGAGCCACAGGATCTACGGGGGCAACTGGTGCTACTGGGTCTACAGGAGCGACAGGTGCCACAGGATCTACTGGTGCAACAGGCTCTACGGGACCAACTGGTTCTACAGGATCTACTGGAGCCACTGGCTCTACAGGAGCGACAGGTGCCACTGGATCTACTGGAGCAACAGGGGCCACGGGATCTACGGGTGCAACTGGTGCCACAGGATCTACAGGGGCAACTGGCTCTACGGGCGCAACTGGGGCTACAGGATCTACTGGAGTCACTGGAGCAACTGGCTCTACAGGAGCGACAGGTGCAACAGGATCAACTGGTGCAACTGGCTCTACAGGAGCGACAGGTGCCACAGGATCTACTGGTGCAACAGGCTCTACGGGTGCAACTGGTGCCACAGGATCTACAGGGGCAACTGGTGCAACTGGCTCTACAGGAGCGACAGGTGCCACAGGATCAACTGGAGCTACCGGTGCAACGGGCTCCACGGGTGCAACTGGTGCTACCGGATCTACTGGATCCACTGGTGCAACTGGATCTACGGGAGCTACTGGTGCAACAGGCTCTACGGGTGCAACTGGTTCTACAGGATCTACTGGAGCCACTGGCTCTACAGGAGCGACAGGTGCCACTGGATCTACTGGAGCAACAGGGGCCACGGGATCTACGGGTGCAACTGGTGCCACAGGATCTACAGGGGCAACTGGTGCAACTGGGTCTACGGGTGCAACTGGTGCCACAGGATCTACAGGGGCAACTGGTGCAACTGGCTCTACGGGTGCAACTGGTGCCACAGGATCTACAGGGGCAACTGGTGCAACTGGCTCTACAGGAGCGACAGGTGCCACAGGATCAACTGGAGCTACCGGTGCAACGGGCTCCACGGGCGCAACTGGTGCTACCGGATCTACTGGATCCACTGGTGCAACTGGCTCTACGGGAGCTACTGGTGCAACAGGCTCTACTGGAGCAACAGGGGCCACGGGATCTACTGGTGCAACTGGTGCCACAGGATCTACAGGGGCAACTGGTGCAACTGGTTCTACAGGAGCAACAGGTGCAACTGGATCTACTGGAGCTACTGGTGCAACAGGCTCTACGGGTGCAACTGGTGCCACAGGATCTACAGGGGCAACTGGTGCAACTGGCTCTACAGGAGCGACAGGTGCCACAGGATCTACTGGAGCTACCGGTGCAACAGGCTCTATGGGCGCAACTGGTGCTACCGGATCTACTGGAGCCACTGGTGCAACTGGCTCTACGGGAGCAACTGGTGACACAGGATCTACTGGAGCGACAGGGGCCACGGGCTCTACGGGTGCAACTGGTGCCACAGGATCTACAGGGGCAACTGGTGCAACTGGCTCTACAGGAGCGACAGGTGCCACAGGATCTACTGGAGCTACCGGTGCAACAGGCTCTACGGGAGCAACTGGTGCTACCGGATCTACTGGAGCCACTGGTGCAACTGGCTCTACGGGAGCAACTGGTGACACAGGATCTACTGGAGCGACAGGGGCCACGGGCTCTACGGGTGCAACTGGTGCCACAGGATCTACAGGGGCAACTGGTGCAACTGGCTCTACAGGAGCGACAGGTGCAACTGGATCTACTGGAGCTACTGGTGCAACAGGCTCTACGGGTGCAACTGGAGCCACAGGATCTACAGGGGCAACTGGTGCAACTGGCTCTACAGGAGCGACAGGTGCCACAGGATCTACTGGAGCTTCCGGTGCAACAGGCTCTACGGGCGCAACCGGTGCTACCGGATCTACTGGAGCCACTGGTGCAACTGGCTCTACTGGAGCAACTGGTGACACAGGATCTACTGGAGCCACTGGTGCAACTGGCTCTACGGGAGCAACTGGTGATACAGGATCTACTGGAGCGACAGGGGCCACGGGCTCTACGGGTGCAACTGGTGCCACAGGATCTACAGGAGCAACTGGTGCAACTGGTTCTACAGGAGCAACTGGTGCAACTGGATCTACTGGAGCTACTGGTGCAACAGGCTCTACGGGTGCAACTGGTGCCACAGGATCTACAGGGGCAACTGGTGCAACTGGCTCTACAGGAGCGACAGGTGCCACAGGATCTAATGGAGCTACCGGTGCAACAGGCTCTACGGGCGCAACTGGTGCTACCGGATCTACTGGAGCCACTGGTGCAACTGGCTCTACTGGAGCAACTGGTGACACAGGATCTACTGGAGCGACAGGGGCCACGGGCTCTACGGGTGCAACTGGTGCCACAGGATCTACAGGGGCAACTGGTGCAACTGGCTCTACAGGAGCGACAGGTGCAACTGGATCTACTGGAGCTACTGGTGCAACAGGCTCTACGGGTGCAACTGGTGCCACAGGATCTACAGGGGCAACTGGTGCAACTGGCTCTACAGGAGCGACAGGTGCCACAGGATCTACTGGAGCTACCGGTGCAACAGGCTCTACGGGGGCAACTGGTGCTACCGGATCTACTGGAGCCACTGGTGCAACTGGCTCTACGGGAGCAACTGGTGACACAGGATCTACTGGAGCGACAGGGGCCACGGGCTCTACGGGTGCAACTGGTGCCACAGGATCTACAGGGGCAACTGGTGCAACTGGCTCTACAGGAGCGACAGGTGCAACTGGATCTACTGGAGCTACTGGTGCAACAGGCTCTACGGGTGCAACTGGAGCCACAGGATCTACGGGGGCAACTGGTGCTACTGGGTCTACAGGAGCGACAGGTGCCACAGGATCTACTGGTGCAACAGGCTCTACGGGCGCAACTGGTTCTACAGGATCTACTGGAGCCACTGGCTCTACAGGAGCGACAGGTGCCACTGGATCTACTGGAGCAACAGGGGCCAGTGGATCTACGGGTGCAACTGGTGCCACAGGATCTACAGGGGCAACTGGTGCAACTGGGTCTACGGGCGCAACTGGTGCTACAGGATCTACTGGAGCCACTGGGGCAACTGGCTCTACAGGAGCAACAGGTGCAACAGGATCAACTGGTGCAACTGGCTCTACAGGAGCGACAGGTGCCACAGGATCTACTGGTGCAACAGGCTCTACGGGTGCAACTGGTGCCACAGGATCTACAGGGGCAAGTGGTGCAACTGGCTCTACAGGAGCGACAGGTGCCACAGGATCAACTGGAGCTACTGGTGCAACGGGCTCCACGGGCGCAACTGGTGCTACCGGATCTACTGGATCCACTGGTGCAACTGGATCTACGGGAGCTACTGGTGCAACAGGCTCTACGGGTGCAACTGGTTCTACAGGATCTACTGGAGCCACTGGCTCTACAGGAGCGACAGGTGCCACTGGATCTACTGGAGCAACAGGGGCCACGGGATCTACGGGTGCAACTGGTGCCACTGGATCTACTGGAGCAACAGGGGCCACGGGATCTACGGGTGCAACTGGTGCCACAGGATCTACAGGGGCAACTGGGTCTACGGGTGCAACTGGTGCCACAGGATCTACAGGGGCAACTGGTGCAACTGGAGCCACTGGCTCTACAGGAGCGACAGGTGCCACTGGATCTACTGGAGCAACAGGGGCCACGGGATCTACGGGTGCAACTGGTGCCACAGGATCTACAGGGGCAACTGGGTCTACGGGCGCAACTGGTGCTACAGGATCTACTGGAGCCACTGGTGCAACTGGCTCTACAGGAGCGACAGGTGCAACAGGATCAACTGGTGCAACTGGCTCTACAGGAGCGACAGGTGCCACAGGATCTACTGGTGCAACAGGCTCTACGGGTGCAACTGGTGCCACAGGATCTACAGGGGCAACTGGATCTACAGGAGCGACAGGTGCCACAGGATCAACTGGAGCTACCGGTGCAACGGGCTCCACGGGCGCAACTGGTGCAACTGGCTCTACTGGATCCACTGGTGCAACTGGCTCTACGGGAGCTACTGGTGCAACAGGCTCTACGGGTGCAACTGGTTCTACAGGATCTACTGGAGCCACTGGCTCTACAGGAGCGACAGGTGCCACTGGATCTACTGGAGCTACTGGTGCAACAGGCTCTGCGGGTGCAACTGGTGCCACAGGATCTACAGGGGCAACTGGTGCAACTGGCTCTACAGGAGCGACAGGTGCCACAGGATCTACTGGAGCTACTGGTGCAACAGGCTCTACGGGTGCAACTGGTGCCACGGGATCTACAGGGGCAACTGGTGCAACTGGCTCTACAGGAGCGACAGGTGCCACTGGATCTACTGGAGCAACAGGGGCCACGGGATCTACGGGTGCAACTGGTGCCACAGGATCTACAGGGGCAACTGGTGCAACTGGGTCTACGGGCGCAACTGGTGCTACAGGATCTACTGGAGCCACTGGTGCAACTGGCTCTACAGGAGCGACAGGTGCAACAGGATCAACTGGTGCAACTGGATCTACAGGAGCGACAGGTGCCACAGGATCTACTGGTGCAACAGGCTCTACGGGTGCAACTGGTGCCACAGGATCTACAGGGGCAACTGGCTCTACAGGAGCGACAGGTGCCACAGGATCAACTGGAGCTACCGGTGCAACGGGCTCCACGGGCGCAACTGGTGCTACCGGATCTACTGGATCCACTGGTGCAACTGGCTCTACGGGAGCTACTGGTGCAACAGGCTCTACGGGTGCAACTGGTTCTACAGGATCTACTGGAGCCACTGGCTCTACAGGAGCGACAGGTGCCACTGGATCTACTGGAGCTACTGGTGCAACAGGCTCTACGGGTGCAACTGGTGCCACAGGATCTACAGGGGCAACTGGTGCAACTGGCTCTACAGGAGCGACAGGTGCCACAGGATCTACTGGAGCTACTGGTGCAACAGGCTCTACGGGTGCAACAGGTGCCACTGGATCTACTGGAGCAACAGGGGCCACGGGATCTACGGGTGCAACTGGTGCCACAGGATCTACAGGGGCAACTGGTGCAACTGGGTCTACGGGCGCAACTGGTGCTACAGGATCTACTGGAGCCACTGGTGCAACTGGCTCTACAGGAGCGACAGGTGCAACAGGATCAACTGGTGCAACTGGCTCTACAGGAGCGACAGGTGCCACAGGATCTACTGGTGCAACAGGCTCTACGGGTGCAACTGGTGCCACAGGATCTACAGGGGCAACTGGTGCAACTGGCTCTACAGGAGCGACAGGTTCCACTGGATCTACTGGAGGAACAGGGGCCACAGGATCTACGGGTGCAACTGGTGCCACAGGATCTACAGGGGCAACTGGTGCAACTGGGTCTACGGGCGCAACTGGTGCCACAGGATCTACAGGGGCAACTGGTGCGACTGGCTCTACAGGAGCGACAGGTGCCACAGGATCTACTGGAGCTACCGGTGCAACAGGCTCTACGGGCGCAACTGGTGCTACCGGATCTACTGGAGCCACTGGTGCAACTGGCTCTACTGGAGCAACTGGTGACACAGGATCTACTGGAGCGACAGGGGCCACGGGCTCTACGGGTGCAACTGGTGCCACAGGATCTACAGGGGCAACTGGTGCAACTGGCTCTACAGGAGCGACAGGTGCAACTGGATCTACTGGAGCTACTGGTGCAACAGGCTCTACGGGTGCAACTGGTGCCACAGGATCTACAGGGGCAACTGGTGCAACTGGCTCTACAGGAGCGACAGGTGCCACAGGATCTACTGGAGCCACCGGTGCAACAGGCTCTACGGGCGCAACTGGTGCTACTGGCTCTACTGGAGCCACTGGTGCAACTGGCTCTACGGGAGCAACTGGTGACACAGGATCTACTGGAGCGACAGGGGCCACGGGCTCTACGGGTGCAACTGGTGCCACAGGATCTACAGGGGCAACTGGTGCAACTGGCTCTACAGGAGCGACAGGTGCAACTGGATCTACTGGAGCTACTGGTGCAACAGGCTCTACGGGTGCAACTGGAGCCACAGGATCTACGGGGGCAACTGGTGCTACTGGGTCTACAGGAGCGACAGGTGCCACAGGATCTACTGGTGCAACAGGCTCTACGGGCGCAACTGGTTCTACAGGATCTACTGGAGCCACTGGCTCTACAGGAGCGACAGGTGCCACTGGATCTACTGGAGCAACAGGGGCCACGGGATCTACGGGTGCAACTGGTGCCACAGGATCTACAGGGGCAACTGGTGCAACTGGTTCTACAGGAGCGACTGGATCTACTGGGGCTACCGGTGCAACAGGCTCTACGGGTGCAACTGGTGCCACAGGATCTACAGGGGCAACTGGTGCAACTGGCTCTACAGGAGCGACAGGTGCCACAGGATCTACTGGAGCTACCGGTGCAACAGGCTCTACGGGCGCAACTGGTGCTACCGGATCTACTGGAGCCACTGGTGCAACTGGCTCTACGGGAGCAACTGGTGACACAGGATCTACTGGAGCGACAGGGGCCACGGGCTCTACGGGTGCAACTGGTGCCACAGGATCTACAGGGGCAACTGGTGCAACTGGCTCTACAGGAGCGACAGGTGCAACTGGATCTACTGGAGCTACTGGTGCAACAGGCTCTATGGGCGCAACTGGTGCTACCGGATCTACTGGAGCCACTGGTGCAACTGGCTCTACGGGAGCAACTGGTGACACAGGATCTACTGGAGCGACAGGGGCCACGGGCTCTACGGGTGCAACTGGTGCCACAGGATCTACAGGGGCAACTGGTGCAACTGGCTCTACAGGAGCGACAGGTGCAACTGGATCTACTGGAGCTACTGGTGCAACAGGCTCTACGGGTGCAACTGGTGCCACAGGTTCTACAGGGGCAACTGGTGCAACTGGCTCTACAGGAGCGACAGGTGCCACAGGATCTACTGGAGCTACCGGTGCAACAGGCTCTACGGGCGCAACTGGTGCTACCGGATCTACTGGAGCCACTGGTGCAACTGGCTCTACGGGAGCAACTGGTGACACAGGATCTACTGGAGCGACAGGGGCCACGGGCTCTACGGGTGCAACTGGTGCCACAGGATCTACAGGGGCAACTGGTGCAACTGGCTCTACAGGAGCGACAGGTGCAACTGGATCTACTGGAGCTACTGGTGCAACAGGCTCTACGGGTGCAACTGGAGCCACAGGATCTACGGGGGCAACTGGTGCTACTGGGTCTACAGGAGCGACAGGTGCCACAGGATCTACTGGTGCAACAGGCTCTACGGGCGCAACTGGTTCTACAGGATCTACTGGAGCCACTGGCTCTACAGGAGCGACAGGTGCCACTGGATCTACTGGAGCAACAGGGGCCACGGGATCTACGGGTGCAACTGGTGCCACAGGATCTACAGGGGCAACTGGTGCAACTGGGTCTACGGGCGCAACTGGTGCTACAGGATCTACTGGAGCCACTGGTGCAACTGGCTCTACAGGAGCGACAGGTGCAACAGGATCAACTGGTGCAACTGGCTCTACAGGAGCGACAGGTGCCACAGGATCTACTGGTGCAACAGGCTCTACGGGTGCAACTGGTGCCACAGGATCTACAGGGGCAACTGGTGCAACTGGCTCTACAGGAGCGACAGGTGCCACAGGATCAACTGGAGCTACCGGTGCAACGGGCTCCACGGGCGCAACTGGTGCTACCGGATCTACTGGATCCACTGGTGCAACTGGATCTACGGGAGCTACTGGTGCAACAGGCTCTACGGGTGCAACTGGTTCTACAGGATCTACTGGAGCCACTGGCTCTACAGGAGCGACAGGTGCCACTGGATCTACTGGAGCAACAGGGGCCACGGGATCTACGGGTGCAACTGGTGCCACAGGATCTACAGGGGCAACTGGTGCAACTGGGTCTACGGGCGCAACTGGTGCTACAGGATCTACTGGAGCCACTGGTGCAACTGGCTCTACAGGAGCGACAGGTGCAACAGGATCAACTGGTGCAACTGGCTCTACAGGAGCGACAGGTGCCACAGGATCTACTGGTGCAACAGGCTCTACGGGTGCAACTGGTGCCACAGGATCTACAGGGGCAACTGGCTCTACAGGAGCGACAGGTGCCACAGGATCAACTGGAGCTACCGGTGCAACGGGCTCCACGGGCGCAACTGGTGCTACCGGATCTACTGGATCCACTGGTGCAACTGGCTCTACGGGAGCTACTGGTGCAACAGGCTCTACGGGTGCAACTGGTTCTACAGGATCTACTGGAGCCACTGGCTCTACAGGAGCGACAGGTGCCACTGGATCTACTGGAGCTACTGGTGCAACAGGCTCTACGGGTGCAACTGGTGCCACAGGATCTACAGGGGCAACTGGTGCAACTGGCTCTACAGGAGCGACAGGTGCCACAGGATCTACTGGAGCTACTGGTGCAACAGGCTCTACGGGTGCAACTGGTGCCACAGGATCTACAGGGGCAACTGGTGCAACTGGCTCTACAGGAGCGACAGGTGCCACTGGATCTACTGGAGCAACAGGGGCCACGGGATCTACGGGTGCAACTGGTGCCACAGGATCTACAGGGGCAACTGGTGCAACTGGGTCTACGGGCGCAACTGGTGCTACAGGATCTACTGGAGCCACTGGTGCAACTGGCTCTACAGGAGCGACAGGTGCAACAGGATCAACTGGTGCAACTGGCTTTACAGGAGCGACAGGTGCCACAGGATCTACTGGTGCAACAGGCTCTACGGGTGCAACTGGTGCCACAGGATCTACAGGGGCAACTGGCTCTACAGGAGCGACAGGTGCCACAGGATCAACTGGAGCTACCGGTGCAACGGGCTCCACGGGCGCAACTGGTGCTACCGGATCTACTGGATCCACTGGTGCAACTGGCTCTACGGGAGCTACTGGTGCAACAGGCTCTACGGGTGCAACTGGTTCTACAGGATCTACTGGAGCCACTGGCTCTACAGGAGCGACAGGTGCCACTGGATCTACTGGAGCTACTGGTGCAACAGGCTCTACGGGTGCAACTGGTGCCACAGGATCTACAGGGGCAACTGGTGCAACTGGCTCTACAGGAGCGACAGGTGCCACAGGATCTACTGGAGCTACTGGTGCAACAGGCTCTACGGGTGCAACTGGTGCCACAGGATCTACAGGGGCAACTGGTGCAACTGGCTCTACAGGAGCGACAGGTGCCACTGGATCTACTGGAGCAACAGGGGCCACGGGATCTACGGGTGCAACTGGTGCCACAGGATCTACAGGGGCAACTGGTGCAACTGGGTCTACGGGTGCAACTGGTGCCACAGGATCTACAGGGGCAACTGGTGCGACTGGCTCTACAGGAGCGACAGGTGCCACAGGATCTACTGGAGCTACCGGTGCAACAGGCTCTACGGGCGCAACTGGTGCTACCGGATCTACTGGAGCCACTGGTGCAACTGGCTCTACTGGAGCAACTGGTGACACAGGATCTACTGGAGCGACAGGGGCCACGGGCTCTACGGGTGCAACTGGTGCCACAGGATCTACAGGGGCAACTGGTGCAACTGGCTCTATAGGAGCGACAGGTGCAACTGGATCTACTGGAGCTACTGGTGCAACAGGCTCTACGGGTGCAACTGGTGCCACAGGATCTACAGGGGCAACTGGTGCAACTGGCTCTACAGGAGCGACAGGTGCCACAGGATCTACTGGAGCTACCGGTGCAACAGGCTCTACGGGCGCAACTGGTGCTACCGGATCTACTGGAGCCACTGGTGCAACTGGCTCTACGGGAGCAACTGGTGACACAGGATCTACTGGAGCGACAGGGGCCACGGGCTCTACGGGTGCAACTGGTGCCACAGGATCTACAGGGGCAACTGGCTCTACAGGAGCGACAGGTGCAACTGGATCTACTGGAGCTACTGGTGCAACAGGCTCTACGGGTGCAACTGGAGCCACAGGATCTACGGGGGCAACTGGTGCTACTGGGTCTACAGGAGCGACAGGTGCCACAGGATCTACTGGTGCAACAGGCTCTACGGGCGCAACTGGTTCTACAGGATCTACTGGAGCCACTGGCTCTACAGGAGCGACAGGTGCCACTGGATCTACTGGAGCAACAGGGGCCACGGGATCTACGGGTGCAACTGGTGCCACAGGATCTACAGGGGCAACTGGTGCAACTGGGTCTACGGGCGCAACTGGTGCTACAGGATCTACTGGAGCCACTGGTGCAACTGGCTCTACAGGAGCGACAGGTGCAACAGGATCAACTGGTGCAACTGGCTCTACAGGAGCGACAGGTGCCACAGGATCTACTGGTGCAACAGGCTCTACGGGTGCAACTGGTGCCACAGGATCTACAGGGGCAACTGGTGCAACTGGTTCTACAGGAGCGACTGGATCTACTGGAGCTACCGGTGCAACAGGCTCTACGGGTGCAACTGGTGCCACAGGATCTACAGGGGCAACTGGTGCAACTGGGTCTACGGGCGCAACTGGTGCTACAGGATCTACTGGAGCCACTGGTGCAACTGGCTCTACAGGAGCGACAGGTGCAACAGGATCAACTGGCTCTACAGGAGCGACAGGTGCAACAGGATCTACTGGAGCTACTGGTGCAACAGGCTCTACGGGTGCAACTGGTGCCACAGGATCTACGGGGGCAACTGGTGCAACTGGCTCTACAGGAGCGACAGGTGCAACTGGCTCTACGGGAGCTACTGGTGCAACAGGCTCTACGGGTGCAACTGGAGCCACAGGATCTACGGGGGCAACTGGTGCAACAGGCTCTACGGGTGCAACTGGAGCCACAGGATCTACGGGGGCAACTGGTGCTACTGGGTCTACAGGAGCGACAGGTGCCACAGGATCTACTGGTGCAACAGGCTCTACGGGCGCAACTGGTTCTACAGGATCTACTGGAGCCACTGGCTCTACAGGAGCGACAGGTGCCACTGGATCTACTGGAGCAACAGGGGCCACGGGATCTATGGGTGCAACTGGTGCCACAGGATCTACAGGGGCAACTGGTGCAACTGGGTCTACAGGTGCAACTGGTGCTACAGGATCTACTGGTGCAACAGGACCAAGTGGGGCAACAGGACCAAGTGGTGCACAAGGCCCAACTGGAAGTACTGGACAAACTGGTTCCACAGGGCCATCTGGAGCAGAAGGTCCAACCGGAGCAACAGGACCAACAGGTTCAGTTGGCTCAACAGGGCAAACTGGAGCTACTGGTCCAACTGGAGCAACAGGAGTTACAGGGGCTACAGGAGCATTTGGGGCAACTGGAATAACTGGGTTGACAGGACCAACTGGTGCAACAGGACCAACAGGTGAAACTGGACCAACAGGTGCAACTGGTCAAATTGGACCAACAGGACCACCAGGGTCTACTGGAGCAACTGGTGTCACAGGGTCTACAGGGGCCACTGGTGCAACAGGTTCTACAGGGGCCACAGGTTCTACAGGGGCCACTGGTGCAACAGGGTCTACAGGGGCCACTGGTGCCATGGGGTCTACAGGGTCCACTGGTGCCACAGGTTCTACAGGGGCCTCTGGTGCCACAGGGTCTACAGGGGCCACTGGTGCCACTGGTGCAACAGGGTCTACAGGGGCCATAGGGTCTACAGGGTCCACTGGTGCCACAGGTTCTTCAGGGGCCTCTGGAGCCACAGGGTCTACAGGAGCCACTGGTGCAACAGGGTCTACAGGGGCCACTGGTGCCATGGGGTCTACAGGGTCCACTGGTGCCACAGGTTCTACAGGGGCCACTGGCGCCACAGGCTCTACAGGGGCCACTGGTCCAACTGGTAGTACAGGGGCAAATGGTGCTACTGGTCCAACTGGTAGCACAGGGCCAACTGGCGCTACTGGTCTAATTGGTAGTACAGGACCAACTGGTGCTATTGGTCCCACTGGCACTACAGGGCCAACTGGTGCTACTGGTCCAACTGGTAGTACAGGATCAACAGGTGCTACTGGTCCCACTGGTACTACAGGGCCAACAGGCACTACTGGTCCTACAGGTAGTACAGGACCAACTGGCGCTACTGGTCCCAGTGGTTCCACTGGACTTCTTGGATCTACGGGACCAACAGGTGCTACTGGTATATTTGGAGCAACTGGCATAACTGGTGCCACAGGTCCCACAGGATCTACAGGGGCCACTGGTGTGACAGGATCTACAGGTGCTGCTGGTGCGACCGGACCTACAGGAGTAACTGGTGCCACAGGTTCTATGGGCGCCACTGGTGCCACAGGATCTACAGGAGCAACTGGTGCAACTGGCACCACAGGTCCATCTGGAAGTACTGGACCAAGTGGTGCAACGGGCTTGATTGGTTCAACTGGACCTACTGGTGCAACTGGTACTACTGGGGCTACTGGTCCTACAGGTGAGATGGGTGAAATGGACGTTTTATTATTTTTACTTCAATTAACTAATTAATTAATAGTTCCCTCAAGTAATAGTATAATCTTTAATCAAATTATAAAAGATAACAATGGGTGGGTAGGTGGGTGCAGTCAGTCCTTGCCTGACTGAATGCTTAAATAGTTTATTATCCCATCAGACAAAGTTTGGAGGGATGTAGAGAATGCCTCTGTCCGTCCATCAGTATGTATGTCCGTACATCCATCTTTCTGTACGTCTGTACATCTGTCCGGGCGATAACTCAAATACTGGTGGCCTGATTTTTTCATATTTTATACACATGTGCCCTATGTAAGTAGAAGTCAATTTTCAAAATGGCTGCTTGTTTAAAAATGGTGGATATTTTAGTGCCGATTTTACAGTAATTTAGGTACAAATATAAAACTAATATTTATATGTTTTCATGCTAAAAAAGTTTGACATTAACAAAGGTAGAAATGTGGGTATTTAGGAAACACATGGCAGCCATCTTGGAAAATTACACACTATTTTATGATTTTTGCTATGATTCAAAAGTAGTGGAGTGATTTAATATGTGATGACTTATAAGCATGGCACACTGCCTTTTGACACTCTGGCTTTTAGGCGGGCATTTTGAAAATGGCCGACATGTATGTGTCATTTATGTTTTTATGATAATAATAATACGAAATGTATGTAAACTGTAATATTTATATGTTTTCAAGATAAAAAAATTTGATAAGACATTAATTAAGGTCAAAATGTAGATATTTAAGAATCGCATGGCAGCCATCTTGGAAAATGGCGGGCATTACATCCTATTTTACAATTTTATGATTTTTGCTTCAATTTTGTTCATATTTAATATATAATGACTTATAAGCATGGCACACTGTCTTTTGACACTGGCTTTAAGGCGGCCATTTTGAAAATGGCCGACATTTTACACATGTCATTTATGTTTTATACTATATATAACACAAAATGCAATAGAGTGATTTTGTTCATATATAATAGGATTTTATTTGTAGAATTTCACACTGTTTTAGGACACTTTGGCTAGTACATGGCCATTTTGAAAATGGCTGCCATTTTTACATGATTGTGTTATTTTACATTTTCTACTATAACTCAAAAAACTAATTTTAGAGTGATTTTGTTCATATTTCACATGTGACTACTTATAAACATCAAGCCCGGTGATCGTGAATATGGGACGGAGGGGGGAGCAGGCAATTTCTGCTAGGAAATTCAACAAATCTGGAAGATTTATTTTTTCAAGAAAAAGTTTACTATTGAATTGCTAAATGGATAGGCCCACGGTATGGTAGAATATGTTAGGTTTTCTGGGATTTTTTCTGAAACGATACGCATCTAAGGTATGAGATCTATTAAAAAAGGCGCAGGGCCATCAACAGGCACAAATCAACGTTTTTGCTATAAATCAAGCAACAATGGTCTGGACGACCTGTAATAAATACTTGTAAGTGATGTTATCATAACTAAATTAATGTCATTGCTGAATTTATAAAATAAGTTTCCAAATGTGAAATAAAAAATATTCGAAAATAATGAATTTAAAATGGAGGGGGGAGGAGACGGAGGGGGGAGCAATATGTATATAAGACATGATTAGAGATGTTTCGCGACTTTAAGTCCTTTTACTCCAAATGTCCCCATTTTTCAGTCTCCAGGGGTATATCATCCAGTTTCTTACTAAGTTAATGAGTTCATTTTTCAAATACAAGAATTTGTGTGAAGTTGTTTCACTTTATAGAATTATTACTCCCCCCCTCCGTCCCCTCCCCCCTCCATCCCATTTTAATTATTTTCGATTATTTTTTATTTTACGTATGGAAACTTATTTTATAAATTCAGCAATGACATTAATTTAGTTATGATAACATCACTTACAAGTATTTATTATTATTTTGCACGTTGGTTGCGTTGCGCCTTTTTTAATAGATCTTATATCTTAAAAGAGTATCAGTTGAAAAATAATCCTAGAATACCTAACATATTTTATCATACCGTGCACTTATTCAATTTGCAATTCAATCGTAAACTCTGTCTTGAAAAAATAATTTTACCAGATTTGTTGAATTTTCTAGCGGAAATTGCCTGCTCCCCCTCCGTCCCATTTTCACGATCACCGGGCGTGAACATGGTACACTGTTTATTGACAATTATTGCTAGAAAGTGGCCATTTTGAAAAAAATGTTGTTTTATGAAGTTTGCTGTTATTAAAATCGTAGTGAAGCAATTTTGTAAAGAAAAATTTTAAATGTAAAATTTTCCTGAATTCTTTACATAAATTAATTGCACAATTTAATGATGTTAACTCCCTTGAACTACCAGAATAAGACTTTAGAAAGAGGTTTAAAGAACAAGCACATGTTATACATGTATGGCTAGCTTATCTGATATTATGAAAGTAGATTTATTAGCCATTTATTATTTTAAAAGTCTAATGAAGCTTCCAACATATTTTATAATTAATACGCATTTAAATAAAATTAACCTACCATGGCAATTATATAAGTGTACACGCAAAACATTTCATAAATATATCCACTTTTGCTTTATTAGGTATACCAGGAGCAACTGGGCCAAGTGGTTATGGTAAGTAGGAACACCCAACAGGTTGGTCTTAAAATGTTTTGCTCCTAGAAAAAACATGGACATGAAAATTGGTGTGTGAAGTAAAAATACTTAATGACATGCAAAAAAATCATAAACTCTATTTTTTAATATTGTAACTGAAATTAGAAAAATGGCAAATTTTTTTTATTTGAAATCATTTGACAAGGTTTGTGTGTTTTAAATTATGTATTTCCATCAATTATCATTTCAATGTTTCATAGATCAGATCCCCATTGATTTCTAATATTACTGGGTGCATCTCTCACCAGGCCATACAACAGTCTATCTAATAATGAATACTAGTAAAAATAGTACCATGGGTACTGGGCTCACGAGGTGTTGCTCAAAAAGAAACGAGGCACATGACGTGAACGAGATCACACCATCAAAAAACTTTCAAAATGCCCGCTAGAAAAATGGATATAAAATATCTTGCATGTCAAAATGTATTTTTAATTCAAACACACTGCATGTTAGTACATACATGTACATAAAATACATACTGGCATAAATATAATCTGATTCTAGAGGAATATTTAACAAGATCATATCACTGTGATTTTCCTCACTCTCGGATTGGTCTATGTCCTACATTACATATATTATGTGGAGGAAATATTCACTCTTCAAAACAAGGTCACAAGGTATCTGCCAAAGAAAAGTAAGCAACCTAGTGAAATATGACATTAGCGCTACATATGATAACAGACAGCGAAATAAAATCTTGGCAAAATCATTTTGAAGTCTTATGGGATAGGCTTATTCAAAGAATCATAATTTTTAGTATTGTCAACTTGAGTTTTGAGTAATAACAGTAAAATTCCAACTCAACAAAACGTCCATATTTCATTTCAGATGATGTTGACGAGTGCCTCATAAATAATGGTGATTGTCAAGATGCGTGTGTGAACACCTATGGCAGTTACTACTGTACTTGCAACACAGGCTATCAGCTGAACAGTGATAATTTGACATGCTCAGGTAAGAATCATAACTGTAAAAGTTGTAGACACAGCAATAGTCGAGAATTCAAAATCTTAAAATATTTTTAAAACTAAGAAAAGTAAAATGATAACACATGCTTGAGTAGCCCTGAAATGAAAGTACTTTGTGAAACACAAAACAAATAAGGAACAAAGCAAAGTACAACTAGGCACAAGGAAACAAACCATAACATCCCAATGAATGATCAGAGTTAAATGGTCCCCTTCCTTACAGAACTATTATCACATTAATTCATTAATTAAAGTGTGACAGACAATTGTGATACCTGAAACATATAATTACTAACCAATGACATGTCTTACAGATGAAATAGAATGTGACACAAACAATGGAGGGTGTGAGCAGACATGCACCAACAGTGTTGGCAGCTACATATGCAATTGCACTGCTGGTGCCTACACACTTTCTCTAAATGGACACAGCTGTGATGGTAGGTGACATTAAGGTTATTTCCTTGGATATTATATTACTGGGAGGCCCAATACAAATGATTGCATCTGCATCTTTATATGCAATCTCCCATTTACATACTTGCAGTTGATTCCGTATCATAATTCAATTTATAATAAAATAAATGATATAACATATGATAAATTGAAACAAAGTGTTTATAATGGACACGGATAATACATTGTCGTGAAAGTACTCCATACCAGATTAATACAGGTATGCTAGTTGTTTTTCATTTATAAATACTGTAGATGCACGAATATAGACTAACAAAACAATGGACCATCGTGATATATTCTAGGATTAATAGGTTAATATTTTCAAATCTTTTTATTCAACTTAATGGTTGATATTATTTAATGTTATTTGACTAGTTTTGTAATAATATTTTCACATTTTCTCAAATTCCTTTCTAATCCAAGAATGTTATATATACTTGCAGATGTCAATGAATGTTCGGAGAATACAGATGACTGTTCAGGTACTATTAGTCGATGTATCAACACTTTCGGAGGATATCACTGTATCACTGATGATGGTGGGGTGGATGGTAAGAAACTAACCACATTTACTTCACATTTCACCACTCAGTTCTCAGAAAATTCCCATTCTCAATATTCTCATTTCAAGAAACATCATAACCCAATTATTTATTCTTAGTTATTCGCTCTTCCTTTCGATTTCCATGCATGTGCGTATATAGTAGAAGAAAATGAACGGTAGTTTTACCAAAAAGGTTGATTACAAGTTTACTCCTTAAAAAACAATTGGTTGTAATAATTACAACTCCTGACCAATTCTGGTTTTATGTTATAGATGTATTCAAATTTCTTCAAGTAAACAAGAACCATTATTTCATGGTAATTTCTAAATGTTACAGCATAATGTCTTCAGTTTGCTGTATGACTTATATTGATGTTTCTCTAGGTCTGGTTCAATCTGAAGGAAATGTTCTCACAAGTGAAGTCCAACAGCAATTACAGGATGCAGCTGAGGAAAGAATGGGGCTAGCAGATGACATTGAAGGAAACAGAAACACACAACTAACATTAGTGATGTGGATTGTCATAGCAACAGTTGCTGTTGCAATCATAGGTGGCGTGGCCTTCAAGTTCTATAAGAATCTGAAACATCAGAAGAACATTAACAGGGATCAAAAGACCATCAACAGAAATCTGGAGATCAAAATGATGAAAGAAATAACTGCTGTTAAGCAGGCATGTGGTATCATAGACCTAGATGCAGAGATTGGAGAGAGTAGCAGTGACACATATGACACACCATCTCAACTAGACACACTAGAACCCAACTTCCTCTGTGATGCTCAATCTGAACGCAGCAGTGTCATGGGAGAAGTTGGCAGGGATGTATTTCAAGAAGTCATTGAAGCACAATCTCAACAGGACAGTATGGAGCCTAACTTCCTTTGTGATGTAAGATCTGAGCATAGCAGTGTCATGGGTGACCGTGACAGAGACTTATTCAATGATTTTGATGACATCATAATGGAGTCGGGTATTGTGATTGGACGGAGACGCCATGGTGATAACATGATGCTCAGTAATAGACCAAATATAAATGGTGATAGTGCAGTGTTCAACAGGTTACCAAGGACTCCATTTTGATAGTTATTAACGCACAAGGTTCATATTGCAGAATGTGAAAGAAAAGGGTAGTCTAGTCTTACATCAAATCTCTGGACCCTTCCCCTCTATCTACATTACAAGGTTGGGTGTGTTGTGGGAAGAATCATAAGAGCTTAATGCAAGACTACAGACAGTCTTGTTTCTGGTCATCAGCAGAAAAGAGTTGGCATTGCCAGTTCAAGCTAAATAATGTGCAGTAATTTAAAAATGCTACAAAATATCTGCTGGCTGGTCTAAAGTTTAAACTCTGATGCCCAAAAACAAGCGAATATCCTGACCTCACATATTTACCAAGAAAGGCCAGCTTCTTAAAGTAGATGTATCTCAAATAGAGGAGCTGTAGATCTTTCAGTTTTGAATAAAGTAAAAAGATATATTTTCATTAGTTATATATAGATATATTCTAATATGGGGTAAACATACAGAAGCACCATCTAAAAGGCCATGTGCTAACATAAAACCAACCATATTTGGTCTTTCATGGTTAAAACCAATAAAACAATCACATTTAAGATAATCATATGAAATTGCTGTCTGTGATATAATATACAAATATTTCATACGATTGACACCTGTTCATCTTTGAATGATTCTAGCAAGGAGTATTCCCGGAGCCAGAATGGTCATATCATTTACAAGGGGAAAAAGAAATCCAGGGAAATCAACATACAATTTTTAGGGGAAGGGGAAAAGATATCATATTTAATTTTTTTGTCAAATCTCAAAGTTTTGATATATGGTCCCTATTGTGGATCCTCTACCAACCATATGTAAAATAAAATTATAGCCATATAGTCTGCATAGACAGATGATGTATATTTAATATTTTTATATTCTTTCATTGGAAATTGAATTTAGAGAGTTAAAAAAGAATGATTCACTTTTATTTACAGTAGTAATAGTTATTACCAAATGTCTTGTGAAATTAGGGCAAGATTTTGTACAGGATACATAATTATTGCAAAACTTGTTATTATTTACTTGTGATCACATGAAAATTGATTAGATTTAAAGAGTCAGGTCTAGAAATTTTAGGAATGCACTGACGAATAATATGTTCAGTTCTAGAGTGATTTGGGACCTGCTTCCAGAGAGTGTCACAAGCTCAGAAAATTCACTACCTTCAAAGCAGGATTATAACACTTCTGGATATTCAAACACTTGAAGCTTGAAGCAATGCCACAAACTATGGTCTTCTATGCATCCATGCAAAAAATCAATAATAATGATAACAATGATAATGATGAATAAGTACCAATAATGTTTTTACTTTATGGTATATGAGTTTCGTACAACTATCATATTGATTGTGTACAGTTGTAGTTTCTATATAATTATTATATACAAGGCATTAAATATGTTTATTTTGTACACTTTATGACTCTCAAACAGAATTGTTCTGTTTTTGTAAAAGTAATGTATAAATACATTGTTGAGATTTTAAGAGATTTTATCTTTAATTTATACTTCGATACCAAAGCTCTGTAGAAATAAATTTATTTTATCAAGATAAAATACCATCATGTTATGTGTCCTTATAAGGGTTTTAGAGTCTAGAGTCGGAGATAATGGGATGACAAAAGTGAGGCGGTTACTTATACTAGAAATTATATTTTTTCTGGAAAAGTAGTGGCCATTTTGAATTCAACTGCAGTCTTTTCTTGAAAATGGCAGCCATTTTAAATTCAGTGGACGTATTAACAAGGTTTTCTTGAATCAAGGTCCAAGTTCCTAACTATGGCCTCAGCATATAATTTGAATCAAATCTGTCAACTGGTATTTTGGTTATCACTGGGACAAACAAATGAATGGATGGATAAATAGATTCTCTATATCGCTACTCAAATGGTTACTCTACAGGCCCCCTCTACATTATCCGCAACAATCAACAAATACACTATATTTTATGGACATGTTATATTATTACTATTTTGGCATTTATTAAATAAGTGGCCAATCACTATAATTTTCTATGATGGTAAAAATCATCTGAATTCATAATAATGTTTCTTTTCATTTTTGCTTGTAGGCCTCCAAATCAATCAATCTTAAAACATTATCTACCCCTGAGCAATAGAATCATTATGAAAAACACTAGGATACATATTGAGATAATTCTCATTCAAAATGTCCCTCTGGTTAATCTCTCCATTTCATGTTTAGTTAAATTTTCTTATTCTTCATTCCAATCATTCCTCCAAGTCTCTAAATATCTTAAAAATCCCTATAACAGAATTCCTACAAAATCTAGTTTTTCTTTTCCAATGTTTCTACCCATTCTGTCACTTTAGTATCTAGTCGCTGAATAAATCCAAACATGATAATCAAAAGTGTCGATATGAGAAGAAACGAGGCACCTTCATAGACGTATCTTGGAGCAAAGATCTTCCACACCATTAGATGGCGCCTTAATACTGCTGCAGTACACATAGTTGACAATAACTGTAACGAAAAAAGAAACTTAATATCTAGAAACCTTATTTGATTTTCTAACAACCATGAACCCATACTGTTGAAATTGTTCCCTTTTCATTTTTCAGTTTAGTTTTTCGAATGAATTTATAAAATACCGATTTAACATGTTAAATACTATAAACCCTAAAATATCTGTCTTGCAAATAAGTGCAAAGTATAAATTCTCACAATTTGTCAAAAACTGTAAAACAACTTCAAAGAAAATAAATGAAGCACAAGATGCACAGTATTAAATAGATAGAGTCATAGGACCCATTCCTATTTAGATCCAAAATGGGAAATCTTGCTATAGATTTTCTGTTCACAGTGCAAGTACACTAAATAATATATTGCTGTATTTGTCAAGGCAAACATTTCCTTACCTTTATCCCATGGAACAGAGAATATCCAAGCACCAACTTAAAGGCTCCGACATGAAGAGCATCAGTGTCTTCATTGGCTGTGAATTCACCCTTGTCAGTTATCTTAGCCTCTTTCTGAGTTTGGAATGCATGGATCACATGACCTCGTACATATGGCCAGAATAAAATTAACGAAAGTCCAATTGTGAACAGAATTTGAGATGCGAATGTATTGATGGTTAGTAATATTGCTGGAATTGTATGATTGGTGATGTCACCATGGAAACCAGTCCATGCTGCACCCCATTGGAGCGTAGTAACAGTTGCCTGGTGACCAGTTGTGTAGAAGAAGCAGGTAGAGAGGAGACCCCATGTAGAAACACATGACCATGTAACAAAGTGTCTTCTTCCTGAAAATTATAATATTAAACAAGTTATTTTGTTGTATCTTGAAACAGTAAACACACAATAAATTAAAGGTAACAACTTTAAATAATTAGTAAAAGTTTGAATCCATATTTGATCAAAAACTTGTGCCAGCATAAATTACATTACTAGGCAATGTTGGAGATAAAAAGGCAAATCAATTGTGGGAATACCATTTTATTCCTTCAATAATCTCTTTTCATGCACTGACAAAACAGATAACTCAGGACTGCTTTCATCAGTGTAATACAGTGATTTACACAGGAAAGTGTTCAGTTACCCCCCTATCACACCAAACTAATTCTTACCCGTTCTTGCCAGTCCTACGAAAACGTCGTAAAACAGGCTCAATCTGGCTGTGGTCGGGAAATATGTCTAAAATAATTAGCTACTTCCTTCCTAAACAGTCTTCAATACGTCCATCTCATTCACAGTTCGTTCAGGTCGCACCACGTCGGTGTGCAACGTCATATAATGCGTCCATTAGTCTAGAAGGTCATAATGACCTGATTACAGAATGGTATGGTCGCCATCGAATTTTGGTGTCAATCTAGAGGACCTGCCCGTTCGAGTACGTTCTATGAAGTTTGTAAATAGACCCAACCAGTTCTGAGTTCGTCCAGTCCGTCCGTACACAGTTGAAGCCCGTTTTCGAGAACGTAGTGAGAACTAGTTTGGTGTGATAGTAGGGTTACCTTGGCATTATCAGGCCTTTACCTATTTAGTTTAGCAAAACTGCAGGTGTATATGTATTTCAGTGCTGTAATTTTTGGGCAAAATAATCAAGATTAAAAGTCAGAAGTACCTGTAACAGAAGTATCAGACTGTTCTTTACATGAGTGCAGCTCTAGGAATAGAACCATGGAGAGAACAGTGAGCGTAATACTTGGGGCAAGTCCATCACGTAACAACATCACACACAGTACAGCAGCTATAGTTGTCAGGAACAACAACACTGATGAATACACTGTAGCTAATCCATACACCATTGGTGGTGGCTTCTCAGTGACCTGAAAAGTATCTTCAGGGATTTTGTTGCTCTCCCTGTTGTGATTGTGGGTTGTTAGATGTGTCTTCCAGTTAGTTTTCAAATGGTTGAACATTTTTGGCACTAAGTCTTCATCGGTGTTAGATAAAGGCAGTCCAGGGTCCGTTTGGGTGTCCCTATGTCGCACATAGATCAACAGAGGTTTCAAATACAGCACCCCTAAACTGGTAAGAGTCAAGGTGTATACAATACGTGGTAACAATGTCACTTGCCACCCTGGAAGTTTGTCCAGAAGTTTCTCGGGAAGTCCCTGGAGGGCCCAATAGAGGGAGACACATATTGCACTGAGAGGTAGACCATAGCTGACACACAAGACTGCAGGGGAGAACCCATTCATGTTGCCATAGTGCCTCAGCCATGAGCGACACCCAAGCACAAGACCTCCCACTGAGCACACACTTAGAATATAACGCAAGTTCTTGTACTGGTTCATATTCGAAGGGAGGCTTGAGATGGACTGGAGGAAATATGATGGTTCGCAGATCGACTGTTCCTCACGACACGCTCTAAAATAACCAGCAAGTTTCAAACAGATACAACATCCTAATGTTAAGATCAAAGTTATAACCACTGGTGATGATAACATTTTCTTAAGTTCAATTTTGTGTTTCTTGCTGTTGGAGTCTTTTACTTTTAGGGATTTCCTAATAACATTGCTTGAGATTTTCATAAAGTATACCCATGTCATGGTCTGTGCTAGGTATGTAACAACTGAATCTTCATATACCACAAAACTGTTTGAAAATGATCCAAGACAGTAAAAGGCTACACATAAGCTAGCGAATATGTTCTCAAATGAATGCTTCACTTTTGTACTTTTTACATCAGTTGTCGATTGATCCTTGGTGATTGCATACAAAATATATCCAACTATGAGAATAACGCTACATTCAAATATTAGTGACGCTATAAAGATCGAAGTCATTGTTTTGTTGAAGGCATGGAATGTGAAAAATATTATCATCCAAATTGACATAGCCATCAGGATGTATATTGGTTTAAAATCCATTGTTCCATACATGTCTGTTTTAAACATGTATATTGATATTGCAATTGCACCACATACAAGAATAATTCCTAAGAGCATTGCATGCACGTCAAACTTTGCCCAAACATCCCGGCACATTTCTTTACACCCCTGTAAATAGTCCACATATCCTTTTCTTATGATTTCAAACTCCTTTATGTATTTTTGCTCTGTTCCAGTTTGATGTGAGATTCTAGTCACTAAGGATTGAAACTCATTCTCCAATGAGTTGAATGATGTTTGAAGCTCGGCAAACTTCTTGTAAGGAAGTTCAGAAGACAAATTTGCATAGGTTTGAAGATAGGTTTCTATCTGAAATGCAATTGTAATAAATGTATGTTTACTTTATTCATTAATATTAATCTATGCCTGAAAAATAAATATAATTCATTCATTGAGGCAACATAAAGCCAGGTTTAGTTTTGTTATAATTCTAATATTCATTAAAAAAATCATTTGTACTTTTTTTTGAAATATTCATTGCAATTGTACATTAAACAGGCAATGTGCCTATTTTGGAAGGAAAAAGGACAAAATATTATATGAGACATGTCACTCACACAGCCAATCAAATATGATAAAAACTTTAATTTGGGATAATACTGAACTGAAAAAAATTACTTGCATAGAAAACGGCATTTGAAGTTCAGAGACTGAAAAAAGTGAATTACCACTTTTCACATTTGTGGATGTTTTAAATAACTCTTAGATTAAAAGATGGCGTATGCTTGAAAATCCTATCAAAATGAATGGATAATTAATGCAAACAACAATGCCATCTTTCTATGGCATGGCTAAAAGCTTGACACATATAAATTGATAGATCAAAAATATTTTTTCATGATCTAGTGTCAACTCTGATGTGGTCTGCTTGAGCTGTTTTTGGTGTCAAATGAAAGATCGGGTACTTATTTATCCATTGGAAATACTATGAAGATCAAAAGTGAGACTTCATTTACGCACTTTGTCCCTTTAATTGTCTCTTATCTGGTTTAATATTGTAATATGCTTTATTAAACATGTTAGTTATCAAATCTATGATAAGATTGAAAAAATCTTAGAAATATACCTGATAAGCATTCAGACGTAGAGCTTTGACTACATGGAACAGTTGATTTATTCTGGAGGATGACCCAGTCGACTTGGGATTATGGTTAAAGAGATCCTCCACTATTGTGCCAAGGTTGGAGTATGGGATTGCTGAGCCTAAGAGCAGGGAGATTGTTGGGACAAGATCTATCTGGGATATAGTCAGTTCCTATCAAAGAAGAAGTATCCCTTATCAACAATAGTAATACAAGGTATACATGTGCTTATCAACTGAGATAAAAATAATTTAATATCTAAATAAATTATAATCAATATGGAGAAAACAGTTTTATTAGATGTTTTTATCAAAAATGTCAACAAATTACATGTACAAGGTTCATAAATCAAAGTGCACATTGATCACCTTCAGATATCTTCAATAATTGTGTACACTTATGAAGTCATACAATATTTTGGATGTCCTCATAATATTCAACACTGAAGGTCAAAATCTCTAAAAACTGAGCCATATTCTTGGTAATGTAGCATGTGGATATGAGAGATAGCTTTCACTTGATTTAGTTTACCATTTTCTTATTCCAATTTTATCATTCCTTAAAAATATTGCAGGTGAAAATGTAATTTTAAGAGCCCTCAGCCTCTCACACAGTCACACAATTAAATTCAACATGGTAGTTTGTATTAAATTGCTTTTGCAGGACAATCATGGTGACCAAGAGTTAACAGTGCAAATTGGCCCAGTCGTGTTTTTTCAAACTCTTTAGTCGTGTTTTGTAAGAACATGGGATGCGACATTCGTTAGAATGGAGCAAAAAGATAAGAATATTCTATATTTTACAAACTTACATATCTTGACTTCTACCTAAGATGTTCTTCTTCATACCCATGAATCTATTTTGGGGATAAATCCATCTTACTTCATATCAATCGCAATTATATACCAAAAGTGCCAGAAATATGTACTTAATTTGCATTTAGTGTTATTTAATCAAGTTTAAACAGACAATCCATTCAACAACATGGAATAATATTCACTAGTCTTAAGATCGTGTAAATATTTTAACTGTATTTATCTTAAAATTGCCATAAATGACCGTAAATGTAGAAAGTGGAGTTAACTATGGAGAAGGGACAACATAACGTCATGGACGTGTCTTATAATAAGCATGTTAACGTTTTGGATTGTAAAGATTTAGATGTGATAAAATTAACGACTTTGCATTGTCTTGTAATAGTGTTCACATTTCACACGTTTTGTTGCTTAATAATTTGTCTGTCCTTCTGAAAATAATCGCATTAGTATTTTGAAGATGAGTGTTTGTACAACATGTACATGACTATTCACATATTTTGTTATTTCAGTTCCTCGGAATAAGTGTCATGTGTGTGCTTTCAAAAGTGCCGATAAGAACACGTTCCTTGAACTAGTTACAATTGTTTGGCTTTTAAACTAGTACTAAAATAAATTGAAAAACTAAATTCTTACTATCTCGTATTTCTGCTAGAAGTTATAACTCAAAAAGTATCTTCTTAATCAATAATATAATTTATAGTTTATGTTGGTTTAATAATAATTTGCGGGCCTAATACGACACACACTGTTAATCAGAAACAAATAGTATGCATTATTACACAAGCAGATCCCCCACCATCTGTTCATGTATTATTATAAAACACGGGGATATGTACATTAGGTGTCACCTGTTTACTGTAATTTGTAGTAAAGATATGAATAAATAAGAATAAACTAGAAAAACAGCAACTCCACGGAGTAGCAAATCCCACCGAACAAAACATGTTTTGATAAAAAATTTGAGCCAAATTCATCCATTGGTATTTGAATTATCAACGATTATGTTTTTATAAAACATGGTTGCCATTTTGAAATTCAGCTGTCATCTTTAGATTTCTTCTTTAGCAGAGAATGTCCATCCAATAGTATTTGGGTTATCAAAGATTACTTTTTTAATGAAAAATGGCAGCCATTTTGAAATTCAGCTAACGCCTTTGAAATTTCTTCTGAAGCAGATCTCCTTTTTCCCTAAACATCAGCATATAAAATTGGAACCAAATCCATCCACTGGTATTTGAGTTATCATTAATTACGTTTTTTTACGAAAAATGGTGGCCATTTTGAAATTCAGTGGCCATCTTGAAAATTTATTTTTGAGCAGAACTTCTTTGTCTCTAGGCATCAGCATATAGAATTTGAACCAAATCCGTCATTTGGTATTTGAGTTATCAAAGGTTACGTTCTTTTATGAAAAATGGCGGCCATTTTGAAAATTAGCTGCCACCTTGAAAATCCCTTATCGAGCAGAGCTCCTGTGTCCCTAGGCATCATCATGTAAAATTTGAACCAAATCCATTCAATGGTAATTGAGTTATCAAAGATGCTTTTTTACGAAAAATGGCCGCCATTTTGAAATTAAGCTGCCATCTTGAAAATCCTTTCTCGAGCAGAGCTCCTATGTCCCTAGGCATCAGCATCTAAAATTTAAACCAAATCCATTCAATGGTATTTGAGTTAATAAAGATAACGTTTTTTTACGAAAAATGGCTGCCATTTTGAAATTTAGCTGCCATCTTGAAAATCCTTTCTCGAGCAGAGTTCCTATGTCCCTAAGCATCAGCAACTAAAATTTGAACCAAATCCATTAAATGGTATTTGAGCTATCAAAGATAACGTTTTTTTTACGAAAAATGGCCGCCATTTTGAAATTTGGCGGCCATCGTGAAAATGTCTTCTTGAGCAAGGCTCCTTTGTACCCAGGCAACAGCATATAAAATTTGAACCAAATCCATCCACTAGTATTTGAGTTATTAAAGATTATATTTTTTCCGAAAAATGGCCGCCATTTTGAATTAAGCAGCCATATTGAAAATTCCTTCTCGAGCAGAGGTCCTACACCCATAAGGCATAAGCCTATAAAATTTGAATGAAATCCGTCAACTGGTATTTGAGTTATTGCCCGGACACACGAACGGACGGACGGACGAACGGACGGACGGACGAACGGACGGACGGAAGAACGGACGGACGGAAGAACGGACGGACGAACGGACGGACGGACGGCTTTTCTATATCCCCCTCGAACTTCGTTCGGTGGGATAATAAAAAAGACAGATGTATGATTTAACAAGATCATCAGATGTTGTAATTTAATTCACTAGCAAAGTATGTTACAGTACAGTTCATAGGTCACTCATAGAACCATAGCAGCATATGTAGCGTTTTATACCTATCGCATTGTGTGAGGCAAATTAGGGAATAACATTGAATCAAATTGTTAAAAATCCTGAGGCGAACCTTAGATTTTGAGCATTAAATAACGGTGGAGTTATTCCTTATATTAGGTGATCATATATATGCATTTACATGTAGTTCATCACAAACTAAACATTTTCTCTCATTTTAAATAAATCTATTTACGGTCATGACAGGGGAAAGTGAGTTTAGGGCCAATAGGGACGTTTTAAAACTTATCTGAGGCAAATTCAAGAATAGCAACGAGCCATTAAATGAGCGACGGGGCAATTAAAAAATATGACTAGTCAAATTTTCAAAAACGATGAGCGATGAGGCAAAGCTCGCTTGCATTAACCTTGCGTGTCTGATTCTAACCATTTTGATTTAAGTATCAAATTCTGTAATGATTCCATAGATCAATCTTGACAAATTATGTCGTACATTTGATTACTGTTAATCATTTATAATTAAGATAGTATTACTCAGACAACAACTTCTTCCATTTTTTGGGAGATACATAATGTTAATTGTGCTGTTTCCCACTTCCAAATCGTTAAACCTCAATGTCTCTACACGTCTAAATGTTTCCAGTAACAAGTCAACGTCATTAACCGCAATCTTTTGAACACGTCTAAAGAGTTTAATCTAAAAAATATTATTCAGTCAATTGCTACTTACTTAAGCTCTTCTAACTTGTGGTTTTCGCATATATTGTGAATGCTTTCCTTATGAATCGATGTATTTATTGAAAACAAGTCAGGCTAGTGATTTTCAGGCAAAAATATGTATAAGACTGACAGAATTGCTCACTTTCCGATATAACAAGACTATAGCATACGATTCGTGCAAATAACACGTTTACAGATACGTGAAGTTAAAATATATAGTATGGAAAGGAATATAAATTACTTACTTTAACATAAAGTCAAGTGACAGCAATTTCATGAGCAAATTTATCAACCTACCTCTCAAATTTTCAAAAACACACGTCTAAAGAGTTTGAAAACACACGACCGGGCCAATTTGCACTGTTAACTCTTGGTCACTGTGACAATGGGACAAATGATTGGAGTCAATTTTGTAAATGTATTTGTTTTGATTTAGCAGGCCCAATAATATTGATACATGTTGAAACAGATAGATAAGATTTATATAACAGCAACATTTAAACCTGCACATCGCTCCAAAACGCAATATGTTGACATATATTGTTTTTACATTTTTAAGCTCTAATATAAAGTTTATGTAAATAAAAATTGTTTTTTTCTGCGTTATATCAAAGAACAATCATTTCGTTAAAAAAAATAAAAGGCGAATGCGGGATTCAAACCCGGGCCTCCCGCGTGTTAAGCGAGAATTGTACCGCAAGACTACCGTTTTATTATGAATGGTGGAGGTAATTAAACGGTACTTAATTTGAATGCTATGATTCGGAAGTGACGTCACGTTCTTCATTTAGAAACCTTTTCAAAATCATATCGTCGGCGCCGATCGAAGCAATTCAATGAATAATCTTTGAAATGACACATTTATCGTAAGTATTTCTACACAAGATTTGCCCCATTTGTTCATCATTCTATAATCTTTCATCAAGCTCAAAATGATAAAGTTCACCCCCGAAACAACCCAAGATTGCGTTTTGGAGCGATGTGCAGGTTTAACTAATGTAGAACTACAGTGTCAACCAAATTTTTTTGCAATTCAAATTTTCTTGAAAAATCTAGTTGAAAGATGTACTGATGTATGACAAAATAATTGTATGTGCAATGAGAAAGATTGACCATTTAGTTACTTCACATTGCTTTGAATGGGAACATTTTTTATACCTTATTTGTGTATGGGGATGTGGTTATCTTTGAAGGGCTGTATATGAACAAGGCTGCATCAACTTCGTCATTACTATCTCCCCCATGGTCCCCTGTTCTTGTCATACCATGGTCCCCAAGTACAAATAAAATTGTATCCTCGTCTAATTCAGCCACAACAGATCTACAAATAACATTATAAACTAGAGAAAGGTAACATCAGATAGTAGCAAATCCCAGTGAACAAAATATGATTCCCTAATTCTGAATCTGAAAGATGTCACAATGTAATATACAAAAAATGCACAATTAAAATATTTTTCATTAACATATATACTGTAAAGGCATACTTAATCTAATTTTATATTTTAGGTGAAATTCTACATTTTGGAAACCATTTTGATTTTCTGAGGCACAAATCATAAAAATACGACACATTATTCAATACTTAGTAGTGTTATAGTTAAACAACATGCAGGAACAAAATTGATATATGAAGTGTCAGCGGGTGATATATATATCACCTGCTGATATCCCCTGCTCATCAGATCTATGGCGTCACAAATTCAGAGAGTGAAACTGAGCCAGGGGACTTGACTATAAACCCTCATAATCTACTAAGAATAGAATAAATCAGTTATCAAGGCTCAGGGTATATCACTCGGTAAATAGTCAACATATCAATATATATTTATTGATGTATTCGATTTCCCTCAGATATACCCTGTATCAAAAACCTCCCAATGCCTATACGTATTTTACATCTACCATACGATACCTTATACTTCAGAATAATAAGTCAAACATGGACAAAGAGAGATTCTGAAATCTGAGCTACTTCCATGCTTTTTGGTATACTTATCCCGGAAAGAGACAACAATATTTGGAATCTACCGTACTCTAGAATACATTCAATTGGAGCATAATAAACATATACTTTGGAGAGATCTAGAGAGTTATGAATATAAAGTTATCATCAACCCAGAACTCACTATCTTAAGCTACCACATCACATTAACAACACTGAGCATCATTTAAATAACCTTTGGTTCACAAAATATATAATCAATCTTTATTATAAAATTTGAATCACAAGGTTATTTTGGATTGTATGTCTCTAAAATGAGCAATTCAACTGGCCATATTTTCATTTTGAATGGAAAAAATTAGCAGTGTTCACATTTCAAAATTTTATAAACATGCGCATCTTTAACTGTATTGTGAAAATGATATCTTAACAACTAAAACTGATTTCTCCAAAAAGACACAAAGGTAGGGCCATGAATCACCAGTATGGGCCCCTTAAATGAGAATGAGTATGAGGACACACCATTGGTCCGAATCCAAATCATACAAATCCCATTCATCCAAATCCTCATCATCCAAATCCCAACCGTCCAACTCCAATAGACCTGATGCAATTAGAAATGATCTTGATTTACGTCATTAAATATTCAAACTTCATTCAAAGTGATGTCATATTTGAAATCTACATGTAAAAATACATCAAAAAATATGGTTTCGAAAATTGTTTATCAACTTTGAAAATTTAATATTTTTTGAAAATGTGACTTCTGGTTCGGGTTGATTCCCCATAGACCCCATATTACAAAATCACATAAAGTGAAATATCTTTTCTTGTATTGGACATATAACATTTTCTTTTACTGGACATACTTTAATTTGCATAACTATTCGAAACATTAGGGCTATATGAAAATTGAACCACAAAAACAGATGTAATTTAAGTTAAAGGGAACTTTCTCCTATACCCGCCATGCTATCTGACCCGAGCGAGCCACCTGGTGGTGAAACTTGTAACTACCTACTCGCATTTGCGTTATTGGTCTGAATCCCATTCATCCGAAACTTAATGATCCAAAAATTAACAATTGTCGATATGATATTTTCTAAGACCGCAGGGAAGTATGCATCTCAGCTTATTGCGTATTTGGTAAAGAGGGTATCTGTAAAGTATTTTTACACATTTATGGAGCATTTGTAAATTGTTATTGTAAATAGACTTTGTCGACAGCCTATACTTAATTCAATAACCTGATCATAGTACTGACATTGCTTCATGGGTATTCCTTCTAGGCAATGCTCAAGTTAGGATATAGAGAAACAGCTGATCATAGACATATTTTAAAAATTAAAATGTGTTACAACCTTTTATCTAAACATCCAAAAATCATCTCCATAATATAAAAAATGGCAGGTCTTATCTAACATTTTTGCTTCAATGGGCATTTCATTCAAACAAGGAATAAATAAGCTAAGTGGGTATTTCATTTTCAAACTCATATTTTATGTTTGTTTGAATATTTCTAGAGCTACAATCGTAAACAAAGCCTGATGTTGACTTAACATGGCAGCAAAGAATACAAAGTGGTAAATGCTTAAACCTTGACTGTTCTCGAAAAGGCAATAAGCTGACATATATCATTTAATACATTTTCATACAACTGAAAAGATAATAAATGTTTTAATATAAAGTTGACATAGGCCTAGTTAAGAATTTTTTAAGCGTAAAATCAAAGCCAACTATATAATAATTAAAAAGAAAATTAAAATTTGACAGGGAATCGAACCCGGGACGCGTTTTAGGCGAGCATTCTACCCGTGTACTTATTAGCGGGAGTAATTTATCAGATCTTATCTTAACTTCTAATTAGCTAGTCACGTGACATTCTTAAATTTAGAAATCTTCAAAAACTCAAATGGCCGGCCAATCATCCGAGCAATGGAAGGACCAATCATCATAATAACACCTTAATCGTGAGTATTTTTGCACAGCATTTTCCCAATTTGTTTATTATTGTATATTCTCTCATTATAGCTCAAAATATCACTTGGGACCCTGGGAACAATCCAGGATTGCGTTTTTTTCAAAAAAGGCAGCTTTAACATAATTTATGTCCAATAAGTATGGTTTAAAGGGGAATTAAATTTATTCAATAATCACACATCATCGTGATATTTTATTCCATGTTGTCATATTTCTTGTATCTTTAGAATTGATATTATTTGAATTAAGCTTTACGAGGCAGCATTCAGATGAATAAATAAATGAAAACAACAGGCAAAATTAATGGAAATCAAAAATTTAACATAGAAAAATTGAAAAATCTGTAAAAACAGGCGTTTTTGTTTAGCAACCGGTGAAAATCGTCTGTTGCTAATGAGACCCTTGATTGGGATTCAGACGAATGTGATTGGGATTCAGGTCAATGAGGCGACCCAATGAGTATTTAATTAACTATCTATAGGCAGTTTTCACTAGACATTTGTCCATGAAATGTTGCCAGAAACAGCAAGATAAGTAGGTAATTTGCTAGGTTCATCATGTGAGGCAAAATACTAGTATCACACACACCTTATCATCTCATCCATCTGATCCAGCTTATCACCCATAGCTTGATGGTTTGGTCCATATTTGTGACCACAGTGATCAACTCCAAGGAAATGTGCAATCAATAAGTCACTGTCTCTTCGTCTCAGTTCGGGAAGTAACCTCTTTAGGATGCCATTATCAACTGTATGAAGATCTTGTACATTTAATGAATCAAATGGAAATGATCTATAAAAACGATTTGGGTACAAATCCTCCCAAGTGTTGTCTCCCATAAACTTGATTCGTTTCTTTAACACATTCAGCTGGTCTAAGAAGTTGTCCTCTTTGATCTCAGCTGCTGCAAAATTTGATCCAACATCAACAAACGTTGGCAAGCTACCTGTTGTTAATCCTTTTAGTCGTTGCATTGTAGTGGTAGGAGGATCAGCTATAAATTTATAGAGTTTTGAGTTGTACGGGTATTTGTGTAATAATTTGTGAACAGTTTTCATCCTGTTCTGGTACGGCAGTAAACTGTTCAGTTGGAGAGAAGCATTGTACTTCATAAAATCGAATCTTAGGGCATCTATAACAATCAAAACTGCTTTACTGTAGCTTTGAGCCATCCAACATGACCCATTTTTCGACACATCGTTGTGGCTAGAAAAATCAACTTTGCAAGAACTATTTTTCTCGACTACTATCCTCTTTAAAAGGAAGCCTGTTGTGAATAGGCATATCCCAAAGGCATATGAAAGTACAATCCATATTAAAGTCAGACACAGTTTTGTTTGTTTTTTCATTTTCTGAGTACGGGCGAAGTTATTTGCAAAAAATGATAAAATTTTCAAAATTTTGTGCTCATGACAGCGACATTTTGAATTCACAGTCTCGCGGTAAAACAAGAACCAAATTTGATTGGCTCTGAGTATCAGGAAGCCGTGATTTGCAAAAGTTCAACCTGTTTGTTGTGTATTTTAGTGACGTCACGAATCAGTCTGAAAAATATTTTGGTTCTGCAACGGTTCAAGCTTTACTCTAATCCGAGCCGTTCCTCTGCCGCAATATGTCTGATACAGCACAACAAGAGTTTAAAGTCCCAGACGTACCAAAATCTCAAGAAGAAAAATCAGATGGCAGCTCTCTAAAGGTATAAAACGTTTTTCTTTCACCAAAATTTTAAACCGGAAGTGACTTTTTCATTTATTTATTCAAATGTTGACAAGCCTGTGCCAAATTGTCAATCCTAACTCTCAAAAACTATAATAACTATGTATACAGCCAACTCTGGTGAAATGTCAACATTGTCTTTTGATAACGATGGCTAATTTGCCAACATCCACAAATGGAATAGACTTCAAGATGTCCCTAGTCGTCCTACTACAGTGCTGGTATATATTAATTGATCAGTCGTTTAATTGGCAATTTTTCTTGAATTTTAACATTTAATGTCCCAAACTCCCACAAACTGCAGAAAAGTATACACCATAAATCATATTTACCAAAATTAGTGTCTCCAAGGCTTCACACCAGCCAGGCCTCGAAATTAGCGTTGCGAAGGTAGCGATTCGCTACCTGTTTTCCCAGAACACTACTTGTCATTTTCTCCATAGCTAGAGTCCATTTCACTGTTAAAGTGCGTCAGTAAAAGCTATAAAATAAGAAATCAAAATATCATTTTGCAATAATATATGGAAAAATATATTCCTATTGAACATGAATGACATTTGTATATCTTGGATTGCTTTTAGTTTGGCTTAGAAAGTGTGTGGCCTCTTATATTTGGATGCTTCTCTGCCATGTTATTTTCAATAAGATTAACATGCCTGAAATTCTTCAAATTACAAGACGGCACAGGCTTATTGCACAAAAAACTAAAAAATCTGAAATATACAAATGTCATTCATGTACATTATGAATATACTTTTCCATATATTATTGCACAATGGTCTCCCAATTTCTTATTTTTGCCGTTCTACTGACGCACTGAGGCAGTGAAATGGACTCTAACTTCGCTAGTTCCAGACAACCGAAGATTCGGTAAAAAAAGATAGAACTTCGAGAAATGAAGTGAGCGATTATAGAGTACTCACACTAAAACGTGATAAAAATGACACATGTTGTAATTCGATGCATCCTCCCGATAAATATGTATCAGTTGGTCCTTTTCAGACAATTCTAAACTAATATTATCTCAAAATAGGCTGAAATGAATGAAAGAAATGTTCAAATTTAGAGTCGTTTCCGCATTCAACCAAGTAGTCTTTCGCGCAGCTTTTTTGCGCATGTCAACATGACGGTCAAGGTCATGAACTTTAGTTTGATGTTTCCTCTTTCTTTCTAACATTTCTCATTATTCTTACGACTTTTACATGAAAATGAAGATCTATAATTAAACAAATATCTTTCAGTATAATATAAGATCGATATCGAACGGTCTCTAGCGGAATTAATAAAGATAATCGGGGAGAACATATCATTCCATTCGCGGGGCTCTACTAGGGAATTTTGCAATATTGTTTACTAATTTTATTTGTTTATTGATTCTTGGTTCATTTAGCGATCTTTACCGTAAACTCTTCAATAACAATCCATTCCATTATTATACTCCATTCTGGTGTTGCAAATTAGTCATATTTGGCGAGAAAACTTTGCCATACATGAAATTCCCGGGGATTTTTATTTCTTCCATATATCTAATAGAGTGCAGTGTTCTCCCCAGGATTTTATCTGAAGTGGGTGCAAGATTCTTATTTCACAATTTAGACAAAATTTTGAAAAACATGCCTATTTTTCATGTTTTTCTCATTTTCAAGTGGGTGCAAATTGATTTTCAAGTGGGTGCAAATTGATTCTCAGGTGGGTGCATGCCTATTACCAAAATTTCAAGTGGGTGCAGTGCAATTGCTGCTGGGGAGATCACTACAGTGTAATATCTTATTATTGCGCTGGTAAGTCATAAGAATAAATATCGAAATCTTCACTACTTGGTTCTCTCAAATAGCTACCTGCAAAATAAAGTAGTGAAACAACTACCTGATAAAAAAAGTTAAGCGCGAGGCCTGCCAGCGTATGCATTATGCATTTGTCACAAGTTTGAGCTGAAATTTCCCCAAAATGAAGTAGGCTAAGGGTAGTCTCTGCCAGGTTTGTTTATTGTGGTAAGCTTGTAAGTGCTCAGAAGCAAATAATTCACGTGCGCAAAAAAATCAAATAATATGATTGGTTTAAACTTTGCTGCACATGCGCACAATGTGTGCCATATTTTTTCTAGTGATTTCGTTTCGTTTCATGGAGTTTCCGTTTCAGTGTAACTTCCGCAAAAATGGCTGACCATGGACAGAATTAACAGGTAAAATCACTTCGAAATTTCAAGAGAACTTTTTACCTATAATAGCAAAACTTTTGTTTTATTTGTGCATTCTATCTATCAGATAAGAGTCTCAGGGGTATGTAGGCAAATTCATTTTGGTAGGAGCACTCTGTTTAGTTTGAAAACGCACCCTTAATTATTATATACAGTAAAACCTGTATATCTGAACACCTGGCTAATCCGAACACCTTCCAATTTGAACACTTTTTTTCGGTCCCATTTTTTCCTCCCATTGACTCCCGTGTTAAAAAAACCTTGAAATCTGAACACCTCCTAGTTTGAACAGTGAACAACCAGATTTGAAAAAGTGACCTGTCTAATCTGAACATTTTTATCAGAAATCAAATGTCTGGACATTTAAATTATAGCCAAATATTGAGTCAATGTTATAGTTGTTATTTATCTTTACATATACAATGTAAATAAACAAAGAACCAATATTGTCCTAACTAACTTATTTAGTCTCAATGACATCCCTAATTTGTGGAAAACAACAGGATGTTTTGGAAAGGTGTGAATACAGGAGTTAATTGGTTTATCCTTATTGTAAATTAACTGGATGTTTTTGATTTGGATTATGAACAGGTCTTGTCTGTTTTATATCCCATGGGTCTGTTATGATAGCTAAGATTCAATCAGCAAATGTTTTATAATCACAAGGACAACATAGACGACATTTGCAAACAAGATTTAGAAAAGAACTGAATGTTTTTGATTTGGATTAAGAGAAAGGTGAGAATCTGGGAGATAATTGGTTTATCCTTATTGTAAATTAACTGGATGTTTTTGATTTGGATTATGAACAGGTCTTAACTGTTTTATATCCCATGGGTCTGTTATGATAGCTAAGATTCAATCAGCAAATGTTTTATAATCACAAGGACAACATAGACGACATTTGCAAACAAGATTTAGAAAAGAACTGAATGTTTTTGATTTGGATTAAGAGAAAGGTGAGAATCTGGGAGATAATTGGTTTATCCTTATTGTAAATTAACTGGATGTTTTTGATTTGGATTATAAACAGGTCTTAACTGTTTTATATCCCATGGGTCTGTTATGATAGCTAAGATTCAATCAGCAAATGTTTTATAATCACAAGGACAACATAGACGACATTTGCAAACAAGATTTAGAAAAGAACTTAATGTTTTTGATTTGGATTAAGAGAAAGGTGAGAATCTGGGAGATAATTGGTTTATCCTTATTGTAAATTAACTGGATGTTTTTGATTTGGATTATGAACAGGTCTTAACTGTTTTATATCCCATGGGGATGTTATGATAGCTAAGATTCAATCAGCAAATGTTTTATAATCACAAGGACAACACAGACGACATTTGCAGACAAGATTATATCACAAGAAAGAGAAAAAAATGTAATATCCTATCACTAAAATGTCTCCTAAAAGGCATACATCTGACATCCTGAATGCCCTTGATATTTTGAAGGATTATACATCATCTCGAATGAACACTCATGAAAAAATCTTTTTACTTGAAGAGGATATCTACTCAAATATTGCTCATGCTAAAAGTGCCAAGAAACAAACAACAATGAAGGACTTTTTCAAGCAAAAGTAAAGCAGTGCTATATTACCATAATATGGGATAAGTCATTTGATAAGCATAAGATTTCATACGAGACTATCATATACTTTTACAGTGTATTACAAAGTTTTTGCCAAAATATAAGAGTTATTTTTACTAAAATGATGATATTGTTCAAAATATAAATAAAACATAGCATATAGGCTATATGACTATTGTAGAATTAACTCATCAACAACATTTATTGTTTTCTGACTTAGTATTAAGTGTTTAATATAGTGGACTGAACAATGAAAATCCCCCCCCCCCCCCCCCCGACCAACAAAATCCTTGAAATTTGAACACCTGCCAATTTGAACGCTTTTGGCTGGTCCCGTGGGTGTTCGGATTAGACAGGTTTTACTGTATCAGCACTGTAGGGACATCTCGCATAGTCTACCATTGAATAGATTGTCACAGAAACTGGCACTCATAAATGTTACAATTATGATTTTAGTTGGAGACCTACCCTTTATTTGACCAGCCCACTTCTTTCCTGTCTCATTTATACAGTTGAAATTGTAATTCTTGAATTCTTAATTATCGTAAATCCTTCATTCTCCAAGTATAATCTCAAAGCAATTTCAACTTAGAAATTCTGGTTCCTCTGGTCGTTATGCAAATCTATATGAACACCAGGCTGCCAGGAAACAAAGTTATTATAATAAGATTTCGCTAAAGCTACTAAACGTGTAGCGAGATATCATATTCTTTCGTGCTCAGAAAAAAAATTTTGCCGCGAACATTTTTAGAAATGCCTAGGAGAAATGTATATTTGTCTGGGGGTAAAGCGGTTAATAAAACGTTTTGAATTAATTGTCCGTTTATGTTAAAAGTTTGACATGCGATACCGCGCATGTGCATAAAGAGGATTTTAATTTTCAAAATTAGTTCCAAATTTTTGACAAAAATCTCCTTATTACTCCTGAAATACCAAATTACTTCACTACACTCTGTTAAGCATGATAAAAGGCAAGAAGTTTAGTTAGAAATAAAAGAGTTATCTAATGAATGGGACCCTTACATGGCTCCTAAAAGGTAGAAGACACTAAATGGTGTAACACTATAAGCTGAATTTTGTCCACATAGAGCATGTGCACAATACTAAAGACATGTAAAATTGAACTGTCAAAATAATAGAAATTACTCACCAGCTTGCCTCTACCGGAAGTTATGATACGTTATGGTGTAACTACGGTAATTAATTTTAAAATATTGAAAAAATCAACAACATTCAATTTCTAGGGTGTACAACCATTTTCGAGCTAATTTGCCGATATAATAACAATATTTTTGAGTTCCCCTAGGCTATATATAAACTTCATCAATACACAGTATATTCAACATAGGTTTTGCTTCTCGATTTTTAAATATCACTATGCAAAGACAGGGACTCATATTAGGTAAAATCATTGCTTCACCAATGAATATTAAAGGGAACGTTAGCTCACAAAATAAATAAATCTATTACAATGTTAAGTATATGATTTGAAAGATTGTCTGGATTAAATGTGTGATCGATTGATGCATAAACAAACATAATCATTTCAACTTGCAGACCTCCATTCTGGCTCATGTATAGGCCTAAGACGCCATATTGCCTTATGTATTGTACTGCCCATGCGTGCATACTTAATGCGTGACGTCACATCGGCAGAGATCAGCGATCAAGTTTGACTAAAAAAGTATAAAAGACACTACCCTACCCGGAAGTAGTATAACATGTATATTGAAACCATGTGTAAACTGTAAATCACGTGAATTGGCTGATGCAATCAGGATGTGACTAGTACAAAGTAACTATGATGCAATCAGGATATGACTTGTGCAAAATAATTGGCTTCACCTAGAATTCGCGATCTTTGCTCTTTAGCATAGCATGAAGACATGTTTTGTGTTTAAGCAGCTAGATTCAAATACAAACTAAATGAATAAAACATAAACCAACCATCATTTGTTCCAATCATGGCAAATTTTCAAGGAAATATGTGTAACTGAATGTAAATCAACAGCGGAGCTCTTCAATTATGAGGTGAGAAAAATGTAAAAATAAAAACAAAAATAAATCTCACAGAATAGAGCTATTTATACGATTCTAAGTACATTTTAAGTGCTCCATACATTAATGTAAGTATAAAAGCCATTAACCTCAACTGGGAAGCACTTTCCAACTATTTTTACGGCTTGAATTGTAAGAAAATGGCACTTATCTCAAAAAATGGAAATTTGAAAGAAGCTCAATTTATTGTGAAGATGAAGTTTATATATATCTGTATATGGGGGTGCGGATATATAGTCATAGTATGGGCTAATTCGCTTAAAAATGGCGATATATACCTCAGAACTTGTATTTTGTGATTTTTTCAATATTTTAAAATTAATTACCGTAGTTACACCATAACGTATCATAACTTCCGGAAGAGGCAAGCTGGTAAGTATATTTCAGTTCTTTTGACAGTTCAATTTTACATGTCTTTAGTATTGTGCACATGCTCTATGTGGACAAAATTCAGCTTATAGTGTTACACCATTTAGTGTCTTCTACCTTTTAGGAGCCATGTAAGGGTCCCATTCATTAGATAACTCTTTTATTTCTAACTAAACTTCTTGCCTTTTATCATGCTTAACAGAGTTTAAAAACGTAGCAGAGTGATTTCGGAGCATTCAAAGATAGGGTAGGTGCATAGTTTATCGCAGTTTCCTGCTGCGTCATTATAAATATAGGTATGCGTAGTGGCCATGATATCATCATGGCCATTGGGAAAGGCTACAAATGGAATGACCCTAAACAATATAGAATAAATAAATATTGCTATTTAGCTAGGGTTTGTGTAATAAACCAGGTGACTGGGTAGCTGGGTGACCAGGTACCTAACATTCCTACCAGGGTTAGAAATTTTATTTTTCATTATATGCCCCAAAATTGCCCAACTGACCTTCAACTTAATGTACCAGTATAGTGTGTTGGATAAGCGGTCGCCAAATGCCATCAGAAAATACATCTGGCAAACAGTTTTGATGGAGCACTTGCCATAGTGGTGATCTGGGATCAAATCAGACTTGAAAACCCGAAGATAATGGCATATTTCTGCCAAGGAACACACGGAGATCGAAAATCCAGAACATCCCGATATTCCTTCTTGATCGATCCCGAAACGTTTTCTATCGTGGATTCTGATTGGCCGTGCTTTCGATTTCTTTATTCCAGAGTTCTGATTGGTCGAAGAGATCAGATGCGCATAAAAAGTTTGCAGAAGCTATCGCAGAAAGAATTTTTTTAAACTCGGACATTTCCTTCTTCATTCATCAAAATATTGGTTTAGTATAATGTGGAAAGCACCAAATGATAGATATTTATCGTGATGATGCACTGAATTACAAAATTAGCCACTTTTTCCGCATTTTAGTGTAAGTAATGATGAAGTACTCTATTATTGCCCGCTGACTTCTTTCGGAAATTATTTTTACTGTGTATTCGGTAATAATACTTGTTTATTCCTTGATATTTCTTGAACTAAATGTGAAGCGGGGTGAATGGTTATTAGGGGGTCGGCGATTACTGTTATTAAGCAACGTGTATTTTTTGTTCTTCAATAATTTTTCTGTGTAGATCTATATATAGGGCCTAAAACTTGACTTTTATGAGGAATATCGTGCTCAGTTTGCACAAGAGATTCTAAATATCAATAATTTTCTGGAGGGGGAATGCTTCCACCCCCACCCCCTCTCCCCCAGCCAATGATACATTTTTAATCATCATGTGAAAACACAAATTGATTGCCACTTCGCAAGTGACAGAAAAATCTTAAGACCCACACTGCAACGCACATCGGTATAATGGGTTTCAGCACAATGTGCATTGGAATATTGGTTTTTGGTACCATGCGCATTGGTATAATGAGGTGTCCCTTGTACATACTGATGCCTGAGGGATGTAGGACTCTTCTCAAAAAGTGATCATGGTAATAAGTGATCCGTTTTTAACTGCAACACTCTTAAATGAACTGACTCCATCATCAAAATATAAGTGGGTATAAGGCTAGCCTGATTTGGCATCTTTTTTCTTGTGTTTTTTTACTTTTCTTTATTATATCACCGCCTTGTACAAACCATATTAACACATGCTTAATCGACAGTTATTGTCAGTCAAATATCTGACCAATAGCATGGGGCCTTGAAAATGCTTCACTATTAACCAATCAGTGATGGTGTTACAGCATTGGATCATTATGCTCAGTCAAAAATACTTTTCAAAAAGCGAGCAAATCTTGAACAATTCATTGTGAAAATACAAATATTTTATCAAATTGATATCAATCAAATTATAGTAGAAGGGGAGCATCAATAAGATTCACGGAACTGCAAGGATTTCAACAGGAAACGTTCAAAAAGATCGCTGAAAATGAAAATGTATTATTATACTCAAATTGAAGGAATTTCAGAGTAGATCACAATTATGGCATTGTTTTTCTGATTTGTGCCTCTGAAAATTCAAAATGGCTGACCAGAGTTATCTTGAAAGTATGGTTACACGATACTACAATGATTTAAAATATTTATTGAAGGTAAGAGTAGATGGTAAATATTACATTGTGACTGTACAGATTGATGATTTATATATAGTGTTCGTTGGGATTTGCTACTCCATATAGTTACCATTTTCTAGTTTATGATAATATCAGTGTAGATGAATTGCATGAAACAAGGTGGTAGTAATTGAAGATGAAGATAAGTAAAATGAAATATTGTCTTAGGTAAGGCTGTGATTTGGTATGTATTTGTGTGTTTCAGGATGCCAGAACTGTGGAACAAGAACAAGAGGCAAAACTCAGGTCCAATCCTAAATATGCCAACCTACCTAAGCCAAAGGGTCCCTCATCTTTTCTACAGAAGAGGTTACAGAAAGGAGTAAGTACAGTACAAATATACTAGAAACTTGTTTTAATGGTTAAAATGATCAGGGGATTTTAAAAGTTTGAGAAATCTATGGAATTCTCAGTGAGTGAAATTTTAAAAGTGGATCTCAAACTTTAAAGAGATATAAACAAAAGTTCAATGAACAAATGCAACTTCAATCATGTACTGTTGCATGCTTTTGTATGGGAAATGATTGGAAATTTTGATTTGAAAATATGCAGTAAATTCTAAAAGACTGACTGTCACTTGTATTTAGAATTCATCATTGATTATACAGTTATATCTGTTGATATCCAGACTGTTTTTTTTTTATAAACTCAAACTTTACTTGTTTTTCCATGGCTCAGAGATCATGCTATATACATTATAAAGATGTAAACCCAGGAATATAATTTCGTTTAATAAGTGTAACGCTGTAACAGGTCAAGTTTAGTTTTTGAGAAATGATGTTCTCTCATTGCATATCTGATTTTGGCTGAGAATGCTGATTTTTCAATCATCTATCCATCTGTCTAATGGGAGTTCATATCCATTTGGAAATTTGGTATTTTGCAGCCAATTTCAAGAATCAAAAACATCTGTTCTCTTTAAAAATAAGAAAGCATTCTTTGATCAAGCTTTCATCTAATGAGAGTCAGTATTAAAGTCAGAATGTTGATACCCAATTAAAAATTGAGTTACTTATCCCTAGAGACATCTTATTTTAACTTCCTGGGACCTCCTGAAGTTTACACTGCACTTAACAAACTACATATTCTATTTCCAGAAGCAGTATTTTGATTCTGGAGACTACAATATGGCCAAGTCAAAGGTCTCTCAACTAAAGAAGCCAATTCCAGCCCAGGAAAAAGTGCTGATAGCACAAGAATCAACAGGGGATATAATCCCCACCCCCCAGGACTTGCAACGTAGATCCTCCCAACACAAAAGCAATCTAGTCGAGGAAGTCTCATGATCTCAAATTGTTGTAAATAGTAATAAGCAAGCCAAGAAAGGACAAAGATATGTACATAATATTGAAAATTGAAGTAAAATGATATGTTCGCTGATCAAATTATGCAGGAACATATTCTTTGTTGATGACGTCAAGCCCTGTGACTTCTTGACCATGTTTATTAAAGATTTACTTTTCTGTGAATTGCAGAAATAAGGATGGTGTGTGTATTCTAGATAAGTGTTTATATGACTGAGATCTAAGCACACACACAATTGCAAAATATTGCACCTATTAACAATGAATTATTCAGTTATAGATAGGAATGTTGCACAGCATTAAAACTAAATGTACATGTATCAGTGTATTGGGAAGCCAACCATTACGCAATGAGTTAACCAGTGTAACCATCACCTTGCTAAAATCTTAACTCTTAATATTTTGAGTATTTATTTGAGAAAGTTTAAAAGTAAACATACTCCGGATAATTCATGTTTGTATATGTGGCTTGGAACATCAGCGTTTTAAGTCCTTTATCATATTTTTGGGGAAAAAGTATCATTGCACTTTTGACAGTAACATCTGTTGATTCTAACAAAATGAGAAAAACAATTGAAAGAAGTCTGTTGTTCAAAAACTTGTTAAGGTATGAGAGTAAACATAAGCACACTTGAAGGTGTATTATTCCAAATCATAATTTAATCAGCTGGTCTTTTAAATGTTTTAAATGTCGGGCACTTCTACATGTAATCGTTGGTATCATAACATTAGTAATTCACACACCATTATGGATAATCATGAAATATGACATAATCTTCCAATTATGACTCTACATGTATGATATAACTACTTAGATATCATATGACTACACAATTTATAGTATAAATAATGGACTTTGTTGTATATAAGTAATAATTAAATACAAGGAGTTCAATATGTTTTGTTAATACTAATAGTACAGTATCTTTTTCTTTTGTTAATACTAATAGTACAGTATCTTTTTCTACCTCATATGCAGATATTTACTTCATACTGAGACACAGAGATACAAGCAAAGGTTCTTGAAATTTAAATGTCAAAGGTTCTTGTAATTTAAATGTTGCACTGGGTTCATGCGTGAAATTAAATATTTTCAGAATTTTTATCATGTTTATATCTTGGGGGAGTTTGAAAATATTGATTATTTGAAATGAAATGAAAATGAAATTAAAATACTTTCAGAACTTATTGATTATCCTTTATCATGCAAACCCAGTCTTTATTATCTTATATTATTATCTCAAATTGTTCTCTGAGCTAGCTAGCTTTCTCACTAGATCTTTTTAAGTTATTGTAAATACATTAGTTCTTATTGACACATCAACTTGACTATTTGCTATAATTGTTCTCTATACTGCTATAATTGTTGGTGTGAAAATAATTGAACTCCCAAGGAAACATGTTGGCAAACCTAATTAGTATGGAACATGTCTAGCCTAGATTTACTTGTGTTGCATTTGGAAATTTTATGTCAAATGTTTTGTACAGTGAAATGATTATGTAAAACTGTAGTCGGGAATTTATATTTTTGATTACAAATATGAATAAAAAATATATGAAATAAGAATATTTCTCAATTATAATTTGTTTTGTCATTTAATTAAGAAAATAAAAATAGTTTTTGGCACATATGATAAAATGCTCATCTATTCATATATAAAGTGAAGTAATCTTCTCCAGAAAACAGGTACTTCATAGTATCATGAATGAGTGGGGCATTGCGCTTTCTGTAAACATTTTATGAATGATCTGATAATTTTTAAGTTGTTAAGTAAAGAGTTCTATAGATGACATAAATCTAGTTAGAATCCCTCTTTAACTAATGGTCACAGAACCAAACCCTTATCACCAAAACATGGTGAAAAAATTACCACCTGCCATCAAGCTTCATAAATTACAGAATTAATAGATGTTAAATTTATTACCTTGAATTTTTTATTGTATGCTGTCTATGATCAAATATGATATGAATTTGAATTAAAATGATTAAAAAGTAGAGTGGGTCATGACAAATCCCTTCATCATACAAAAAGTAAACTTGATGCAACATTGAATAAACTAATATTTTGAAATACGTTTGCGTTTTGCGCAAGAAGTATCATTGTTTCTGATTTCTCACGTTTACTTCTGGTTTCAAAACGAGGCCAAGTTAAAAATATTATGAACTTTATGATAAATTGACTAAAGCATGCAATTACTACACTGTTGTAAAGTATTTCAATTGCTCATACAATGTCATTACAAAAATGAATGTTTTTACTTTGAGAAGGGAGCATAAAATCAGACTGTTATTCTTGACAGGCATAACTTTTTTAGCTTATCTATTTTTCTCTCAAATTGGATTTTTTAGATCTTTCAAACTTCAGAAAGTTTTCTTCATTTCCATTTTTAGAAAGGATGTTGCACATTTCGACAGGTAAGATACATTTTTAATTTGGTACTAGCCCAGTCCTTGCTAGAAATGCTAGCCTCAATAATTCGCTCTTGAACAAGACCGGGTATATAGTTCCAAAAAATTACCAGTTGAAACTCAACATAATACATATTTCACTGCCTGACTGACTCGCTAGAATCAAAAATATAAGACTTAGCTAAAGATTGAGACTGTCACTTTGGGTTACCTTCCAGAAGTAAGTAAACATACATGGATGGATGTAACGCTGTCAGCTAATTTTGTCGATCACGAAGCAAAGCACAGTATCTGGTAGAAATGAAATCTTTATCGTTTTTCAATTTTGAGTAGGGACAATCTGTAAGGTTTGTTTCTTCTGGTTCTTCTGTGCATGTGTACACCTACCTGTAGCTGTGCAAATAAAAAAGACTTCATTCAAAGATTGCAAAAGGAACTAATGAGAATGCAAGGAAAGAAGTGAGCAGGCCAAGGGAAATAAGAATAGTAAGATGTTTATAGAAGAGATATACAGCTTAGTATGTGACAATCTCAATCTGTAGCTAAGTCTAATTCTTTTTATTCTAGTGAGGCCATTAAATATGCTGTACATGTGTGGCCTTCTAGGCTTACGAGATATAGTAAGACTTGGCATGACAGTCAGGAAATCGAGAAAACCTGGTTATACATCAATTTTGTTTTTAAGGCAGCCACTATATGAGCCTGAAAATGAGTTTGACCTTCAAGAAGATGTTAACATTAAAGAGCTAACGAAACCAGTCACTCCACAGGGGCTTGTTGCAAGGAAGAGAAGTTTCTACCTGAATAACCAACGAATGTACATCTATAGTGGGGCCTTACATTACTTCCGTGTGGTACCCGAATACTGGAGGGATAGACTCCTCAAGTTGAAGGCATGCGGTCTCAACACTGTGGAAACGTAGGTTGGGACTTTCTTTATTCCATCATTAATATAGGATAGCTCCAAACCACAGAGCACATACCTGGCTAGACTTCCAAATACCTGACCAGACTTCATGATGATACCCCTTCACCTATTAATTTCACTCCAATTTTCAGTCCCCCTATATAAACAAATTGTGTTATACTCAATATTGATTTGGCCTTTTATAACATCAAAAATATACATGTTGACACAGACATAAGTAAAAAGTAAAATGAATTCAATACATTTTAGATTGAAACACAGTAAGCATGAAACACAATTGAATTGATTAGAGATTAGCACAACATATGTGGCAAACAGGTGTTTGTTATTTGCATATGGATCGCATAATCGCATAATGGATCGCATATTTCTCATTTCGTGTAAAAAGTAAAATTTATGAATTGGAATACCAGTCTTTGTAAATGGAATACCTTTTAAAGTCCCATAAACCTCTATGTGGAATACTATTTTAAACCTGTAGGTTTTACTTTAGATTAATTATCATAAAAAAAACATTTTCATACCTGAGAATTAAATAGAGAATTTTGGTCATGCTTGATTTCACATAAAATGCCTACTCATATGTCAGTTGAGGCTACTCTGCATCAGTACATGGGCTAGTTGAAAGTCCACGATCAGTATAAGAGAGAAATGTCACTTTAAGTTATTAAGCTCCCAAATGACTTGGAATGTGTTTAAAACACATTGTAAGCTTTTATTTATATAACCTATACTAATGTTACACCATATTTATATTTTTTAGATATGTCCCATGGAATCTCCATGAAGAAACAAAGGGAACATTTAATTTTGAAGGCTTGCTTGATCTCAGGTAAATGAATAATTATCTCTGGAATCTCCCAAACTCCCCACATCCCACTCTTATTTTTACCCTTCCAACCTATCTTGTGTACGCAAATTTTAGATTTTTGATAGTATTATATTATCAGTTCATGCACTGAATACAGATGAGCTTTTCAATGCAACAGGTTTAACTTTCTGTGTGCTCCATTCATTAATGAAATTAAGCATTCTTTTAAATTAATTAATAAGCCTAATCTCTGTGTTGTAGAATGTTCATTAAGATGGCCCAAGATGTAGGGTTATATGTGATATTTAGACCAGGTCCATATATCTGCTCAGAGTGGGACCTTGGAGGACTGCCAAGGTAATTTAAAAGGCAATGTTTTCATTAATGCCTCTTTAAAACAATTTTTTGATATTCACCATGCACAGCTTCCTTTTAGAATTTGTTACATAAAAACCGAAATATTAGACTTTCATATCTCCATTCAGCCATTTAGTTAAGACTAGAGAAATGAAAATTAGGTATGAAAAACATCAAATTTTTTCTTTCAATCTCGTTTTGTATGAATGAATCAATAAATAATAATAATTACAAGTGATAGAAATCCATTTTCACATATGACTGTCAACTCTGAGTCAACATGTATAAAGAGACATGTTCAAGTCAAGAAAATATGAACCAGTACATGTTACCCCATTTTTATCTTGTCTTCAATTTTGTTGCAGTTGGTTGCTACATGATCCAAAGATGAAGCTTAGGAGCACATATCAACCATTCCTTGATGCAGTTGATGCCTATTTTAGACATCTCATACCTCTTGTAGCAGACTTACAGGTATGTTTGTTTTGTATGATTTAATGTGTTTGTTGGTGGAGCATTTGTTTGCTTGCTTACTAGAGCTTGGTTGTGTGTTTGTTTGTTTGCTTGTTTGTTTTGTCAATATACAATTCTCCTCTCCTGAGAGTGTAAAATCTAGAGTGAGGCGTAGTGGCACATAGGTTATCATACATAAGTACATGTACAGGGTGTCAAATAAATATGTTCTCCCCCCCTTAATTTCAAAAATATGAACTTTTGAGTTTAAAACTTCTTGTGGAGTTGCTCCATCAAGCCTAGTTTTAATGTGCTTAAGAACAATTTATGATATCATACAAATAAAAAAGTTATGCAACATTGTGTGGATGTTAAAGCTTAGCAGGGGGAACATGTTTATTTGACACCCTATATATACCATAAATTTAAAAATATACAATTCTATGATTTTAGTATGCTGAAAATGTTGTAGTTGATATAGAGTGTACCAACTTTCATTGATAATTTCATTGTTCTCTTCACTTTTGCAGTATACAAAAGGAGGACCAATTATAGCATTCCAGATTGAAAATGAATATGGATCCTATGGAAGGGACCAAAAGTATATGAAAGCTATTAAAGAAGTAAGCACTACAGTGTAGATAGAAATCTGGCATACAATTTAAACTAAACTTGTAGACTGTCTACTTATGATACTGGCAGTTTCAGAATTAAAATATTGCACCGAGTTCATTCGTAGGTCAAATCAGAATTAATCAGAAAAAATATCAAAAGCTGGTTATCGAATGATGTGACGTTGGAAAACCATGTTGAAAAATTTGGGACTTTGACTAGTTTTGGATACCTGTTAGCATGGGCTTTCTCTTTGAAAGCCCATGCTGTTAGTCAGGGAGAGGCTAAATTTGAATTCCTCACTAGGTTTAGAAAAATCCTGGGGAACACTGGTCGAATATATACATGAACATTGAACATGCATGTAGTTTAATTTACATTGGGAAACCTTTTATTATAGCTGCTGGAACAACATGGTGTTGTGGAACTGATGTTTACTTCAGATAATGACCAAGGGATTGACAAGGGATCAATGCCAGGTGGTATGTAGCAGTTATAAAATGCTATATAACAAGGATGAATAATTTTAATTTCATATATGATTTTTTGCATTTAAACATATCAATATTGCAGTTTTATATGTTGTGTCTAAAGAAAGGAAAATTGACATTTTGAAACGGGCAGCCATTTTTGAAATCAGCTTTTGTGGAGAATTTGATTTCACATGAGGCATGCCATGTTTTGAATAACCATACAGATTAGTACAAAACATGATATGGTGCCATGGCATACCCTATGACATAGGCTATGTTGTGCCTAAAATACAGTAAAATTGACATTAAAATGGTGACCATTTTGAAACTGGTGGCAATTTTGAAAAGGGGCTTTTGAGCAAAACTTGTACTTCCATGAGGCATATAAATCGACAAGAATTTGACTCAAAACAGTGTCCTAGCTAGAGCCTATGGCACATGAGTGCCATAGCGTATTCCATAGGGTGTGCCATGGCACCATCAGGCCTGTCAACTTGGGAACACCTAACATGAGTGACTTGGAAATGTTGAACACCTCCCCTCAAAATGTGGACACCTTGATCCAAATCTGAACACCTTGATCCAAATTTTGAACACCTTGGTTTAAATTTTATTACATCTTGCCAAATTTTGAACACCTCAAATTTTTCGCACTCGCTACGCTCGCGTTTCAAACAACCGTCAACGGGGGGGGGGGGTAGGTACGAAAAATTTCGAACGGAATGCGTGACATATACGTAATTCGCATGAAAAGTCTGAACGATATGCGTACGTTTTTTTCCGGCGTTCGTATTTTTGCTGTGTAGACGATCTTTTTTAAAAATATTTCTACAGAAATATTTTTGCTTGACAATTACCAGGTAAAATGCGTATTTGCGTGACATTTTCTGTCACGCAAAAATAACTGGCGTGACTTCAAATTCTTCAGCAAATGCGTGACAAATACGCAAATTGCGGGACAGTTGACAGGCCTGCACCATGCCATGTTTCGTACTATTCCCTTTATCACAAAAATAGCAAGCATTTTGAAGCAAATTGCACACAATGTATGTCTCAGCTGCTTGAAATGAACGATGATGAACAATCTATGAATTGCTTTACATTACAATTTAATAAGAATATGGTTTTCCAACCTTTTCTCAATGACTATACCAATTCACATCATTCCCTTTCCAGCATGTAAGCTCAATCAATGTTTTCCACTTCATCAAGTATCTCTCCATCATTCCAGTCCTTGCTACTGCTAACCTGAAGTCGATGGATTGGTTTATACGAATGAAGGCAAAACTGAAGAGTCGCCAGCCAGACAAGCCATTCATGGTTATGGAGTTTTGGACAGGGTGGTTCGATCACTGGGGAGAGAAGCATCATACATGGAATTCTACAGGTATCTGCATATTTATCTGTCATCCAGCTTTCCAAAAAGATAATATGAGAATTTTGCATCTAATGGAAAAAATTGCTGGGAAAAAATGTAGTAAACTGTCAATGTAGACGTGGTCTTCAACAAAATTAAAATACACCTTACAAAAGACCTACCTTTCAAACCCATTTTGTTTCAAGCAAGTCATATTGAAGACAAAACACCCCTAGTCAAAGATAAGTATTTTAAAACTACATAAAATGTTAACAGAGTGAATCTTTACATTGCCTATTACATGTTCTTGTATAATACAGAGTATGAGAAGGTCCTAAGGGAGATTGTTGCCTCTGGTGGCTCAGTGAATCTTTACATGTTCCACGGTGGAACCAACTTTGGTTTCATGAATGGGGCTAACTATCCTTATGCGCCTACGGTCACTAGCTATGGTAAGATAAAACACAGGATATATAAACGATCCATCTGCATGTTATATTGAATGTATAGGCCTTCTTCAAACCAATTGGGAAAAGCAACAACTTTATTGACCCAGCCTTACTGTAGTACTTCAAATACTTAAATGAAATATTTTCATGTTTTAGATTATGATGCAATATTAACAGAGTCCGGAGGTCTGACATCAAAATTCCAGAAAACCAGGGATGTCCTTAGGAAATATGCACCCAAGGGTCAAGGTATGGAATCATAAACTCAGTGTATAGTACGTAGTAAGGAGCATTTGAGTGTATTTATCTATGCAAAACCACTTTTATTGAGTGTGATAGCACAAGTGACAGGCCTGTAGCCAGGATTTCTCAAGTGGGGTTTTCTTGTTAAACTAAATTGTCACACCAAAATGTGGTGACATATTGGGGTGGTCTCGGTTTTTTTTATGGGGGTTGGTGGTCTGTAGTTGGTGGTTGGCGGTTGACAATCGGCGTCTGTAACAAATTTTTACAACTTCCAATAACTTAGCAAATACTGTTTAGACTGACTTCAGTTTTTTTCAAAATCATCTACATGTTTTCAGAAGTTCAAATCTGACTTTAGATTTGAGATTTCACCTTCAATGACCTTCTCAAGGTCAAAAAAGGTATTTTTTCAACTTGTTTCAAATTGACCAGTTTATTTCTTTTAAATCATCTACAAGTTCTCAGAAATTCAAATCTGACGTAAGATTGAACTCATAATATTGTGAGCAACTAGGTGGTGACATTTTGTCATGTTAATGCCTTGTTTAAATATGTGATATGTAGCCTATTGAGATTATATCTTTTAATGAAAAGTTGGCATTCGTTTTTTTCACTAGTTTGCCCATATTAGCCAAAATTCAGTACAATTAAATATTGATCATAAAAAGAGTGTACCGTTCCTACATTTCTCATTTATTAACTTGTAATATGTAATCCATTTCATTCTAACACTAATCTTATTTCATTTTAGATTTAAATTTTTAAAATACACTTCTTTATAAAATATTGATTCACCATTGTTTCATAGTGAATTCATAACTTTTCAGAAAAAAAACTTTAAGAATTGCATTAAATGGCCAGTTACATGTAGATCTACGTGTACTGTGTTTTGATATTTTGATGAAATGATTTTGCTCCTAGACATCCCACCCTTGTTATAGATTTGAACAGGACAAATTCGCTGCATACATGAACACGGTACAGGGTGGTCCAAAAAGTTAATCGCTGCAATAGGCTATATTTACCTTAATACATGCATGAATTGGCTCATATTATCACATCTTGTAGAGGGAAGGCCTGAAATCTTTGTTGATGCCATAATTTGTTCTCAGTCCCGAATTTTGAAGAAATAATATGACTTAAACAAACATACCTGAAAATTAGATAATGTGCAAAATTTTACCAATGTGATTCACAAAAATTAAAAAAGCTTTCAGTAAGATATATAGGTTTAAAACCCTACCATATAATAAATTGGACACTATTTGAGTAGAAAACACATTTCACTGACCGTTTTGAAGCAGTTTTAACCATCTTACCTAAACAAACGATTAGAGTTGGCAAAGTTGCCCCCTGTGACCTCGAATCTGAGAAGCCCTTCATATAAATACCTTACAAAAATCAAAAGAAAATTCAGTATCTAATGTTTTGAGCCATATTTCATTAGAATTGGTCAATGATTAATGAAGATATTGACATTCTAAGACCATATAGGGCAATGTTGCGATTTCACTGGAAAATATTTTTGTCTATGAAAACTTAGACCATTTCTTTCTCAACAAAAAACGTTAGACGCCTTCCTCTACAATATGTGAAAATATGAAAGGATTCCTGCAGGTAATAAGGGAAATATAGCCCGTTTCAGTGGTTAATTTTTTTGGACCACCCTGTAAATGGTTGAATCTTACCTAGTCTAACTTAGTTTATGATCTTTTGGGAATTTTGACAGGGGGTTTTAGTCCTACTGGCCTGAGTGAGTAAATATTTTATATTCTACTGTATCAAACATTGTAGAGAATCCAGTAACTACCTAAACTTTTATGTTATTATATTGCACAGTGATGTTAAGTTAAACGTGTAAATGTACCAGAAAAGTGTGTTGACCTGTGTCTGTATGTTTTCAGTCCCTAAGAATCTTCCCACCCCTCTGGACCCACCTTCAACATTTGCATATGGCATGCTCACTGTGGTTGCTCATTTGAACTTGGAGGCAATTCTGTCTGAGGCAAAGGTAGGATAAAATACATGTTTTATTACAGTAAGCACTGTGTAAAGTAAAATACTGCTGGGACCAACTAATGGTGAAGAGAGGTTCTAAGTTCTGACATCATTTTCATACCCAATAGTGTTTTTTCCCCCCATTAGAAAAACATTTTTTGTCCCTGCTTGGGTTTTAGATTTTACTGTGAAATAAAGAGGCATTTTTTCAAAATATGATGACCTGTGTGTGTCTAAAATTTGAAAGTCTTGGGACAAGAAAAAATGTTTTTCCTCCTATATTATAAAAGTAATAATTTGGGGCAAAGATTTGAGAAGAGACAAATGCATGAATAGCAAGAAGCATGGACTAACTACATTTGATAACATCTGATGACAAATACATGTACAACACCTTAATTTTGACCTTATGTTCACTTATTAACCCGGCAAAGACATTGACACATTATAATGTAAATTGCAATATTAACCATTGTTGTAGGTGATCAAGTCGTATGATGTGATGGCAATGGAGCTACTGAATGCAAATGAAGGTAGTGGCCAGGGCTATGGGTTCATACTCTACAGGAACAAGATCAACAGTGGACGGAAACTGAGGCTGGCTGGCAAGGTGACAGATAGAGCACAAGTGAGTATGATCATGGCCTTCAAATTAAAATGATGATAAATTACAGTGATCCCTTGACACTGGGTTGATTCCTGGTTCAGAAAAATTGCTTGCTATATAATATGCAATCATTATGAAAATAGTATGGTGCGCAGGGAAGGTTGAGTGCTTCACAGCTTGTATAAAAGCCCAGGGCTGTCACATAGTTTTGAGTGGTTCATAGCCTGATAAAAGGCCAGGGCTGTCACATAGTTTTCATGCATTTAAATTACAATTGTAGATAATTTGGGATATGTTCCCAAGAGTAGTGCTCTCCATCATGAGTGGTAAACAAATACAATACAATACAAAACAGAAGCAACCAAGCAACCCTTTGAAACTTTGAAAAAAATTACAACATGCTCGGTCATTAATTCTCTGATAGAAAAAGTGAACACATGTATACAGTAAAGTATTTATAAATATAGATGAACGAATCATGAACCATTCAAAGTTTCAAACACTCAATTTTAAACTGATATTGACTTACCATAATTTGAATTGTTTCAGATTTTGATAGATGGCCGCCAGATCGCAACATATGATTGGACTGATAAAGATCGCTCCATTGATCTTGCAGGAGTAAAGGTACAATAATACAATAGAAGATCACTGCTTATAAGGCTCATTGGCAGAAGGAGATACATAAAGTGTCCACCCCACCTGTACACTAAAACCTTTTGATAAGCTTGTGGTGTTATTTTTAATCATAACACAAATCAATGAAGCAAAACTTATTGATTCTCCAACATAAAAATAACTTTTTGAAACATCACTTTTGGCACATTTATACAGAAACGTTTAACCCCAACATGATAGAATGCCATGGCCCATGTATGTATTCCAACCTGATTAAGTAAAGGCATTTTATGGGATGACTCATCAGGTGACATATTTTGAGATGACACCATTGTAATAGCTAGATATAATGTGAACACTTTTCTAAGCAAACATCTTTATTAAACAGAACATGATTAACTCCCATGTTTTCAAAATGTCTTTGTTTAAACAACTATAATTGGAACACTAGACTGTTCCCATGGCCCTGCAGTTTTTACATTAGACAGGTTTTAAAGTGTTCTTATGTTTTCAGAGTTCCACAAACTTAGATATTCTAGTAGAGAACCTAGGAAGGGTTAACTATGGGAAAGCTCTTGATTTTCAAAGGAAAGGTAATAATTAATATACAAGATAAAGCATATATATACATACATGTATTGTACATATCATTGTATAAGACAATCAATCAAAAGAAGTTTCAACCTTTAAACCGAATACAATTCATTTCTGATGAAAGCGTTATATATTTTGTATTTCCTGAAATGTCATTGTGATGTCACAATGCTTTTACTTACAGCTAGCATGATAATCAGAACTTAACTACCTTCAGCTGTTGGATTTTCAGACCTATTTATTGTCAGTGATAGTTTATTTAAAAAACGTATGAAAGATTGAACATTAATTACAAATCATTTCTTTGGAGGAGGCAGTTCCTGAAGTCCTTTACAGAATGTAAAATTGGATGAATCGCAAGATATTTCTATTCTGTGCCAGCCCTACTATTACATGTACTTATGTTGCAGAAACCAATTTGTACTCATAATTAATCTAACCAGCAAACTGTTGTAATTTTCAGGATTGACAAGAGATGTTTATCTAGACAACAACAAACTAGTCAACTGGGAAATCTACCCATTAGAGTTTAAAAGCATCTTCATTTCAAGGTATTAGTCAAAATGAAAATAGCATTTAATATTGACATCAAAAACATACAACATGTACGAGGGGTGATCAATAAGTAATGGATGCTTTTTTTAAACAGATGCTATTTATTAATCAATTCCTTTGATTTTCTTACCAGTGATACATCATTCAATTATCTATCAACTCTGAAGATTTGAAAACAAAACATGTAATATATTTTGATATATCTATTTCCGTGAAGGAGGTATAGGTACCCCGAGACCGACATGACGTCAAACATTCTGAAGCTATTTTAGCTTGTTTAACATACAATGCAGTTGAATGCAGGGTGAACAAAGACAATGATGGCCATTTTGTTATGCCATAGTTGATTTTGAATCCATTCTCTGACATGGCAGCTAGATGCAGTTGCACAGCTTGTATTATTTCATCAATGTCATTAAATCTGCGTCCTTTCTCTATAGAAATAATTAGTAGTATATAAATGAATAAGTCACATGTGGGCAGATCTGGACAAAATGGTGCATTGGCCAAGGGCTAAATGTTGAGGTCCAGGGATATTATATTCTGAACATTTTGAGATCTGTGGGCAGGTGCATTGTCTAAATGGAGTAGGGTGTTCTCTTCTCTCACCAACCCCTTCTTCCACAATGCTTTTCAAATTGACCTGCGAACCATGACCATACAACACTCTGACATCACAATACTTACTGTTTATGTGTTACCAGTCAGCAAAATATTTCAAACAACACAATACAATACAACACAAAGGAACTGAATAAGTGACATAAATGTCGGTCCCAGGGTACCTGTACCTCCTCCACAGAAATAAGGATATATCAACATGTATTATATATTTTGCCTTCAAATCCTCAGAAATGATAGATAATTGAATAATGTATTACTGGTAGGAAAATCAAAGGGATCAGTCTATAAAAAGTATCTGTGTAAAAAAGTGTCCATTACTTACTGATCACCCCTCGTACTTGGTGCAAAGTAGGCACATGTTTTATATGTATAAATGTATAAATATTTATTAACGTCTCACGCCATATATAAAATAGTACAATAATGCAATATCAGTTAAAATCTTCGGCCCGGCCGGTGTCGACCTATGGGAGACTTAAAATCATAATAATCACTTGTTAAAAGTTTTTGATTATTAAATTAAAGAACGCCATATTAATCAGTGTCTTTGACAATGTCCTTTGTAACATTGGTGTAGTCATCATAATAGAGCAAAACTGTTGAATATAATTAAAAGTGTGAAAATCTGGAATTTCCTCAAGGCATTTCAGAAACAATGGAGTTCTAAGTTCATCATAAGAATTGCACTGTAGAAGAAAGTGTCTCTCGTCCTCAACAGTGTGATTGTCACAGTGACATCGACGATCCTGGAGTGGGGTATTGTGATAACGTCCAGTTTCAACCTTCAATGGGAGTGTTCCGCCTCTAAGTTGGGCAATTGCTTTGCGTTCGCTCCTTGACATGTTAATGCAAGTATAATGGGTGGGTTCCACAGAGTGTGTTTTAAACAGTCTATATGTTCGTAATTTGTTGCCATTAATTGGGTTATTTCTATCGTCCCAAAGACTGTTGTGCCATTCGACGTGATCTGCCCGTGTGCACGCTTCTTTGACCTCGTGGAGATGGAGTTTAACTCGAGAAATAGTTTCATTGTCAATGAGCTGAGGGAAGTCCAAATCTTGTAACATTTTCAGCGTGAGATTTTCCCAAGACTTACGATATCGGCAAGACCATTTAGATATATGCTTCGGTGTCCTATATGTAGCCATGTTTTTTAATCGACACCAGAGTCTAGTCACCTCGACTCTCTGTTTGGTAAATACTGATGTCCAGCAGATATCTCCTTTGGTTGATCCATTTGGTGCTGTACGTCCAACACCGAGAAAATATTGCGCCGCTTTGTTTTGAACTGCATTCAATTCAGAGTATTGTCGAGTGCCCCAAATACCGGCACCATATAACATAATAGGGGAAACAAGGGTGTCAAAAAGTTTCGCGAATACAGCATAAGGTAGTCCACCCTTTATATTTGTTTTTGCAATTAACATTCCTAAGGCACGATTTGCCGATTTTGCAAGTATTTTAACAGTTTGTCGCATGTCAAGATGTTCATTTAATGTAAGTCCTAAATAACGATATTCCGAAACATATTCTAGACGATTAGATGGTCCAGATGTGAATATATGATTACTCCTGGCATGAGATTGCGATCTAAAATGGACGATTTTTGTTTTTGTTGTGTTAAGTGTCATTCTCCATGTATTACACCACTCGTAAAGTTTATTCAGCATATGTTGTAAATCATTAGCAGTTGGGGCAACAAGTACGACGTCATCTGCATACATGAAAATGCCAATGTTTTTTCCGCCTATGTCTACTCCTTTGTTGAGAGCGTTAATCGCCGTTTCCAGATCGTTTATATATATAGAAAATAGCGTCGGAGAAATCGAACAGCCTTGTTTGACTCCCTTGGATATGTCAAAACAATGTGTGAGTCTACCATTAACACGAACTGTATATTGTACATCTTGGTAGAGAGACATAATAGCGTGGTATATTTTGCCTTTGATACCGGTCTTCTGGAGCTTATAAAACAGGCACGTGCGATTGATATTGTCGAATGCACATTTTGCGTCCACGAAACAGATGTACGTATCCTGTTTGGCTGTCTTCCTATTATTGATTATCGAATATATACTGTAGAGGTGGTCCTGATAACTGCGATCCGTACGAAATCCGTTTTGGTACTCTGACAGGATGTTGTTCTCCTCTAACCATTTGGTTAATCTGCTGTTAAGTATTGAACAATAGATTTTACATGGCACTGATATTAAAGCTATTCCAGGATTGGCAGTAGGGTCGTGACTATAGCTAACCCCCTTAGGGATAGGTTGTATAATACTTTTATTCCATTGTGATGGCACTACTCCTTTTGTAAAACATAGAGATATTATTTTATACATTAAAAACATACATTTGGGATTTTTGATGCTCTCTGCTGGAATCATATCCAAGCCAGCAGCTTTCCTTAATTTTGCATGTAATATGGCTTGTTTCACTTCCATATATGTAATATCACGATTTAATTCTGGATTGACATTTGGATTTTCATCTGTATTCACTGCATTTAATTCACGTGTAACATCATTGAGATGGATATCATCAAATATTTGGTCGCTGCACTGACCATTATATAATTTATCAAATTCAGAAGCCCAGTGGTTCAGAACAGTATCAGTATCAGTTGACACATTCCCACTTGCATCAATAACTTTAAACGGTATATCCTTATTTCTATCATTTGCTACTCCGATTTTTCCTTCCAAAAATCACGCTGGTTATATTTATCATTGGCCATATCAAGTAGATTCTGTTGCTCCTGTATTTGATATTTCCTTTTAAACTTTCGATGGATGCGATCAAAATCTCGACGTGTATTACAGAAATCAGCCTTAAGGCGTCGCTTAACAGCTGCAGCTCCGTTGTATTTCAGCCATATTTTTTCTTTTTCACACGCAGCTTTCCATGTGTCTTGTAGTTCTTGACACCAATACGGTTTATTCATGGATTTATTTCGTTTAATACTGGAACCAAGTTTAATTCTGGGTAGCTTGTTGTTCATTTCAGTTGTAACAAGATCAGCAAATTCCGAATAAGCAAGGTTGAGTTCAGCATCTAAATCCGTTGAGCGTTCCAGACGGTTTATAGCATCTGTGACGTGGGTTATATTTACTTCATTCATGAAGTCAACTGGCATTTTGTTTACATTGTATTTGTATGTTATATTTGTTGGTGCAGACCCATCCTCAATGTTGTAGTCCATAAAGGTTGCCCTAAGCAACGAGTGATCAGGCAAATTCAGTGGAGCTGGTACGTTGTTCAACGATATAACATCTGACATTGTGCATACTTTAAAATCAGACCATTTTAGTATCTGCTCATTGGGCACGAGTATATAATCCACCACAGATTTTCCACGTGTAGATATGTGTGTGAAATTGTTTTCAGACTGTGTAAAGCGTCCATTGAGCATACATAAATTGCAGCTTGTTAAAAAGTCTATTAGGTGATCGCCGTATTCATTCGTCACAACATCCCATATGCTGCGCTCTGAGAGGTCATCCACCCCTTGTATGTAGTCGACTTCATTTCCACACCGCGCATTGAAATCGCCTCCAATGCAGAGCTGACCTTCGTTTTGATACATGTGCACCTGTTGTATAAGGCTATTGAAAAACGTTTCTGCATCGCTTCCCCTGCTGGTATTCTTAGGTTGCAAATAGGCCACGCATAGAACGAGGGAATGTGATTGGTCCATGCTATTGTGCTTCGGCGTTAATTTAATCCATAAAATATCCTCTATGGAGTCATCCAAGCGTGTGATGTCAAAACGTGCTGAAATCCGATCATGCACTAAAATTCCGACACCGCCTGATCCTCGGCGTGCATTATTGTTCGTTGTTTTTCTGTTGTTACCAATCCACGTGTATCCAGTATTACGGACGTTCAGCTGATCATTGTTGCGTAAAAATGTTTCTACAATCATTAAAATATCGACATCATCCATACTATTTAACTATCACTGCAGATATTTAACATATCTGCAGTGATAGTTTGCATTTTTGCAGATTTTAGTTGAAATTACAGCTGTTTTTTCCAAATTGCAACTTGACAATATGTTTGTGAATAATTTTGAAGGAATAAAATGTACATTTTGGAACTTTCCCCCTCTTATTAATTGAGATTTCGTACATTTTCAGTATTTTATCCAGCAAAGCCTGGCAGTCTAGTCTACCTCTGGGGAACCCTCCTGGATTCTACAAGGTTCTTCTACAAATATCAGGGATTCCCAGAGACACATTCATCAGCATGCAGGTTTGAACACAACTTTTTAGTTGATGGAAAGGTCCATGTGCAGTATGGCAAATGATTTTAGACAGTAATATCTTTCACCTTGAGTACTTTCTGGGCATAAATACAGTGGTTTTTATTAAAACAATATGTTTTGTTTCAAGTGAAGTACCCACATGATAAAAATCGAACATTTCGAAAAATTATGAATAGGGACCCCATGTCAACAATTTTTTCAAAATGTTGAAGCTATTCACTAAAAAGAGGATCTCCTTTTTCTGATTTTCATTGCATGAAAAGATTATTCAAAAAAGGTCTAAAACTTCTTTAAAGGTTGACGCATATCGTTTAGCAAATCGAACGCTCGTTTTTGGTGTTGCTCACCGTTTAGTATAAAAGGCACGATCCGGGATAAAACTGAGGGTATACCAGGTTTGAGGTCGTGGTGTAAACACCTCTGCCTGTTTTTGTAGTAATAGTATAGAATGGATCGTCATAGATTTATAAAATAGAGATTTTTATTTTGACAAATCAATTTCACATTTTATTGGTGAAGTTTAAGACCTTCTATTTGTGAGCAATAGGAGAAATTGACATCTAAAACCCATCACGTATAAGCACACAACATGGCTTATGAAATGTCCTACAACTGAAGCAAAGCAGTTTGAATGAATACAAGGATTTATATTGGCTGATGTACATGCATCCTTTGGATAACTCACTCTCTCAATGTTGACAGAATCATTGTAGAATATTATTTTATCTTCAAGACGATTTCAATAAGCTAGAATTTACAAAACTCCCCTATTTCTTAAAAATGGACTGATCCAGTTGACTCGCCATATTGTTTTTGTCCGGGAAACTTGACGTAACCCTTTAAAAGTAGAATGGTATTGAAAGTCTAGTTTTGAAGATATCAATTTTCGATGACCAAAATTATGCTGAAAACAATGGATAGCACGAGTTTTCCCTATGGGAAAGTAACATGAGATATGTGATTTTTAACTTTAACGCATTTCAATGCCAATCCCATTTTAAGAAGTTGTAAATATAGTGAAGAAGAAACTTTTGATATGGTTAAATCGAGAAAAACAAGATACTCTTCTAAGAAAATAAGCCTAACATTTTCTAAAATGTGCCCAGATGGGGTCCTAAACCATAATTTTTCAGAGAGTTGGATTGATATTTTACTATCACGGGAACTTCAATTGAAAGAAAACATATCGTTTTTTTTAAAAACCACTGTATTTATGGCCAGAAAGTACTCATGGTGAAAGATATGACGGTCTAAAATCACTTGCCATACTGCACATGGACCTTTCAAAATCTTGCCTGTATTCATTGCTTCCTTGTACAATTTAATGACCTTGCTTACTATCAATAGATGGTGTATAATTCATGAGGTTAAAATAATAATCAGTTTCACTATTTCCAGGACTGGAAGAAGGGTGTTGTGTTTGTGAACCACTTCAACATAGGGCGCTATTGGGATATTGGCCCCCAGAAAACACTGTACATTCCTGGGCCCCTGTTGAGGACAGGGGAAAATGAAGTAAGTCCGTATTTATTGAGACTAAGTTAGGGGGGATTAACCCATTTAACCTCAGAGTTCAAAGATGACGTACGCTTATAACGTCAACCTGTATTGAGATGACGTACACCTCTGTTTGGTCCAAATCGATAAACAAAAAATGGCGGATTCAAAATTTTCTAATAACGCTTCGAATAATGTTATGTTAATATCTGGCATGTAAACCGATATCATAGCTTGTTATTTCACAATAAGATGAAGAAAGACGTGAGGAGTATGCTAAATCGATTAAAACATCACATAAGTTGCCCATAAGTTTGCCAACCTTTCCAAGTAGAAGGAGCGTGCCAAGAGTAAAGAAAATTTAATAAAATTCCTGAAAATCATCAATTGAATTTCTCAGACATTTGTCATATGATTGCGGAAAGGATTCTGTTAATCCCATGTGCACAATACAATTTGGGTTTAAACACCCTTGTGAATAAATGAAAGTACATTTTAGATTTTATTTTTTCCAGATTTTGATCTTTGAGCTTCACAAACCCAACGTGCATGTGATTCTACAAGACAAGCCAGTTCTAGGATGACCCAACTAGTGCTTTAGATCTTGAAAAATACCATTATACTTACATGTTCTACAAAATTCATAATTGATCAGTGTACTAGAGAATGAATTATCATCATCATTTAAGCATTCCACTTTAAACTTAGCAGTGCAATGATTAAAGGACTTGCTTTATCTTGGCTTTTAAAACAACTTACCATAAACAGTAGGTGTGTGTGTGTGTGCAGCCTTCACTGGAGAATTCCAATACAGCATTAGATATAATTTGTACAAAGTAATGAAGGTATTTCATTTCAATGTAACCAACTTAACTATGATGGCATATTACTAGGATTTAATATTTCTTCTTTAATTATCCCACCAAACGAAGTTAGAGAGGGATATAGAGAAGCTATAGAGAAGCCGACCTTTAATCTTTCTGTATGTCAGTCTGTTCATCCATCTGTGTGTCCAGGTGATAATTCAAATACCGGTTGACGGATCGGATTGGGTTCAATATTCACAGGACCTCTGCTAAAAAATTTTCAATATGGCCACTCGATTCAAAATGGCTGCCATTTTTCTTGAGAATATAATCGTTCATAAATCAAATACTAGTTGACACATTTAGTTCAAAATGACAAGATTTGATAAAATATGTTTTGTTTGCTGGTATTTGCTACTCCAGGGAGTTTTTCTAGTTATTAGATGGAGATCACAAGTAGCATCCATGTTCACACCTTAGGTGCTTGCTGAATCATGACATTGCGAGAGGCCTATATTCTATCAAGAAGCCCCTCACAGACAAATGACACAGCGAGTGCCAAGAATGGCATGCTATGATTGGGACATGGATACTACCTGTATACTAGGTTATTGAGAATCATCAATTAGTTTTCTACATGCCTATAAGTAAAATATTCTCACACCAGGAAGACAATGATCTGTGAAAGAATACCATGTTATAGCTTTGACTAGTGAATCTGGATATTATATTTCTTCTTTTGTTTGTAACTGTATTGGGAGGGTGTTTTTAGTATTGGACATTGAAAGTGACCTGTTCATCCATGAACAAGGAATCTCATTCATTTTGAATCTCATTTTGTACTTGGTGCTCTCTTAGGGGTGATAGAATTAGATTTACTGAGATTTTCTCAAGGGTGTGTATCTGGTCACTGTATTGTCAAATAATACATATTATTTTTACAAAATTATGAACATAAATATGTGGATAATTAATCCAAAGTGCAAGCAGTTTGTTTTTAACAGGATATGCTTATTTTCTGTGCAATATATGTTTTCATTTTTTGTAAAGGCCTCTGGAAAGTTAAAACCACTTTTGGTTTCATTGTACTCAATGTAGAAAATTGTTTTTGAACAACTCTTTTATTTAAAGAAATTGTTGAATTATTTCAATAATTTATTGTTATTTGAAATACTTATGATATAAATTATATAATAGTTAAAATACAATAGTTTTATAATATATTGTAACTCATACTGATTGAAAAAATCATTATTTCTATGTAAATGTACATAGGCCATTTGTAGTTGTAAAGTGTAAACATTTATAAACAGTAAAATGATATGTAGGCTATTTCATTATTTGTGTGCAACTTATTTTCTTAACAAACAAATTCAGAATTAAGGGATTTGAATTTGTGCAATTTTTTAACAGTGCTTAAATCCCACTTGGGTAGCAAAACAATAGAATTTGCTGTGGTTTATTTTTAAGAATGTATGGTTTTATCAAAAGGAAAGCGCATTATTTTTCTATTGTTTTTAAAGAATGTACACTTGGCAAGCTATCAAAAACAAGTGAGACATAAATGACCATTGACAGTTTTTGATAGTTTTTATTCCCTAAAAACAATATACAAAAATACATGTACCCTTCTCTTGTTACTGTGCATTCTTTAGAATAAAACAATTTATCAATTTTTGTTGCTATCTACATCATTGATCTTATCTTACTTACAAATATTCTGCTGTATTCAAATTCAATGTTCTGGACTGGACAGTCACCTGTAGTGCACTGAAGCTAGACTAATTATAGCCCACTCAGTCACTTACATCAACTCACACTCATGAGGTCAATGCAACCAACTCTTTTTGTTGTTACAATTAATTGGCTATATAACAACAAATTTTAACCAATAAGAGCCAGGGTCACTGTGAGCCTGGTTGAAGTTTGCAAAATTCACAGTTTGAATAGTCAATACAAAAGAAATCACATTTTTCCGGATTAAAGACCTTTTAACTGTAATATAATAGACCCTTTGCCTGTGATAAGAGTCTGTGTGATTTAAGTAAGATAAAGCATTCAAATTCGATTTGATAAGAAATAATAACCTCAGGCCTTCGGCCTTCGGTGTATTATTTCTTATAAAACCTCATTCTTATGCTTTATCTAGTACATAATGTATTTGTTTCAGTGTAAAATCTGTATAATATTTGACAAGGTCAATATTTATGTGAACATCATGCAATGTTTTATATGTTTAGGCCTATGGGTGTTCACCTGAGGATCAAGTAGCAGTTGGGCAATAAATCAATTTAATAAATTACAACAAAAAACAATCTATATATTTATGTTCACAGTGAGTAGTTTATATTTCTTAACTGAAAAACCTGTGAATATGACTCTATGAAGCATCTGTCTACATATTGTAACATCTTCAGCAAACATAAAAAATGTTCCATATTCACTGGTTTTACTGAAACATGTTCCATATTCACTGGTTTTACTGAACCATGTTCCATATTCACTGGTTTTACTGAAACATGTTCCATATTCACTGGTTTTACTGAAACATGTTCCATATTCACTGGTTTTACTGAAACATGTTCCATATTCACTGGTTTTACTGAAACATGTTCCATATTCACTGATTTTACTGAAACATGTTCCATATTCACTGGTTTTACTGAAACATGTTCCATATTCACTGGTTTTACTGAAACATGTTCCATATTCGCTGGTTTTACTGAACCATGTTCCATATTCACTGGTTTTACTGAACCATGTTCCATATTCACTGGTTTTACTGAACCATGTTCCATATTCACTGATTTTACTGAACCATGTTCCATATTCACTGGTTTTACTGAAACATGTTCCATATTCACTGGTTTTACTGAAACATGTTCCATATTCGCTGGTTTTACTGAAACATGTTCCATATTCACTGATTTTACTGAAACATGTTCCATATTCACTGATTTTACTGAAACATGTTCCATATTCACTGGTTTTACTGAAACATGTTCCATATTCACTGGTTTTACTGAAACATGTTCCATATTCACTGGTTTTACTGAAACATGTTCCATATTCACTGGTTTTACTGAAACATGTTCCATATTCACTGGTTTTACTGCATGTTAAGCTTTAAAACAAGATCACTTTTCAGTCTCTTTTGGAATATCTCATGGACTCCTGTCATGCCTGTCACCGTGTTATAATAATCTCTAAAATCAAATCCTCTCCCCTCGAGAAGTACTTCAACTATCAGCAATAATCACTATAAACTGATTTACAAATGATGCATAAGAATAAGTTAATAGTGTTTAAAATCTCTTTATGTACATTAAAACCTGTCTAATTTGAACACCATGGGACTGGCTAAAAGTGTTTGGATTAGAAGGTGTTTGCATTTCAAGGTATTTGCATTCACCGGATTCTTGGTTTTAAACAAATGTGAATGCATTTTCTCAAATATTATTGTTCAATTGACAACATAGTTTTATGGCATTCCAATAATTTGAAAATCTGATTCAAATGAATTCAAAGGTCATGTTAGAAAGACACATTATGTTTATTTTTATGATTAGCGTTCAAACATATTGGACAAGTTGATTCTTCAAATAATGTATGGCTGTTCACAGTTCAAATTGGGAGGTGTTCACATTTCAAGTTTTTTAACATGGGATTCAATGGAAGAAAAAAATGTTATCAGAAAAAAGTGTTCACATAAGGAACTGTTTGGATTAGAGAGGTATTCATATACATGTATACAGGTTTTACTGTTACAGTACTCTACACATGAGTGAAGCCAAAAACTATGGATGAATGAAAGACCTAACACAAGAGATACAGTATGATTTTTAATGAATAATTACTTCATACCTTGTCATCGGGTTTCTCCAGTTTTATCTCAAATACACACATCGTTTTAGGTATAACACAACAAAATATCTTTATGTTACCCTACTAACATATTCCAAGTAAATATTTATGCAACTCTGAAAATCTTATATTTGTACAGGCAAAATATTCTTGAATTATTTTTGTTTGAGTTTTGCCTATATTACAGCATCTAAAGCTTGCCTTTGTCCATCTAGTCCCTTGGGTAATAGGCATAAGCAGATAACTCAGTTGTTGCTCTCACCGTTTATGTAACATTTTGTAATAGTCCTGTACTGGTGTCACTTGAGATAGAGACTGACATCACATATGGGGAACATGGAAGCTGACATCAAATTGGGGGAAGAGACTGACATCATCTTGGGGGTAAAGGCTGGTCATCCCCTGGCGGTCGTTGCCTCCGTAGTAAACCTTGTCTGAAATATATTTCATCACAACTATAAAATCAAGTCTCCATTTTCATTATTCAGTAGTAGGACCTGAATGGTTTGTTCTTTAGTATGGAAAGACATTTTAATGTACTTTGAAAAAGTACTACAGTATATTGTCGTTGTCTTGTGCTGATTGGTGTGTTTGTATCCAAGATTGTGATAAGTAAATAATATTTTTGAGTGAAATAGGGTCGCATATCACTTGTATATCTTACACCATTCTTTCGAAACAAAAATCACATCTAGAACAATCATTAAACAATGCCGTATTCTATCAGCATGATTTTTCAACAGTTGAAGTTGGCTGTCATTTAAATAACTTACAGCATAGTGTTTGCCTGTTGTAATGCTTCAATCTTCCTCTCAGTTTCTGCCATCCATTCTTGGTACTTCTCACTCCATTGTTTCTTCAACTGAAAATCAGGCATTATAATACATATTGCATATAAAGTTTAAACCACTTTGGCTTATATTGTAGTCTTACCCTATGCATGGACTTTCAACTCAAAATATGATACGTGAAACTTTGTTTTTGAAATTCAAAAAGTGGTTCTTGAAGGACATTTTGTTCGAAAAGTTGTGAATTTATTTAAAACTTAATTAAGAAATATAGATAGGTAATATTGTCGAATACATCCCGCAGGGCTAGGCACAAACGTTTTCTGTACCCGAACGACCAAAGGGACGATATTACCCCTGCTCTGAGGTCTATATTACGATTCGAACATGAAAACTCACCAAAATAGTTCGAATATTCATTATGGTCCGCCCTGCCGTTATGACGTCACACATTACAGATATTACCAGGGGTATTCTTCGCGAATATACCACGTGTGAAATGTTGACTTTATATACAGTTTATAGAAGGCGTGAATACAGTCATGTTCGAATAAGCCTTAATTAACACCAATGCGTACAGCATTCATCCTCACGTTTCTTTTGTAAAAAAAATCAAGAAAATCAGTTGATAAATAAGTGAGAAATGAACTCATGCAGCTATGCATGAAAGTGGTACACAGAAAAATGCATTTCAAAATTTTCAAAATCTCATAGAAACCAATGGTACAATTATATCTAAAACACAATATATACTTCTTTTCAACTTAGTTAGACAATCAACATTTTGAAAGTTTAGCATTTAAGAAAAACTTGAGTTAATAAAAAAAATTTGAAAAACATTCTTGCACTTCTTCTTCTTGATGTCACTTAGGGTGCACAAGTTTTTATTTAATATGCTAAAACATTTAAGTGGCATATGAGGTATGACATTTTATTATTCAAATAATACATCCTTTGTTTAATCTTCACAGTGGTGTTAAAAATGTTTTGCACTGAATAGTCAAATATTTGATGATTAAAAAATTTCAACTTTTATTTGAAAAATGGCGGGAAAGTCGAATATTTGAAAAATAAAAATCTGACAACTTTTTTCACAAAACTATTTTCTTCTTTTCACAACGTTTATTTTAAACTACTCAAGACGCTTCTGAGCGCATCTGGATCCTTTTTGAAATGTGATCCGAAATGACTTGAGTAGTTTAAAATAAAGTTTGTGAAAGGAAGAAAATAGTTTTGTGACTTAATGATCATACCTGAAGAAATTGAAGAACTTTTTTTCCCCTTTAGATGGGGCCTTTAAACTTACATATATGTAACATCCCTCTCAATATTAACAGTCTCAAAATTTATTTGTTTAAGTATCACATAACACTGATGTTCTATAGATTCCCACATCTTCAGAATCAGTGTTAAATTATTAGTTAGGTATTTGAGATGAAACAGTTATTTTTTCTGGATTAAACATTATTTCATTACTTTTCAATCACCTTCTCTTGACTCCAGTCTCTGGCCACCGTCCCCATCCATATATTATCCGATCAGAGTTAGAGTGATTCATTGATAGGCTTGATAGAGAAGAGGGGAACACAGGGTCACAAGATTGTCAATCATTCTGTATTGTACCTTCATATTGAGTTGTTCCTCTGTTTCACACCACTGCGCCTCTTTTACACTTAGTTGCATCAGGAGAGTGTCCACTTTTTCCTTGAGGTCCTGGTTCTCTATCATAATTGCAGCTTTGTCAGCTTCCAATTCACCAACTCTCGTATTCAGTTCTTTGATTATTGGCTCATGGTTGCAAGCTCCCTTTTCCTATTATTAGGAGGTTTATGAAGATATTAACAATTTTTAGGTCATCAAAGACCAGCGTCACATTTTATTATATCAAAATGAAATACCATGGGCTTTCAAGAGAGAAAGCCCATGGATATACACTGTACATGCCTTCTTTTATTTCAACCTCTATCAATTTTATTTTTCACACAATGATTTTGCATACATTTTACATACTAATTTAGCATTCAACCACTGTAGTCAAAGCCTCACACCAAGTCTCTGCTCCCTCCCATTTATCTATTTTCAGACCTGCGTAATTGTTTATGAAAGTGGGGAAGGAGCTCTGACAGACATGGACTTGATGCTAGACTTCAGAATCATGAATAAGACAAATTCTTTACCTTTGACTGAATTTTGGATAGATCCTCCATTTCCTTGGTAAACTTTTTGCGTAGTTTTTCAATCTCTGTTTCTCTTAATTTATCTTTGTCATCTAGTTGTTTCATCAAATTTTCAACTTTTGGTTCATCTGAAGAATCTCTGCAATTATGTTATATGGTTCAAAACGTGACCTTTCCTCTTTATCCAATTTAGTTAAAATTGCAATGTGGATTTATAGTGGAGTTATCGATATGGTGAACTGAATTCAACACCACTTTTTGAATTTCAAAAACAAAGTTTCACGTATCATATTTTGAGTTGAAAGTCCATGCATAGGGTAAGACTACAATATGTTTTTCTCTTAAACCAATTATTGAGAACATTCTGTAAAAAACCTTTATGTAATGTTGACTGATTGGCAACAATTTAATGCAAAAATTATTTATATATATTTTATATAACTGTTTTTGTTGACATATTTTGTTTTTAGTGCAATTGTTTTTTGTTCCTTTCTAGCAATTCTTGAGAATGAAATAAAATGTCTTTCCGAACCTTGTTGGACATTTTCTTAGACCTCTCAATATTATAGTTATACAAAGGACATTTTGGTTGATTTAACAAAATGTATGCAAAAACTTAAACCAAAACCCCCCAAAATAGATGAAAATTAAGATAACCCTTTTATTTCATTAACAAGATACTTTTTTTAAATCCTTTGTACAATTACAACATTGAGAAACCTAAAAACATTGTGTTAATGTCGTTTTGTTCCAATGAGGTTCGGATAGATGTTTCATTTCAATCCGAACATGATACCAAGAACAAAAGAAGTGTCTGATGTGTTTTCGAAAACAATATAGAGAAAAGTATATATATATATTTCAAATTATAATGTTACCATCCAAAAGATGACCATTAAATTGACAATTTGTAAAATTTTCAGAATGTTTTGATGACTGGTTTAAGAGAAACGCGTGTTCAAAAAGTTCACCATATTGATACCACTCCTTTAAACATGTTATAATTAAATTCGAAGAAATTTGAAAATATCAAATTTCATGCAAATTCATGCAAACTGAATAGACCTGGGAATAGACCTCTTGAAGTTTAAGACAAAGTGTTGCCTTACTGAAACTCAGAAACCAACGTGAGGGCAAAAAGATTCAGCTTAAAAAAGCATTCAATAAGATAATTCTGAGATCACCTTTTAGGCTTTGTATAAAAAACCTCCTACCTCATACCCACCTACCCATGTACATTGGACATGATACAGTCTTTGGAGGGTTCAATTAAAGATCTTAGTTTTATTAAATCTTAGTTTATGATGAATTATAGATGCATTTGTAACGACCCTTGATAGCAAGTTGCTACTACAGCCCAGCTGGGTTCGATTCCCACTCGGGGCATCGAATTTAGCACACTTTCTTTCAATTTCTTTATCTGGCTTGTTGGACCCTCTGGTCATTACACATTACAATGCATCCATATCACCGGCGGATCCAGGTATTTGTGTTAGGGGGGGCGTGTGATAATAACTGTGGGCGAAGAGTCAAATTTTGTAAAAAGCGATGTGGCAAAACACAAATTTTCCGACTTTTTAGGGGGGGGGGGGCGTTTTTAGGGGCCCACGCCCCCATCTAGATCCACTGGTGCATATGCCTTTATTTATGGATCTATCATCCGTCTAGTCATAAAATAAAGCCGGAATTGTAGAAATGTTAATGATTAGAGCTATTTTGAGATTTAAACATCTTTAAAATTGAACCCTTCAATGACTGTATCATGTCCCACGTAGGTGGGTAGGTGGGTATGAGGTAGGAGGTTTTTTATACAAAGCCCACCTTTTACCAAATGGTACTCCTACTTGAAGCACTTCTCTCTCACGTTTTAACACAGTTGTGTTCTTTGCTTTCCTCAATTCATCGAGACGACGTTTCAGACTGAGCACCTCAGACTCAAGCTAAAAAAAGTTAAACGCAAATGTACAAGTGTAGTACTCTATTTATTTTTAATAAGATTGCGCCGACTGCTGCCAATGTGAGATTAATATAAACTTTAAGACGATTTTTTCATCACACATGTTGAATATTTGATTGTAAAATAATTTCTAATAAATTCCTATTTGACAAAATAAATATTTAATATGATTCACATGCAGTTGAAATTTTGAATATTATATATTTTAAATAAAATCGATGGTCACACTAATAATTATGTATATACTGTACCTCTTTAACTCTACTTTTTAATGTTGCCTCATTTGCCAAAATATCAGACTGGGTTCTACGAGACATCTTGGCCTGATTCTATTAACTGCATATGGTAAAATATTAAAATTATAAATTAATCAAATTAAAATAGTCAGTTTACGAGGGGTGATCAATAAGTAATGGACGCTTTTTTACACGGATGCTTTTTATGACCAATCTCTTCGATTTTTTCACCAGTAATACATCATTCAATTATCTATCAACTCTGAAGATTTGAAGACAAAATATGTAATGCATGTTGATATATCTTTATTTCAGTGAAGGGGGTACAGGTACCCTGGGACCGACATTTATGTCACATATTCTGAAGTAATGCCAATTTGGCATATCAGTTAGATTTGAACTTTTTGATATGCCACAAGAGTTGTGTTGTTTGAATATCATGCTGCCTGTAGTAACACACAAAAGATAAGTATTGTAAGGTCAAAGTGTTGTATGGTCAGGGTTTGCAGGTTGATTTGAGAATGCAATGTGGAAGAAGAGGTTAGTAAGAGGAGGTAACACCCTACTCCATGTGGACAATGCCCCGCCCAAATATCTCAAAATGTCCAAGATATAATATCCCTGGACCTGAACATGAAGTTCTTGGTGCATGCACCCTTTAGTCCAGATCTGGCCACACATGACTTTTATTTCTATACTTCTTTTTTCTATAGAAAAATGATGCAGGTTAAATAACATTGATGAAATAAAACAAACTGCGCAACTGCAGTTTGCTACCATGTCAGAGAATGGAATCGACCATGTCTTTCAATCTTTAGTAAGGGGATAATGAGGAAGTGTGTGGCACTTAATGGAACCCATGTAGAGGGCCCTGAAGAATGAATGTGGCATGAATGCCACAAAGTGAAGGCACAAAATTCATTATCAATTATGGCGTATCGAAATGGTGTAATTCATAACCATCATGGTTCGTTTTGTTCAACCTGCATTAAACTACATTGCACGTTTTAAATGAGCTAATTAGCTTCAGAATGTGTGACATGATGTCGGTCCCGGGGTACCCATACCTCCTTCACAGAAATAAAGATATATCAAAATATATTACATGCTTTGTGTCCAAATCTTTAGAGTTGATAGAAAATTGAATGATGTATCACTGGTGAAAGAATTGAAGAGATTGGTCAATAAAAAGCATCTATGTAAAAAAGCGTCCATTACTTATTGATCACCCCTCGTATATATGATTTTCTAAGAAACAACAGCAGTTGGAGACCCTATCTGTTGCAAGACTTATGCCTGGCACAACCGTCACCATGTTATTAAGTGTTTTTAAGTTCCACAAGGATCCTGCCATGACCGTGGTAGTGTTATCGTGATAGTCTGGTATAACCGTGACAATGCTATATTATATTGCATGGCCTGTCATGACGGTGGTAATGTTAAAGCCTGATATGACCGTGACAATGCTATACTATATTGCAATGCCTGAAATGACCGTGGTAATGTTAAAGCCTGATATGACCTTGACAATGGTTGCAAGGCCTGTCATGAATGTGGTAATGTTAAAGCAGATATGAAATGGTATTTTTAACCTAAAGGAATCAATATAATTTTTTGATAGATGTATTTGGACATGTTTTCTAATCAGTAGTGTGAAAACGTTTTCACTCTAACGATCGTTATAGCTGCTTAATAAGCAATATTCGAATTGGTTGTGACGTTATTGGCCCCCACGTGATCTCTCACTGGCCCCTACGTGGCCCGTTTTGGTCCATTAGATCATGACGTCATAATGCCAAAATGTTTTGTTATTTGTTTACACAACAATCCTATGGTTGCCGTGACGTTGTGATTACTATGGAACCAATAAACCAAAGCTATAATTTGTATGTGACGTTACTAATCACGTGGGGGCCAATTTGATTTATCAGTTAGTTTTATTTCGTTATCTATGACCGTTAGCAGTTATCTAATATTTATTTTATAATGGCTATCGCAAGATCTCTACGGTGGGCTTACAATAGAGAAAACCGCATTTTTGTAGCTGCAAGTTGAGAAAAGCTATTTCAGTTGTCCTTTAAAGCCTGATATGACTGTGATCATGGTTTCAAGGCCTGTCATGAATGTGGTAATGTTAAAGCACAATATGATTGTGACAATGGTTATATAGTAGCATGAGAATACTGTAATGAAAAATTTCATCGTTTATCTAATTCTAGACTACTACTACATGTACATGTACTACTACTTAACTCATAATTCATTTCCACAAACTACAATTCTAATCTCATTCAAGAACGTGAACATTGTCACAGTCATATCAGGCTTTAACGGTCATGATAGGCCTTACAACCATCGCCACAGTCATACATGTATAAGGCTTTAACACTACCACGGTTATGACAGGCGTAGTATAGCATCGTCATGGTCATATCAGGCTTTAACATTACCATATAATATAGCATTGCCACGGTTATACCAGGCCTTCACAATAACACTACCACGGTCATGGCAGGATCCTTGCGCAACTTAAAAACACTTACATGGTGACGTTTGTGCCAGGCATAAAGTCTTGCAACAGATAGGGTCTCCACTCCATGAGCATCATAGACTCATCATAGGCCAAGGGAAAAGTAATAGTTAGCTGTATATAGAAGAGTATTTACAGCTTACTATTACTTTTCCCTTGGCCTATGATGAGCATGAACATGATTACTGAAGCATGAACATGGATGACTGAACTTTTTGTCAATAAATTGAAATTTTTTGATATATGCCTCAAAATAACTTATATTTTACGGATTTATTTGTGACAATAATTTACACTTCTGTTGAATAACTCACCAAAAGCAAAATTTATTGCCTCTGAAATATGTAAACAGATAAAATAACACTGATCATGCTGTGATTACATACGTCTTCAAGACATTGTTTATATTGGTAATGGTGTTACAAAATAATAAAATTATTATTTGAAGTCCTGGTCAGAATCTTCTCCGAATTGATTAGACAATGGACGTATAGCGTTCAATTCAAATACGATATCTATTTGCCATTATCATATGCAAAATATGATATGTAAGGAATGTATGTTATGGTTTATAGCTTATTTTGTACCTAAAAAAAGAACGGAAGAAGAAGCTTACCTAGAATAATTGTGAGACACCAAGTCTAAGGGAAGAAAACCAGAAGAAAGCTATATTTTCAATTTTGCTTTCTGGATTTTTAGTTACTCAACTACACGATGCTTTTAATTTCAGAAAACTATGGTAAGTTGAACTTAATATCTATATTTTTATCTTGAAATGAGAAAACCTTATCGTAGAATCTAGATCTATGGGTTATTTTTGATCACGGCTTAGATCCCACAGTAACCAAACCTCAGTTATCTACTCCTGACGTCCTAGATCTGGGCCAGACTAGCTCCAATGCAAAAAAAGGGGTATTTACTCCGGAAAAAACATGTCGCTGAATCTTACTTCCTGCGAAAGCTATTTGGATTTTGATATAATAGCTTTCCCACGGAGCATTTGGACAGCTCAATGATCGTGACCTTTGAAATCGAATTAAGTCGATCCGCGGCTTACTTTTGGTCTCTAACTGTGTCTTACATCAGTATCATCAATCCGTGTAAGTGTAACGACCCTCACTCTGCGTGCTAAGCGCAAAAGGTAGTGGTAGCGTTAAAGGGTTGATGAGTGAGTGGAAGAATCGTCACATTATTACCGGGTCCGTGTTGTGATTGTATATGCTCTCAAGGGTTTTACAGACATGACTGGTTGAATGGCAAAATGGCTGAATATGTCGCACTGTGACATAAAACATACACCTAACTGACAAAACAGATGATTTAGTTTAAATATAAATGAAAACATGATTATGGGTTTATTTACAATGTGATTACAAAGTGAGTATAGTAATTTTGACAATTACACACATAGTGTGGAAATATATATATATAAATAAAAGTTCTGATATTGTGATACCTGAATGATATATGGTGCAGCGTTACTCAATGGCAACGGGTACCCATATTCAAGGATTACGCACAAAGGTGGATCGTTATGCAACTAAGATCCCTGAAATGTGGTTACGATAATATACATAGTATTTCCTATCAAGTACAATACATACTTAAGTAAGATTACATAATTACCAAGAAGCTGATACTGCAATTACACATTATTGAGCTCATATTCATAAATCCTACATTAACTACACATATAACATATAATACTTTCATCTGGGAGAGTGTGTGACACAACTGGTGACCAAATAAACATACATAGCAATATGTATTACCATGACTTTGCAACAACCTATGACAATGAGAACAACAACAACTGGCACCTTGGAGTGTACGACATGACGCAAAGAACCTAATTACAACCACTGACAAAATGTAAGACCGACTAGAAATATCAACGTAACATTACGTATTCACAAGCTTGGGTGAAACATACCAAATAATGACTATAACAATAACTTGTACAACATTTGATTCAACATACCAATTAGTGATAACAATGTATACATGACTGCTCATTATGTAACATGCTAGGAAAATTAATGTCATATAACATGTGGGTGCAATCACATGACATGGATATACATGTCACGCAACAAGTGGGCGCCTGCTATGAAACATGCCGACGCGTGGTACATGACATATGGGTGCGATTACACATCATGTGGGTACATGCTATGTAACAAGTGGGTGCATGTTATGTAGTAAGTGATCAATCATGAACATAAGTGAACCTGTAGACCCAAGTTGGTAGTAGTACATCACCAACTTATAATATTCCATGACACAACATAAGGGTGGGTGCAACAACTTGTATTCCCTTTGGTAATATTGGGTGGAACAAAGTGTATCTCCCTAGGGTGGCTTTGGGGAAAGCCATACATGCATACAGTATATAAATTATAGTACAACCTTAATGCAACGATACAATAAAACCGACACTCCAACCATCGATAAACAATAGAACAGTTCAAGTTCAAAACTAGTATCAGGCTAGATCATAAACCAGGGTTCCATCAGGGTTTAACTCAACACCATCATCTATCTGACACTAACTGTTGCCCAACAGTAAGACTTGAACTCCATAAGCCGACTACATACAAGCGAGACATTACGTAACATACAACTGCACAGGGTAGTTTGCAGTTTACCAAAACATGATCAATTTGGGTATTGATCATCAACAATGAGATAAACTGACATGATCAAACTGGGTATTGATCATCAACCATGTAAACCAAATATGGGTCAAATAATTCCAATGTGCTTTTGCATTAACAAGTCAAATCCAAAATCCAAATGTAATACTTGCCAATTTGTTACACTCGATACACAGAGTGCTTACAGCTTGAAATGAGGTGTAGGGTGTCCATCCACATGAGGTATTTGCATCAGCATATGAGTGGTTGGTTGTTGGTGGTATGTAGTTCGCCATTTGACAGACGTGCTGACAATTGCAAGTCATGCGGGAGGGGTGAACCTCAAACTTCAAGCCTGATTTGGGGGTCAGACTTCGTGCAAATCCTGTTGTAATCACCTCATGTGGACGGACGACTTACTGGTGTAAATCGTGAGACAGTTTAGACACCTCGACGGTCAACAATAGCGACATTTTGAGTGAAGATAGCGGAGCAAATCACGAATGATTTACTCGAAAAACATAAGATGGCTACCTGCCTTCTGCGCACGCGCAGCGCCCTACATAAATTACGAACTTATGTAAATCCACAAAAACGGCCATAACTTCGCCAATACGGGACCGATTGCAAAGTTTAAACTACCTATAGAGAGCTTAATTTACGTATTAAGTGCATATCCTACTAGATTAACGATAAAACATAGTAAACAGGGTGAAATTTAGACCAGAAAACTACGACAGTAACCTTGACCTTTTTACGTCAAAAGTACGAACGGAACTAAGAATAGTTCGAGAATTACGCCAAAAGTACGAACGGGAGCAACAATATCCACAAATTACTAGAATAGGACACTTTAGTGGATAATAACGATCTAAACATGTATGTGAATATATAAACAACATTAAGTGAAACCCAACAGTGGTGAGACATCGAACTGACATTACTGAATAGCGGCAAACAAGAAAGTAAATCTGTTGGGTTATCACATAAGTATTGGAGCGCTGGAGTACTTCTTTTTCGATCAAGACTTGTAATTGTTAGTCGAGTGAATCGTTTTACTGCCAAATTCCAATATGGCGGTTTCTGCTCGGACATTTTCGTAAATCTCCGGAGGTTGTCCGAACCTAACTAATTCTCAAAATTCATTTCGTTCGTTGCGTATCTCGCACCTAGCAAACCGCCATATTGGAAATAGGTCTAAAAAACTTTCACTCGATGAACATTTAAACTTTTTGAAAAATTTTAAACTTCTGAAATTTAAATTTTTAAACTTTTGAAAAAATTCCCGGGAGCGGGATGGATATCTTATATCTGCCCGCATTTGGCCTAGAGCGGGACATATACAATATATCCTGCCCGCTCCTCAGATATGACATATATTCCCGGGTGATATCTACCCCAAACCCACTCAAGTATGAAATACATATATATAGTTGAGCATATTATGTACCTCTTTCTGGAACTGGAATACCATTCTAATACTGGCAACACACACATATTCCCGGGGAAACATAAATCTTTCATGTAGAGTGAATATTTTTCTTTTCATTCCTCTAAAATCAGATTCTTCTCCTAAAAGTAATAGAAAGTTGTCATCCTCCTAAGCAGGTGTCCAGGATCCGTACCTCCTTCCCCCTGCTATAACCAATTTGGAAGCACCCGATCAAACTGAATCACGTGATCTAATTATGCATACTGACTTATTCATGATTTTTGTCGCAGTGTTGCGACAGCCAATCAGATTGCAAGTTCTTAATCGGGGAAATGCTAACTGCTTATCGCAAAAAAATGTGCGGAAATTTTTAGGCCCATTTTCTTCAAAATTTGGCCTGAAATTAAAAAATGAGGCCTTAAAAGGCCCAGTAATGACCAAAAAGGCCAACTTTTTGGGGCCTGAAGGCCTTTTTTGGCCCAATTTTTTTTTTCTGGGCCCACCCAAGGGGGGGCCCGGCCCCCAGGCCCCCCTCCCTAATCCGCCAGTGGAGTCACATGTTATTTTTCAAACAAGAATCACTCCTTCCCCACATTGTCTCCCGGGGGGTTCACTGTATATAAAACTCGACGGGGGTCCTAGGCTGAAGCCTCAAATATCAATACGTTCCCATACCAATCTGTCAAATTTCAATATGTTCCCATACCAACCAAAATAACGCCCAAAGGCCATACCAAATGTCCAAATATAGGACCAATGCCATACCAAATGTCCAAACATAGGACCAATGCCATACCAAATGTCCAATTATGGGACCAATGCCATACCAAATGTCAAAATGTAGGACCAATGCCATACCAAATGTCCAAATATGGGACCAATGCCATACCTTAATTCAAAGTAAATGAAATATAGGATCAATGTCATACAAATGTGCATATTACAGGACCAATCGCCATACCTCAAATCAAGGACAAATGCCATACTGTAGTTGGGGTCATAAATGACCAAAATGTTGAAAATGTTGATTTTTAATATTATAAAAAAAATTTCTAAGAAAAATCAACAAACCCGTTGAGAAAATCAGGGATAACGGAAAATAATCGAGGTCTACCGCCTTCAAAACTGTATATTGGAATCACAGTATATCAGTCGATATAATGAACCATCACTAACCTTTAAATATCGCTACCATAAGCTTCAAATCGTTGGAAATCAATCACTTTTCGAATCGAGCGTCCATTTTTCTAACTTCAAATTTGAAATTAGAAAAGACTTGTGAGAAGAATGTTTTGATAAAGTGTATAAAAAACAAGAAAATTCAGTGAAAAAAAATCAGTAAATTTTCAGAATTTTTTTTCGCTGAATTTTCTCATTTTTTATACATTTTACAAAACAAACCTTCTCACAAGGCTCTTCTAGGCACATAAGTGCACTCTTTGTGCAAACTTGGAAGATGTAGACAATGTGAAAAATAACATGTGACTCAATTGAGGAATGCAGAAAATTTCCCAACATGCACCCTGTCCTTAAGAAGATGCATTGAGCGTTGTATATGTGGCTAGGTATTTTAAATCATAAAATGTACGTAATGTTGTAAGTTCATGAAAATATTTCACAAAAAAATCTATTACACAATGCGTTACATTTAATTTCGATTCAATTTACTGTATTTTCTTTTTACATTTTTATCCCGTTTTTCTGCCCTCGAGAAGGGATTCTTGAATTAACGTTTTTTTAATTGGCTTCCATTTTTGATTGTTCTAAATCAGACGTCATATGGCTATAAGCGTATTCCTAAACTATATTGAGTTGTTTCCGAAATAAATAGACGAACAGACAAACGAATGGGCGACTTTTCTATCTCTGATGACAGGTTTGTTCTTGTCTCAAAATAGATGTTCTCTCGTTTGTATGGAAACCAAAACGCCCCGCAAAACCGTTAATTTGAATTTTAAACCTACCCTTTCTTTGGAAAATCAATGATTGTGAGTCTCGCAGTACACCGTTTTTCTTCAAACTTGTTCCATGAAAATCTTCACAGAAATACCTTTCACTCGAGACATTGCTTTTGTGTACAGAGTTGCTCGTTTTAAGGGCGTTTTGGTCCCCAGATGTGAGAAGATGCAACAGGGCATTTTGGTTAATTTCGAACAGTTGCGTAGGACTTTTCAGAATTGCTGCGTTTCATGTAATAAATATGTTGATACAGTGATGGAGGGTTGTAATGGCAATCGCGTGCAAAGACCGAACGGAATGCGTTCGCTTTTTTTCACCGTTCGGTATTTTACCGTGTCGGCATTTCACAAAAAACGATTTTTAAAACTTTACAATGTGTGTCGGTATTATGGTATTCGGTATAACGCCTTTCGGTACAACGCGCATCGGTATAATGGGTGTCGGTGTAATGGGTTTCGGTATAATGTGCGGACCCCGAAAGCGTAATGCTTTATGTATCCGTGCAACAAATACTCCAATGGCCTAATCTCAATTTGCCTGCATACGAATATAACATTAAAATGATGGTCATCTGTGTAATAAATTCTGGAACACACGTGTACCTCCGAAACAATTCAATAATGTATTTCAGGATCGCTATAATCGCTACATGCCAGTGACAGGGCTGTCAACTTGGGACCATCATGAGTGACTTCCAAATGTTGAACACCTTCCTTCAAACTTTGGACAGCTTCAGCTGGCAGATTTTGGACACCTAAAATTTTCCCCGCTCGCTGTTCAAATCCGTCAACGGGGGGGGGGGGGGGGGTAGGTGTGAATATTTTCGAAACATATGTGTGATATATACAAATATTTTGTACCAAATGCATGACATAAACGGCAATCGCGTGCAAAGACCGAACGGAATGCGTTCGCTTTTTTTCACCGTTCGGTATTTTACCGGCATTTCACAAAAAACGATTTTTAAAAATTTCAACAAAATGCTTGATTTGCGTGATATTTGATCATACACGCTAAATTGATGCGTGATTTCTATTTTTCCAGCAAATGCGTGACAATCACGCCTAATGCGTGAGGGTTGACAGGGCAGCAGTGAATATAGACTGTAAATATCATTGAGTTCAGATTTTTATCCAAATAAGAGGAAATTTCCACTTTTACAGACTGCACAGGGTTTGAAGAAATAATGTCTTACAGGGTTACAATTAATTCAGAGACAATTAATTTATTTATTCATTAATTTTGATAATAAGCTTCACATTTCTTTGTCTGGTAGCAGACTAGCAGTTCATAATTTTAAAGAATGTCTTATTTGAATTGCATTTTGACCTTTGATTTTAGTTGGCAAATAGTTAACCGCTAAACCTCATAATTTTTTACTTTGATCACATTCCTTCCTTGTAACCCTGCACTGAATGTACAAGTGCACTCAGTGAAAAATATCACCCTCTCTGATGGGTTACATTTTTCTTGTTTAGATGTAATAATAGTTTATTTACATTTGACACAATGGAGGATATTATATAGAATGTGTTTACTCTACACTAATTATTATCAATCCAATGAACTATGAATGAATAAAGTATATTTGTTCAGAAAATGATTATTGATTTTGTGTTATTAACCCTCTGTGGAGATTCAATCAGTCATATTAACCATGTATGAGTTCTAGGGAGCAGCTCAAGATTTTCATTTCCACCATTCTATACAGGGTTAGAATTTTATGATGACAGAAAAACAGAGAATTTGGCAAACTTATGAGTATTTTACAGACAAACTATATATAATAGGAGCCTGGTGATTTGTAAATTCTAATTTGATTTGTTTTATGTATAATTAATATATTGCAGGGAATGATCTTTTCTCAATTTACTCTATAATACTTATACCATGGGCTCTTATACAAACCCCTAATTTTATGGTTTGCTCTTCAGCTATTTTTGGAATATATTTAATGATTCAAGCGTTGGCTATTATACATTGCAGATATTCAGTAAATGTAGGGACAATTCACTTTTTTGTCTATTATTCACAATGTCAAAAAATTAATTTCAATATTGACAACAGCTCACAGTTGTGAAAATAAATAGGATTCTTTTTTATTAACCCTTTGTTTAGATTTAATCTTGTAAAGCTAATTAGTGCATTCAAGCTTATATAATAACTGTCATGTCAGGGAAATACAGTGGTATAGAATTGTTCACTAAGCATACTAATTGCTAATTATTCCACTTTGTATGTTTCAGCTTTCTACTTGGTTGACTATCAACAACAAGCTGTAACAGTGTGATTGGCAGTGTGATGTTACTGCTAACAATTGAACATATTTAATGTACAGGACCGCTCATGTGCTACAGCTTGGTAAGGATTCTATCATTATTATTCAAATAGTGGCTACCATTGAGGGAAATAGTGCAAAATATTTTTCCTTAGGGAATATCATGCTGCATATCAGGCTGCAGGCCGAGGGAACATGTCACAACAGGATATTCACGAAGGGAAAATTTTTACACTATTTCCCGAAAATGTTGCAATCACTATTTGTTTTATTAAATAGCCCATAAGTATTCTGTAAACAAAAATAAAACAAGAAGTCTTTTCATTTCAACATTTGATAGTTTCAGGTTCTTATTATCCCATCGAACGAAGTTCGGAGGGATATAGGGAACGCGTCCGTCTGTCCATCCGGGCAATAACACAAATACTGTTGGCCCGATTTTGTTCATATTTTGTAAACATATACCCCATGGGGCTAGAAGTTCTGCTCGAAAGCTAATTTCCAAAATGGCCGCTCATTCAAAAATGGAGCCCATTTTAGTGATATAATACTATAATTATTCAGATTAGCAAAATAGCATTTTAGTGCCGATTTTAAAGTTATTTAGGTACAATATGTAAAACTGTAATAGCAATTAATGTTTTAAATGTAAATAAATTATAAAGGACATTAATAAAGCTAGAAGTTTAGATCTTAAAGAAGCCAATGGCAGCCATCTTGAAAAATGGCGGCCTTTACTCACTCTTTTACGATTTTTGCTGTTACTCGAAAAGTAGTGGAGCCATTTTGTTTATGTTTTGTATGTGAATACTATAAGCATGGCACACTGTCTAGTGACACTTTTGGTAGAAGATTTTAATGTATTTTAAAGTATTTTACTATAACTCGAAAAGTAGCAGAGCGATTTTGTTCATATTTGGCATGTGAATACTATAAGCATAGCACACTGTCTTATGACACTTTTGGTAGAAGGTGGCCATTTTTCAAAATGGCCACCATTTTATCCTACTTTACTATAACTTGAAAAATAGTGGAGCTATTCTGTTTATATTTGGTACGTGGTACAAGGTGGTCATTTTGAAAAATGGCTGCCATTTTTGCTATATACTTTGTTTGTAAAAATGCCAGCCATGGCTGTATGATGGGATTTACTACGCTTTGGCGTTGCTGTTGTCTAGTTGGCACTGAAAAGCATTTTGTCTCTCAACTCCCATAGTTGCTAGTACGACTGGTGATCTACTCGATTAGTCTGGTTACTGAAACAGTTCGTTTCTGTAAAAGAATGTCGGAACATTGTAGGTACGATTTTTCTTTTTTCCTTATTTCATGAGTTGTAGGCAGAATTCCCACAAAAGTTTTCTCACAAATGTGTATTAGCTTGCCTGTAGGCAGCTTTTTCCAGGGGGGAGCTTTTTCACAATTTTGGCTAAAAATCTTGCGAAAAATTCTCAGAATGGTGACAAACTGCATGATTTGGAAAGAATTTCTGGCCAGGGGGGAGGTTCCGCTCCCCTAGCTCCCCCTCTGGCTACGGGCCTGATTTGTATCATATGCTTAAGAAAATGTACATGTTTGCAAACACATAGTTCAGAAGACAACATAATCATTGTTTTAATTCCTAACTTTAGTTACATAAAAGGAATTTCAAAAAACAGTTAAGATATCTGCACTTTTAACCCATACCATTTATGTAACTTAAGTGAGGTATTAAATCAACGATTCTGTTGTCTTCTGACAGCTATTTTATCGCAAACATGTACATTTTCTAAAACATATGATACTGATACACGTTTGATAGAAAATGTTGTGGGGATTCTGCCTACAAGGCATGAAATAAGGAAAAGAGAAAAATCATACCTTCGACATTCCGACATTTTGTTCTGACATTTTGAAACAATTCATTTCGATAACCAGCGTAATCAAGCGGATCACCAGTGTGGTAGAGAAAATAAAAAGTACTAATGACTGGTTTAGCAAGGATTTTTAACTTTCTAGGGAATAAGCTCATCTATTTCATATTATGTGACCATGAATAAGATCTAGAATACATATGGGGTATGTAATTTAAGAATCATGTCACTCTAAATTTTAGTTTTAAAAAATCAGCAAAAGTTTGCATCCGCTTTTTTATTGTCCACAACATGGTATTGGAGGCCATTTGTTGATTTTCGATCCTAAAATCTTGTCTCTAAAGTCTTTTCTACAGGTTTCAAGCCAAACCATTTGATGGATTGATCTGAAAGGACCATGTGAATTATTGCAAGTGATTTAGACAGTCATATCTTTCCCTATGAGTACTGTCTGGCTATAAATACAGTGGTTTTTATCTTAAACAATATGTTTTCTTTCAAGTGAAGTCCCATGATAGTAAAATATCAGTTCAATTCTCTGAAAAATTATGGATTAGGACCCCACCTTGGCACTTTTTGCCTAACATGGTGAGCTTTTGCAATCACCCACTTGTCAGTTGTCCATCTGTCTGTCAACAATAGTGGCACATTTTAAAATGTCTGTTGATAGGATTCCTGTTTAAGATTATTTTTGTTCAATATCGATACAGAATACGATACCCCCCTATGACTCCTGGTTCAAAAACTCGCCTATTTTGAAAATAGCTGCCATTTTTGTCTCGCAGTCCACTTTTAGACCATTTGCTTTAAAACCTCTGTCGAAAGGATTCCCGTTTTAAGTTATTTTTGTTCAACATCAATTCAAAAAACCCGGCTGTGACTCCTGATTCAAAAGCTCGCCTATTTTCAAAATGGCCGCCATTTTTGTCTTGCAGAATTCACCTTTGGACCATTTGGTAGCTTTATAGATAATTTCAGGTGTCCAGCATTGTAAAAAGCCATGTCACTGTAAAGAATAGTTAAATGAATTAATTCTGTTACAAAAAATTGGCAAAAAATTATATTCATGTTTTTTTATTTTAGCCATTTTAGTTAACATTGATTTGTCCATCTGTCTCTCAGTCAGTCCACAAAAGTGGCACATTTAAAAACCTCTGTCAATAGGATTCCCGTTTTAAGTTATATTTGTTCGACATCAATACAGAAAAGCTGTCTATAACTCCTGGTTCAAAAGCTTGCCTATTTTCAAAATGGCCACCATTTTCGTCTCGCAAAATTCCTTTTTTGGACCATTCGGTAGCTTTATAAATAATTTCAGGTGTCCTGCATTGTAAAAGCCTTATCACTGTATAGAGTTGTTGTATGAAATAATTTTGTTACAAAAAATAGGCAAAAAATTATATCCACTTTTATATTTTCAACCATTTTAGTTATCATTGATTTGTCCATTTGTCTCTCAGTCAGTCCACAAAAGTGGCACATTTGAAAACCTCTGTCGATGGGATTCCTGTTATAAGTCATTTTTGTTCAACATTTAATACAGAAAACCCATCTATGACTTCTGGTTCAAAAGCTCACCTATTTTCAGAATGGCCGCCATTTTTGTCTCGCAAAATCCACTTTTGGACCATTTGCGCAAAATTCACTTTTGGATCATATGGTAGTTTTATGAATAATTTCAGATGTCCAGAGACCTCATTATCCGGTCGACGCACCGCAAATCGCAATCGCAACGTAAATATTTAGTGAATCGTACGCAAAACGATATTATGAGGTCATCTCAAAGGCACTCTAGCGCAAATTCATTGCCGTTTTGCGTCTTTAGCGCAAATCGCAGTTTTCTTATTACACGGTAGACGCATCGCTATTTTCATTTCGCATCCCAAATACACTGCTAACCGCACGCAAATTGGTATTATGCAGTCATCGCACAGTAGCGTCCACGTAAATCAGTTGATTTTTATGTCGCAAACTCCACTTTATTTGCGGCATCCCTGACCCTGCCGCAATATAAATCGCAAACATATCATCAAGAATCTTGATAGTTTTCCTATTTAAATTAACATTATCGTTGTAGAAATCTAGGAAGTGCCCTTTGAGACATCCAACTAAAAATAGGTTGAAAAACATTAGAGACACAAATAACCAAAACTTATCAAAATCAAGTCTGAAAGTGCACGATTATGCTACCTTGGTTTTGTGAAATCTATAATAAATATTGCAATTCCATTTCGCAAATATCGTCTGCTAAAATTAAAATATTAGGGTTCGATCAAGCTGGAAAATGTGGCGCATATTATTCCAGGATGTTCACAATAGAAGAGGTTTACGCTTATTCAGAGACAGGAGTCAGCCGTTAGAGATGACTGACGATGAGATATTAAACAGATATCGCATGCCGAGGCCACTCATTCTTGAGTTGATTAATATATTAGATGGGGATCTAGCGTCAAGAACAAGGAATCCTCAGGCAATTCCATGTCAGCTAAAAGTATTCATTTCATTACGATTTTATTAATGATAAATAGAGATATATTCGGGGTATCCCAACCTACTGTTTCGAACATTGTTGCTGAGGTATCGGCGGTTTTCTCTAGGTAGGCTATATCAGTCGGACTAATTACAAAGACACTGTGTCTTGTTTTCAAGATGGGCTGCCTTCCAGTGACAGATCTAGATTTTCGCAAGATATATATAGGTTATGTAGTGGGAGGGATTCAATATGGGTTTTATTATGATGGACAATATGATATTTACCGAGAGCCCGGAGGGTCAGAGGGAAATACCAAATTGTCCCTCACAATAAGTGAAATATCAAATTGTCATGAGGAATAAACCCATATTTAATCCCGACCAGTAAATTAGCTTTTTATTCCATGATATTCATAACTGTCTTCATAGAATCATTAGTTAGATTTTCCTATGAATAATGGTATATTTAATCAAGAAAATATGACTTAGCTTTATGATATTTTTAAATATAAAAAAATTATTGTACATGTGTAACATAAACACATCAACATCAAAACATTCAGCAATACGTAAGCATTTTTGTCTGTGTCAGAGCGATGATGATAAAACTGGAATTCGTTTTTCACATAAGAACATCATTTTAGCATGCTATATCGACCCAACTGATTGAAAGAGGAAGCTTTGTTTGGCAAAAATTTTCAATACGATTTTTTCTCAATATCAAAAATATTCCCGGTTATTCATCGGGAATTAGTAGTATC